GTTTTCCTGCTTCAAGTTCAATCTCTGTGAAAGAATTGGCAGGATATCCTCATCCTCAGACAGCTGGGGCGCCCAGATTTCTGTCATACGATTGCGAAGAGCAGCTGAAAGCTCACGTTTTCCGTAATCACCTCCGGGGTTCATAGTGGATAAGAATTGGAATCCACCATCTGCCACAACCATTGAATCAACGGGACCCTTCTCAGCGAGAAGAATCGACCTAGCAGGCTCCAGAACACTATTAAGTCTCTCAAGAACGGAGTCGTCTGCGAGAGAAATTTCATCAAGAAGGAAGAATTGACCGGTCTTCATGGCGGTGATCAGGCTTCCGTCGGACCATTCAAACAAGGCATTACAGCGAATAGCGTTCTTCTCAATCTTCTGCAAAAGAAGTTGATCTTTGGCTTGACGCTGCTCTACAGTCAATGCTGTGAGTTCCTGCTTCAAGGCATCGAAAGACGCACTGCTTAGCTGCCCGTGAAGGAACATTTGAAGGTCATCTACAAGCTGTTTTTCGATTGCAGCCCGGTTTCGGATAGGCCGCTGTGCACCAATCAAGTCACCAGTTTCCAAATTCACATGAGCGTTGACAATGAACAACTCACGGCGGAAAGCTTCAGCGACGGCCTGGCATAGCTGAGTTTTACCACAACCGGTCTCTCCGACAAGAAGGACCGGCTCGTTGTTCCTGAGAGCCTTGGAGACGAGAACGAATAGACGTCTCATGGCCTTGGTCCACACAATACCGGCTGGAAGCTCGCTCATCTCAGGGGCATTCTTTTCTAGCTCTGCAGAGCTATACAAAGCATCCTCGTCGAGTTTCACCTTCATCACTTCCTCAATCACAGATTTGACAGCGGCTTTCTCTTGGGGGTTGCGAACACGTTCGCCGAGAAGCATATAACCGTTGACTGCTAACTGCTCGCGATCATCGGCATCACGAAGAGCCCATCGGAAAAGATCACGCAGAGTGGCAAAACTGTTCTTTTGTTCGAAGAGTCGATTAGACTGGCGCAACAAAGATAATTTCCGATAGACGGCAACAATCCGTGTGCAGAAGGAAGGGGCGATTTGCGAACGTTCCTTCAGAATAAATTCCAGTTCGCTTTCCGGAATATCATCAAAGTGCAGCTCGAGGAAACGGTTCCTGAAGGCACGGGACAGGACCTTTCGGCCACCGTACAGACCAGCGGGATTTTGGGTAGCAAATAGCATGAAGTTCGGGTGAGGATGAACAACTTCTTGAGTCTCGGGGATGAAAAGCTCGCGGTTATCGTCGAGGAGTCGGTTAAGGGCTTCAAGAACATCAGAAGGTGCCAAATTCAGCTCATCCAGCACAATCCAATAACCGTTCCGCAGCGCTTCCACCAACACACCCTCTTGATATCGCAGTGTTCCATCGTCCGAGGAAATATAAGATCCCAGGTACTCTTGCAGATCCGTATGCTCGTGGTTGTTGATTCGTACAAATTTGTTTCCTGATACCTTTGCCAGATACTCGATCATACTCGTCTTTCCGGCTGATGTCGGACCTTGGAGCAGAACAGGGAACCGCCGGGTTGAACTGGCACGGACCAAGTTCTTCAGGTTCTTCTCAATGAATGGGGTGATAATGTAGTGGGGTTGCTCCTCCGGAACCATAGGACCACGGCGCATCCAGTAATGCTTGAACTGCACATAATCATTGCCATCCGTTGGTGGGCGGGGGGTCTGTCCGAGGAGAGACTTGGCGTTCTTCGCGTTGCCAAAGATATGAAGCTCGAGGAGAGGAATCAAAGCTCGTTCGGAGTTCAAGCTCAGCACGGTCAAGAAACTCATACTGAAACCCTCAAACATTGCCCTACGTAGCCCGTAGACATGTGCGTGGTCGATAACATAGATCAAAGCACGAACAAGAGTACGGATACTGAAATGGGGTCGCTGTCCAGCTCCGTCGGTAAGCTTGTTATCGTTACTGAGCTTTTTAGTCACCATGTAAAGCTGTGCGAGGTCTGGCACAGCCCGCTGGTCACTGATAGTCAAATCACCGAGGTATTTCTGAATCAAGGCCAATAAATCGTCCAAGTCGCTATCAGGTGAGTGCACATAGAATTCGGTGAACCGGGAACGCAGACCTGGGGGTAGATCTCTCTTTCCGGCATCTGTTGCAGGGTTCATAGCACCAAAGATACGGAATTCCGGATGGCCGAAGACTCTCTCAACATCGCCAGCCTCGGAGAGAAGAACAGATGGTATTCCCTCACTGCCATGATGAAGAAGACTGGCAATATTCTCAAGGGTGTCAGGGGAAGCCAGGTTCACTTCATCCAGGAGAACCCATTCGCCGTTTCGTAGAGCTCTCACAATCTTACCTTGAACAAAGGCAAAGGCAAATTTGGCATCACCTTGTGAGACCTGAGCCTCAAAATCTCCAAGCTGGGTCGCGAAGCTCTCCCATCTTTGCCGCAAGTGCTGGTATTTAGGAGAATCAAGCTTGCGTTTTTTGGCTGGCTGCTCATCGCCATTCTCGGCTGCGGCATTCGGGGGGTTGAACACGCCATTTGCAAGACGAACAGCTTCATGCCACAAGGTCACCAATCGTACCCAATTGGAGGATGCGGCACTCTTCGATATCGAGGACAAGAACTTCTGGTTCTTTTTGGCCGAGAAAGTAAGTTCAAAGAGCTGGGTGAATTCGTCCAGCATTGGAACTGCCATTGTACGGATGCTAACGGGTTTGAACCCACCTAGCAGATCAGTGCTTTCACTCTGTTGTGACAAATTCACTACTGTGAGTTTCTGGCGCATCAAAGATGCAAGATGCTGGATGACTGTAGTCTTTCCGATACCAGTTTCTCCCACAAGTAAAACAGGCTCTGCCATCTGGATTGAGGCGGCTACCTGTTCCATAAGGGTTAGTGCCGCTCGAGTGGGAGCAAATCGTGAAGCTGCTGCGGCAAGCTTCAATGCAGATCCACTTGGAACTTTGATCTTGTTGCAAATTTCTCTACCAAGAATAAGGCTGTTGTTCTTGTCGGTATAAGAGGGACTGCGTTCATTGAGGCAGTATTGGGCACGCTGGGGAGAGATCTGAAGCGCTTCGGCCACAACGGCGGCGAGAGTGGTCTGCATCGACTTCTCGGGCAGATATTTGATGAACACGTCAACAATATCGAGGAATATTTCATCCTCGGTACCTTCTGACGTGGGCTCATAGCCAGTCTTCGCGCCCATGCGGTGTAGACGATTGTGCAGGCGGCTGCACAACTTGATTAAATCACGGAAGCCCGGGGTACGACCTTGAGAACCTTTGATTGCAAGGCTTCCATGGAACGCAGAGCATACTCGTCCATACACATTCATGAGAGTCGGCACACGAGACTCAAGCAAGGGGAACTTTTGCAGGATGACATCACGCATCTCATCCACGGGGAGAGACTTAACTTGTACTCTCTCCCAAAGTCTGCTTCCGAGCATTGAAGTGCTCGGTGCAATCTCCTCGCCAGCAATATTGTACGATGACTTCATGGTTGCGATGATTTTGAAGCCCTCGGCACACTTAATCCGCTCCCTCCGGCTTGGGATGGTGAGCTCCCCTCTCTCAATGATTGGGAGAATAAGACCCATTACTTCAGAGGGGGCACGATCAAGATCTTCAATCAACACCCAGCGACCTTCGCGTGCAGCCTTGGTCAATACACCGGGCTGCCAAGAGAAGGACCCGGAGGCAGATGAAGTGGCATACATTCCAAGCAGACTCTTTGCATCTGTCTGCTCGTTCAGGTGAAGCGTGACCATAGTTTCAGCTTGGCCCATTGTGGCAGCAATGTCGTTAATCAGAGAGGTCTTCCCGGAGTTAGGCAAACCAACCAACAGGATGGGTTTGTATCCAAGTAATGAGCCTGCAATCCGGCGCAGGTTCCCAACTGTAGTTGAGGTCTTGACAACAGATGAAGAAGTCAGGAGCGTATCTTGTTTCAACCTGGGAATCAAAACTCCGCAAATCTCTGCGGTCTTGGTTGTGAAAGATTCCCGTGTCTTTTCGATCAACGCCAGAGTGTTAGTTTCCGTCCTGGAAGACCTTTCGGTCTGGATGATTTTTCCAAGAGTCTCCCATCGCCGTTCTTCCCACAATCCTAGTACACGGTAATCGATCAAAGTGCCTTCCCACTCTCCTTCTATAGGTTCGGTCCCAGTGTTGACGCGGACCATCTTTTCGGTTGCCGCATCGGCTGCGTGCATATATAAGGCAAAGCATCGTACAGCAAGGTATCGTGTCACTCGGTCTTGGGATTGGAAGAGGGACTGAAGTTGAAGCGGTGAAACGATGGGAGAGAAGGTTTCAAGATCAAACGAAAGAAGTCGGAAGAGGGCGAGGAGTAGAAGTTTAATACTAGGTTGGTCCAACTGTAACAGTGTTAATTCCTTCGACACGGCCAAAGCCGCCAAAGGTCCAGTCTGTGATGAGGCATATTGACTGGCAAGCGACCGCAGATGCGGCGCAAATGGTAAAATCTGCGCGAATGCCGCTAATACGTGAATGTAGTCGGCATGTAAATCCGATTGAAGCCATCGGGCTGCAAGATCGACAAAAATCGGTTCATAGAGTCTGAAAATGCTCTCCGTAAATTCGTTGTTTAATGCGCCAAGCGCAAGAGCGTGGAGGTGTTGAGTCCCCGATGCAGTTCGAATGAAAGTCGAGATTCCACTCGGAAGCTGCTCGAGCAGTTCGGACTCAGTAAGAGTCCTCTCATAGACCGGCCTCCGATCCATGTTTAATCCGGTCGTAAGAGGAACTGTGAAGTTTGAAGTAAGAGAAGAAATTCCTCTTCATCGGCTTCCGCTCCAACTTTTTTTCTTTCTGCCGCATGTGGCGCAGCCCCGCCCAGACCTGGATCACACCGCTTTCGGTCGCGGAGCTTGCGCCACACCTGTGTGTCCAACAAAGCTGCCCTTGAAACAAGGTCATTTTTACGAGGAAATGCCAATATCGCGATATCGTAGTTCATCTATGGTCCACGATGTCAATGAGTGGTCAGGGCTCGGGTGGTGAGGGTCAATCCGGGACGCAATCAAGATCTGATCAGGATGTCCTTCAGCCTCAAGAAGTGAATCGGGAAGCCGAGGGGCTACATGAGCCGTATGTCTTGGACAATCCATCTTTTGTTATGGTACTAACCAGCTTCTTCCTTTAGGATCTCCTTCAAGCGAAAACAAAAACAACGATCACGGTTCTTCAGTCTGTCTAGCCTTCTCTCCCCTCCCGCTGGCGGATCGGATACTGGCTTTGGCTCTCCGGCGCCGCAAGGTGGTCAGAACGGCGATGCGTCGCCCCTTGACCCTTATGCACCGATAGGATTCAACGGCGGTGCGGAAGCAACAAAAGATGGCGCACCATTAGACTGGTATGTGGAAGGCCCAGGACGACGTGTGGGCTATGACGACTTCACCGCTATCGATTGGATCTACGAGTATACGAAGGAGCGGCAAAGGAAACGGCTTCTTTACGCTAGTGGACAGGGACTATTGGGTCATGCTCGCCGACTTCTTGATGCAAGCAATGTCTGGTTGGTGTTGGTTGCGACAGGCATTGCTGTAGGAATAATCGCTGCTTCAATCGACATTGCAACAAATTGGCTGGGTGATCTGAAGTCCGGGTATTGCAAAAATGGAAGCGGAGGTGGCAAGTTCTATCTTAACAAGACCTTTTGCTGCTGGGGTCTCGATGGTAAGCTGATGGCGCCAAGCCTCTACAAGTCTCACTGCTGAATCGGAATTTGGTATAGATCACTCCAAGTGTCTGGACTGGACACCTTGGGGGAATGCATTAAGAGCGAACTCCAGTGCAGGAAAATATACGGTTGGATACATATTCTATGTTGTATTTTCGGTAATGATATCTCAGTGTCTTGCTTTTAAAGCTATATTGACAATCCCTAGGTTTTCTTTGCTGCATGTGCTTGCTTTCTAGTGCGAAATTATGCTGTTTATGCTCGACACAGTGGAATCCCCGAAATCAAAACGATCCTTGGTGGAACTGTCATCCGACATTTCATGGGGCCCTGGACGCTTGCCATTAAATCACTGGGCCTGGTAAGTCAAGCTTATTCTTATCAAAAAACATATTTGCTGACGATTTTCAGTGTCTTTCTGTTGCATCCGGTCTATGGCTAGGCAAAGAAGGACCGCTTGTGCATGTTGCATGCTGCTGCGCGAATATCCTAATGAAACCTTTCGAGGGCCTGAAAGGCAATGAAGGTACGTTACTGATTCTATATCTTTCTCCGCGCGCTCACTCATTTCACAGCACGCAAACGAGAGGTCCTTTCTGCGGCGGCCGCCGCAGGTATCTCAGTCGCATTCGGGGCACCTATCGGAGGTGTTCTTTTTAGTTTAGAGGTATGAGCTCTTACTAATCTGGTGCTATCTACGTTACTGATTTTTCCAGCAACTTTCATATTACTTCCCCGACAAGACAATGTGGCAAAGCTTTGTCTGTGCTATGGTCGCAGCTGTTACTTTGCAAGCCTTGAACCCATTCCGGACAGGTAAAATTGTGCTGTATCAAGTCACCTACACTCGAGGCTGGCACCGCTTCGAAATTATCCCATTCATTATTCTTGGCATACTCGGCGGTCTCTATGGAGCATTCCTCATCCGTCTGAATACGAGAGTTACCAAGTGGAGACGAGCTCGAACTTCCTCTCGGCCAATCATTGAAGTGGTTGTCGTGGCTCTCATTACAGCTTTGGTCAACTATCCAAATCACTTCATGCGGGCTCAGAATTCGGAGCTTGTTCAGTCCCTGTTCGCCGAGTGCAACAGTGTGACCTATGATCGATTTGGTCTCTGCGCAACAGGATCTGCCTCAGTCGGTGTGGCAATCTACCTAGTCATAGCTGCTTTACTGGCCTTTTTTTTGGCTTCCTTGACATTTGGGCTTGAGATTCCTGCGGGTATCATCCTTCCTTCGGTCGCTATCGGTGCTCTTTACGGGCGTGCTCTAGGCATCATAGTCCGCTTGTGGCAAGAATCTTATCCCAACGCATTTCTGTTTAGCAAATGCGAGCCAGACATTCCATGCGTCACACCTGGCTTGTATGCAATTATTGGGGCTGCCGCTGCTCTTGGCGGTGCTACTCGAATGACTTTGTCAATTGTCGTCATCATGTTTGAATTGACTGGCGCGTTGACTTATGTGATCCCGATCATGATTGCCGTGATGTTGTCCAAGTGGTGTGGTGACATCTTCGGAAAGCGAGGTATCTACGAGTCATGGATTCGACTAAATGAGTATCCTTTCCTCGACCATCGCGATGACACCACTCCACCAGACGTATCTGCCCACCGGGTCATGACAACCGTGGACGATATCAGCCTCATTACTGCCACTGGTCATACTATTGCATCGATCCGCAACCTCCTAGCTAACACTACATATCGCGGGTTTCCCATAGTTTCAGACACGTCTAGCCCCATCCTGCTAGGCTACATCACTCGCAATGAGCTCTCTTTTGCTCTAAAATGCTCAACCTCTCCTACCACCCGCAACCTCTCTGACGAGACACAGGTCTTCTTTTCGCATCAACCTTTTGCAGACCCTGTTGATACCCTTGATCTAAGGCCTTGGATGGACCAGACACCAATGACCTTGAACAGTAACATCACTTTCTTGATTGTTTTGCGAATGTTTCAACGTCTTGGCTTGCGTTATGTGTTGTTTGCCAACAAGGGCATTCTACAAGGACTACTGACCAAGAAAGATGTGTGGTCAGTGCTGAACGGCGTGGAGTTTCGCCGCGAAGAAGCTCTTCGAGATGAAGAATTCCGGGATTTCCAAAATCATAATGAGGCTGAAGAGGTTGGTTTGCTTGATGGGAATGATGCGTCCAGTCTTGGTAGTTCGTTAAGGCGGGATTCTCTTTGATGTTTGCTATCATGTTGCTATGTATATTCAGATTATGTTAAAATACCTACAGATTTCATTTAAATAAATGCCAGAGGATCTTGTTTACTTGTATTCCGTACATAAATTGAACTACTCTGTAGTAGGTTATTGAAATAAAATTGTGGCCAGACTAAACATAACCCCACCGCGTTTTTCAACCCCACATTTTCTGTCGCGTTTAAAACTGACCGCCCTGTAGTCCACCTATCATGTCTACGGCTTCCAATCTTCTTGTCCTTGACCAAGCTAAAAATTCAGAAGACAAAATGATGATCGACCCTTTTGAGGTGCGCATGCGCTTCACTACGCAGCTGCAGCATCTCAGTGCCGCTGTCACATCATCGCAGAAGGCTGCCCATTATGCGCTCAAGTACCGTGACCTCGATGAGGACCTTCACTCATGCATCCTGGAACAGCTCGAGCGGGTAGGAGTTACAATTTCCATTGCATTGATCCATTCTGACATTATGTGTGGTAGAACAATATGAACAATCGCGCGAACATCATGTACTTTATTGAACACCTCTGCGAAATGGCCATCAAGGAAAACTATCTCCCGTACGTGCGCATGATGCAGCGAGATATTCTGCGTGTGGTGGATTCGGTTGTTCCCCCCGATGGCACTGGTGCAGCCAATGTTAAGCACGTCCGCCACGTCCTGAACGGTCTCCAGGCGAAGGAAGTCCTCAGCGCCGAAACTGTGGCCGAGATCGACGCTGCTCTGAAAGACCGTGATTCCCACCCCTCCCATCTGGATCTTGAACAGGAGGAAGGCACCGAGGGGGGCAGCAAACCGAGGTCCGAGAAGCCCCAACTGCGCCTTGACAAGAAGCAGATCGAGCAACGCATTGAGGAGGATCGGGAGCGCAACAAGCGTCAGCGTGAGAGCATGTGGGCCATGACTGGCAGCGATATCGACGAATATAATCAGATGTGGGAAGAGCTCAGCCCCACTGGGGAGGATGACTTTATCAGGTCGCGTGAGGAGGCGCTCGAACGCGCCGAGTGTGTTCGCAAGCACGAGGAGTTCTATAAGAACTTATACGGCATCAAGAAGTAATAATTCAGTGGGCACATTGCTTGCTATGCTTTGCGTAATGATTTCCAGGGTTTTATTTACGGTCTAGGCGTTCAACTCGGGACTCTGCAGCGTTTTGGTCTTTTAATGGGGTCTATACACAGCGTGACATCACTTGCATCTGGTTGCACAATATTCAAGGGTCATGCCATATGACTGGATTTTCAACTTTTCCAACTCTCAATTTCCAATCTTGCCATGTTCATTTCGACTCACGTCAGTCCCTTCAGGAAGCGAAGGGATTGTTTTTGGCAGGAGCTCTATCCCAGCCGGGATGTCCAAGGCTATGCATAGAAAAGTCATCTGCACAGTTTATGCTTTTTACAACCTTCATATAGATCTAAAAAGAACATCCAAAAAGAACATCCAAAAACACATTGGAGTGTTCTCACATATGACTTCCCAAATATACTAAGTTGTCAATAGAGGGCGCATCAGCGGGCGAGTATTCTTGCTGTATAGTCAATATAGAGGGGTTATGTTTAATTGCATGTATATATATTGGATTTGGCTACTGTCGTTGTTTCTCAGACCGCCATATATTTCTGACATGATCCGATAAATACGTTGCTTGCTCCGATATTTGGCGCTAGCTGTTATTTTGCAAGACATAGATTTGGTTTTTAATAATAGACTAAGAGAACTTAATTAATATATTAGCAAAATAGACTCTACTTGCCCACCGAGTAAATGTGAAGTATACCGAGTAGATGAAGGGAATTGATAGCGGAGTTCCTTATCGTCTCCGCTCTCGGGAAATCCTGATCGCCGAGAGATTTTTTATTTTTGCTTCACCTCTTGACCAACACGAGGAACCGTTTCCCCCATTTGGGTTTATTACTTTATTTCCCAATTTTCTTGTCACTCTATGTTTGCTCACTTGGTTACTGCTGCCAAGGGTCTATTTACGCGACAGCCCGAAGAACAACAACCCCAACCCGCTGGCACCTCTGCCACCAATTCCAAGATGGTGACGGCTACCCGACGAGGAGATGTTGCATCCGAAAGTGCAAGTGGAAAGCGAAAGGCACACTCAGGAAGTGCTGGCAAGACCGAAGACCAGCAGACCAAGCGGAGAAGAAGAAGCGACCCGAAGGTTACTGGAAAAGATCAAGATGCTACAAAACATAACCCAGCAGAGAAATCCAGCGTAAATGGAGAGAAAGCACCTGCAGGGAAGAAGATTCGATTCGATAGCGAAGAACCTGAACCACTTGAAATACAGCCAGAAGAAATTTCGGAAACACCAACCCAGGATGACGACGACGAAGATGACAGTGACGATGATGCGCCAGAGACCATTGATAACTCTGCTCAACAATTGAAAATCAAGGAGCAGGCTAAGAAGCAAGAAGCAGCCAAGCAATTGTACGTGCGATTTCTTACTGCTAGGAAAGTCAATTTTGACTAATGCTTTTTTAACAGAGAAGAGCAACTGAAGAGAGAGAAGCGACGGAAACTCGATGAGCGTCGCAAGTTGCAAGCTAAATCCATTGTCAAGCCCAAGGAGGCCCCAACCGATGATATGCTTTCCGAAAGCACGGCTACTCTCCAAGGCACAACTACTCAAGATGCACGACGAGCCGCGCTTCCTGCTTTGCTTCCCGATGACATTTTGAACGCCGAGTTCGCCATTCGTCCTCCTACACCACCGGCTGAAGATCAATTTGCTATGCCGAAGAAGTCGAATAAGTTGCGATTCCTAGATAAACAGGACAAGCTTCCCAAGGATATCAACATTGGGGATGTCTCCATTCGGGTGCTGGATGCACCGTCCTCAAAGAAGTCATCAAAGCCTGCACTGGCCCCTAGAATTTCCAAGGCTGGACGGAATCTCAAGGGTAGCATGCTTCAGAGGACCCGTACCATAGCTCAGGCCAATGGGCTCCGACAGAAGGCAGGCGGTCCTTCTGGATTTGTTCGCCGGTGAAATCGAAAATTTTGCACGGCCGTCAAAAGCGATTCTTGGTCAGTGTCACATATCTTCAGACATAGCAGGAAGTTACATTTACAGCCTGCCAGTGTCAACGGGGGGCACGCTCACTTTCATCGACTGATGTTCCTTTCAGAGGTTTTCGATGCCCCATTGGTGCAAATAGAAAGTCGGTATCGACTGGGCGTGCAACCAACCCCGCGTCTACTGCAGCCATTTATGACCAATCATTGAAAAAAAAACAGATTTTTGTTCAAGTGTTAGGGTTGCATGGTGTTCGGCGGGAGTAGAACCTGGTCTGCAATTCAATTTTGGGGGAGTTATGTATATATCATTCAGTCAATTATGCCCAATAATGTCTGGCAATAAATTCATTCAAGAAACGAGGCCTATCATGATCTAAAGTAAGCCTATAAATATAGAGATATCGAAATATCTTGTCATGTGAAAATGATACAAAAACGCCAAGAACCGGACCCGGTCAGATTATTAAGGCGGACATGTGTGAAACCTTGGAAGCTTCTAAGGTTGCCAGCTTCCTCGACTTTTTTTTACCTCACTCTTTGCTTTTTCTAACTCCAATTCCCTTTGCCAATGGTGTTTGTCGTCTAACTCTACAAACTTCATTCCTTTCGCCATGGCGCCTGCCGCAGAGAATTCTCCTCTTCTGCCGCAACATCAGAACTCGGCCTCTAATACGTCACCACGGGCGAACCGGACGCCGCGATCGGTATCCTTCAATCCGCTCACACAAATCAGCACCTACGGCAGCACTGCTTCTACATCCGATCCTACATTCCAACCCTTGCAATCAGACTCACCTCCCGTGCAGAATGTCAACGCCCAGGGTGGCCAGCCGCGTCCCGGCAGTCAACCCATGCTCTCAGCATTGAATAGCAAGCTTCGTCGTCGCAATAGCCATGGGGCTCCCTTCACCCCCGTATCGAATCCATCACATGCGGCATCTAAGATTGGACCGCAGCGAACAACCAAAAAAGCGCAAAAACTAAAACTACTGCCTGACCCTGTGACGGAAGAGGAAGAAGGGTCTGACGGAGATTTCCCTCGGGATGTCTATTCACAAATCACTCGCATCAAGGACCCCGCCGCACGAAGCCATGCTGCACGATTGGGCAAAGCCGACCGCGATCGCATACCTCGAGTAACAGCTTACTGCACGGCCAATTCGTATCGACTCGAGGGTGTCATCAAGTTCCTCAAGTCACGGAGCAAGACTCGCGGAGCCAACCCCAAGCTGTACGATGAATGCGTCTACTCTCCTTTTGATTACCAGTACGAAGAAAAGCAGAACGCACGGTTATTTCCAGAACCAAGTGGCAATGGACACCATGAGAGGCGACCTAGTGAAAGAAGATACTCGGATAGTGCGGTGGAGGTTGAAGACAATAAGAAGACCAGAAGAGAGGACTTGATTGATCTACACGATGAGGGCACTCACTCAAATGATAACGAACAAGTAGTCGTCAAAGAGACTCCTGATATCGACATCACAATTCACACACCCGAGGTATTCCTCTTCGACTACGGAACGGTTGTAATATGGGGAATGACGCCTGCGCAAGAATCACGATTCTTGTCCGATATCTCCAAATTTGCGACCTCCATATTGAGTCCTGATGACACGCAGATCGAGAATTTTAATTTCTACTATGCACGCGAGTACCAAGCCAGGATCTACAACGACTTCATCTCTCTTCGTGATCCGCGCAATAATATGGTCAAGCTGGCGATCTCTCATGCTCTGGCGCAGTCGGTCAAGACATCGCTTTTCGAAGATCTTGTGTCAGAAACAATCACCGACACTGCGCCACTACCTGCCCAGATAGCGCAAACTGGTAGCGTCAATCTCACTCGTCGGCAAATCAATATGCAGATTGGAGAACTCTTTATTCTCCGCATCAATATTCACTTGCAGGGATCTGTCCTCGATAGCCCAGAACTTTTCTGGGCAGAGCCGCAGTTGGAGCCTGTTTACCAGGCTGTCCGAAGCTACCTGGAGATGGATCAGCGTGTTGGTCTGCTGACGGAACGATTGGATGTCATTGCAGATCTTCTTGCAGTCCTAAAGGACCAATTGACACACCGCCATGGCGAGTATCTCGAATGGATTGGTAAGTTTCCCTACACTTATGGTATCTAACAGCGACTCTCTAACAACTATCAGTCATCGTCTTGATCGCCGCAGAGATTCTCGTGGCTGCAATCAACATTGTTGTCGATCTCTACGCTGGAGTAGACTAGAGCGATAAAGGATGTGCTCATCACTCAGCCCATGCACGTCTCAACCAAACAGTTGTGCTGCGAATACAAGTCTTTCCTGATATCCCTGAATGTATTACTGGCATGTTCTTTTATGTGTCTTGTGATGCAATCCATTCCGATTCTACATCGACAATCACACAAGGAACACACAGCATGTCAGGGGCGAACACCCAACAGAACTCCCCTAATTACATCCAACCGCATAGGGATTCTGAATTCGCCCACAGAGTCTAATATCACTCTCTTGCTATCTGTACCATCTTTCCAAACTCGTTATGTCTTCACCTGTACATGACAGAAGACACTCATACCAGATAATTATATCCCATTCTTGTTTCTAATATGAGTTAGGTGGTTTTTTTTTTCACGGGAAAGAGGCGTTCTGTATATTCGAGATGGTGTCGATCAGATTTAAATGCCATTGTCTTTACCTTGCGGAATGACTCTGCAGGTGTTTTCTTTCGAATAAAACCAAGTATTCGTAGTCCGTATGTCCTATCACCCCAGGTTGTGGTAACTATGAAGCTTTTCAAATATCAAACAGATAGAAACCTACAGAAATTCACCTTTTCTACCATCATCGACTTTCTCTCTTTCCCTTACTCTACTTTGATACACTGCTTTGACTAATAGTAACTATAACAAAGTCTAAGAGTGATATTAAAAAGCTACAGGGAAGAACCGTTACTTCAACCATGCTTTTAGCATAAGATTTCTCAGCTGAATTTCATATCAGAGATAAACGCCAGGAGACCATAGAGTAGCAGAAAAGCTCAATCAAGGCCCACCAAAAATAACAACAAGATAAAAACCTAGAAGCAAAATAGACCAGCACCGCATCCGAACCCGATGCATAAAACCCTCAAAAGAAACGAACAGAACAGAACAGCAGAGAGTCCCAGTCATGACATCTGCAAAGCCTAAAAAGAAAGAATAGAGACGACAAAATATAACTCAGTCACTAGGACTGCTCAACCTTAGCCTCCTTAAACTCCTCCTTATCCATATCCATCGGCGTAGTCCCAGATTCAGGACCAGCCTCCGCAGCGGCCGGAGTATGGTCAGCGGACCCATTACCCGTCTGCACACGGAAGGAGTGAGTAAGAGACTCCTGTGTTGGAGCTGGCGCGAGACGGGGCAGGGCTACACCAGCCGAATCTGCCGGTTCGGGATGTCCATCATGAGCGGGGATATCATCATCCTGGCCATCGATGCCGGCGGCGTTGGACTTGCGGGAGCGCTTAACGCGTAGGGGACGTTCCTCGGGCTATACAACATAGAAAAACAAAACATGTCAGCTCGGATCGGACGAATGGACAAATCGAGAGGGAAGGGAGTAGAGTATAAGCTAGGCAATTGGAGGTGTGGACAAGATGGTGATTTACGCAGATTAACATACCGTGCGCGGCTGCTCATCGGAGCTACCCTCGGTATCGTCTTCCAAAAGCACGCCTGCTCCACCCTGTGCAGGATTCATCATGGCCGCGGCACGGGCACGCAGTTCTGGGTTTGCGGCGCCAGCCTTTGCCTCGTCGGCCATGCCAGTGACCTTTGTCAGACGCTCGAGAAGCATGCAGGTTTCCAGGCGCATTTTCTGGATGTATTGGGAGCCGCGGCGATTGCGGGTGCGCATAATTTCATTCTCAGCTTCGACTTCTGCGAGACGCTTCTTCAGCGCTATACACTTGCGCTTGTAGGCAATCTCCACGCTGGGGGGATTAGCTGGTGGGATGGAGGGGGGTTGGCGGGAAGCTTCCATTTTGGTGATGAAAGGGGAGATCAGTTGCGTGCGGAGGAACTGGGTTGTGAATACAGCAGTATTTAATTTGGGATCCTTGGTCGGAGCTGACTGAAAGCACGACGTGAAGGCGAAGGGGGTGGTGTGAAATATAGAAAGAAAGAAGAAGAAGCAGCAGCAAAGGATCGGATGGCAAGCAGCGGGATATTGTATATTTATCCTTGACTATTCGCCGATTAGTCGTTTGATGATACGCGTGAATCGATTGACTGAAATGGTGAGGCTATTGAGTACGTGCCAGACGTCGCCGGCAACAATGCGATGATCTCCAACATTATTCTGCCCCGATATCAAAGGCGGTCTACGTAATATTGTTCAACAAATATTTATCCATTCAACTCCCTATACTATATACAATTGCTCTAGAAAAACAAGACATCCCCAATAGCCATGGCTACTTAGTGCCCGCCAGTGGTGGGAAGACCGAGGAACACCTTGAAAGAGTCATAACTGAAGAAAGTTAGCGTCGCTGTACACACAAGCCGGACGGAGCAGACACTTACATGAGCCATTGGAAACCGGTCAAAGTGCCCAGCATCACAATACGGACAGGCAGACCATTCCATAGACCAGAGAAGCCAATGTTCCCGTAAATCCGGGAAACAGCCGTTATCGCACCTTCGCCGGCTACAAATGGGCGGTTAGCATACATCACAAGGCTGCAGCCAAAAACAAATATGAACTCACCTTTGCGATCAGCATTCAATTTGCTGACCATAACATCTGCCGGATGGCTAACAATGGCACAGAAGATTCCAGCAATATAGCCACCCAAGAAGCTAACACCAGTCTGTGTCAATTGGCCATACTCCTCCTTGGGTCTGCCCATAGTGCGGTAGATGAGCTTGACTGTCTCCTCGAACGTGGCAAACTTCGTCATGGTATAAGGGATCTGCCGTGCCCACAAAGGGTACAGTCCCTTATACAAACCTCCAAAGCCCTCCTTGGCGACGATCTTCCCCCAGCCCTCACGCATAGTGGAAGCATATGGTGGCAGCGTGGTCTGCATGCGAACCTTGATAGCCTCCATGGGGCACAGGGCCATATCAGCAAAGAACTCAGCGGAGGCACTAGCACCGAGGAAGACCAATGTACGGTTTGAATCTGGGAACATCTGGTTTCCGTACAAGTGCTTGAAGTACTCGTACAGACCGTACTTTCCAGCACCCTGGAAGGAGTAGCCCAGGAAAGTGGGGGACCAGCCAAAGAAGACGCCGCGCAGGCCTTCTTTGGAGAATATTGTTCGCCATGCTTGGATGTTGGAGCTGTAGATCTTTGGATCAACCTGGCGACGGCATTTCACAAGGTCGAGCGGTGTGACGGCTGTGTGGGTTGGTCCTATATGGAATTGGGTGTCAATTGAGTAGATTAATTGTATATTAGAAGCTGTTACATACCACAAGCTGGAGTCATATTGTTAGTGCGTGCCTTGTGAGATTGGCATCTTGGACATACCGATGATACCACCGAAACTACAGCTGACGAAGTACTTGAGGGAGTTGGGCTCAATCTTCCCAAGAGGAAGCCTGCGTTCTTGCGTGGCCATGATGTATATTCAAAATGTAAATATCTAGAAGAGGGGAGAGTTGCAACGTCAACAAGATCAATAGAAAAGAAAAGTTGTACCTTGGAAGAGTGGAAGAACTATGTCATCAGTGATCTGCCTGCCCAGGTGGCTTATCTCCGCACGTCCCGAACCTTTCCAAGGTTGGTATTTCAAGCTTTTCTATCTTCCTATGCTACATACACTGTCTCTACACTATCTATATTGTCTACATTATCCATATATACTGTTGATTTATTTATTTACTTTAATATACATTCTCTGGATATTCTTTTATTCTTGCAAATCAACTACTTAAATTGTTCACTATGTATATCTCATATCAATGACGTCAATGATACCCGACCAGCCCGAGCTGTATACAAAGTACAAAGCCGAACTAGCCGAAGTCCCCCTGCATAAATACATAAATAGTACTATGTACATAGATAATTTTAATGCAGTCAAGCAAACTAGAATAGACACGAAGAGAAAGAAGAATGCATCTGTGGCTTTCGTTCCATATAACTGGACATATCCCTGATCAATGACACCAAATATATATCTGGAGTATCTTAATAGGCATATCTGATCTGGCCTTGAGGGAATCGTCGGTTCAGCCACCCATAGTACAGTCTTAAAGCAACACATACGACCGAAGCAAGCAGCAGGAGCCCTGCATTAGTCCAATGGCCAGTAGGAAAGCCTTTCTTGGCTTGATCAGATTTGTAAATCCAGACACCTACTATTTGGCCAGGTGCCCCAAAGGAAATGTTCATCGCAATGGCCAAACCAATCCCAGCGGTTGAGCGGAGATTGGAAGACAGCCAGCCCAAGAGGGGAGGAATACATGAGAATGCCCCCGAGGTAGCGACAATCAAGCATCCGTAGCGGTGCTGGTGATCTCACGTTAGCATCTGTTCGTTCCTGTATATAATGTTGCATGTTGTGTATTAGACTAGAAGAGCGCTTACCGCATAAGCGTCTGGAGGAAGAACAGCAGAAGCTAGGAAGCCGATCGCTCCAATTAATGAGAAAACAGCAGAATGCAGACCGCGGCTATATCTTTGGATTAGCGACGCCGACTGACTGTGGATTTGGGGAAACAAACGCATTGAAGTAGTCTGCAGACCAGGAGACCGCAAGAGTTACTACGTATGCAGCGGCATATGGAGGAATCGTCATCAACTGAGACTGTAGATTTTCATAACCCAGGCCGGCGGTGATAGTTGGTGTGAGAAGAGACAGACTAGAAAATGGTACGGATATAGCAAAGTACACCTGAAAGATATCAGTTAACGTCAACGTACGAATACAACTATTTCGCCTAAGGAATTTTGCACATACCAGGTAGTGGGCATAAAGTCTCCATTCTGTCAACACTGCCTTGGCCTCAATCCAAGTCATTGCTTTAGCCATACCCTGGCCTCCTTCCACAGCGAGTCGCTGTTTTGCCAGTGCCTTGTCCTCAGAGTTCAAGAAACGACAAGTCTCTGGGTAATCTGGGAGAAAGAACCAAACAAAAATTGCAGATGCGCATGAAGGGGCCCCTTCAATAATGAAGAGCCACCTCCAGGCCGAAAGACCTTGTGCGCCATTCATATGCCCGGTTCCATATGCAATGGCTCCTCCAAATGCACCAGCCAAGGTGGCAGAAGCCAAAATAAAAGCAACCCTCAATGATCGCTCTGATACTTTATACCAGAATGTGAGATAAAAGACCAATCCAGGGAATAGGCCAGCTTCAAGCACCCCGAGGAGAAAACGAATTCCTGCGACTTGTGCATATAAGGGTAGAATTCGAAGATCTTGCTTGCGAATGAGAGATTTTTCTTGTTCCAAGTTGACCTCGATCTCCCCTAAAGGGCTTTCCTTCTACCATCGTGATTAGTTAGATGTTAACATCAAGGGGAAAGGATGTGCTGCATACATTCCCCACCTCCACATCTTCTACCATATCTGTTCGACTGTTGTGGCTCTCTTCTTGCATCGTTTTGTATGAATGAGAAATTTAAAGTAAATATGAAGTGCAGGAGGCAGGAATCTGGGGTAGCTAAAAAATCCGGGGAAAGAAAAGTTCGAAAATATAGTTCTTCTATAGTTCAATTCGGAGTAGGAGGCCGTCTCCGATGGCTAAACAGCAGCAGACGCCTCAGGCGCCGCCCTCCTCCATAAAGTGTTGGGGGCAGTCGGATATATTCCCGTCGGGTCTTCGTCTCCGCGATGAACCCCATCTTTCACATCCCAACAGAAAAAAAAGACACTAGCGAATATGCAGGCTTGCGATCGATGCCGAAGGCGGAAATCCGGATGTGACAAAGTACAGCCATCCTGTGGGGTATGCGATAAAGCAGGTGTGGCCTGTGTATACACAGACAGAACGAAAAAGCCTGCGATCCGACGAGATGTAATTGAAAGGCTTGAGCGAAGACTGCGTCAAACAGAAGCAACAAACCGGGCATTGACGGCAAGATTAGCTGCTTTCAATTCAACTTCAAACAATGAGAATACCCCCTCCACGACTAAGAGTCCTCCAACAGAAGAAAGCCGAAACGAGGTTTCCGATGAAGTTTCGTTTCTGTCTCTGAATGCAGGGGGTGAGCGGCAGTTTCTTGGGTCTACGAGCGGTGTTCTTTTTGCAGATTTGATCAAATCTGCCATTGAAGCTGATGCCTCCTCTAACACACAGCTGAGTGCTCAGGGATCCGGGCCCACGTTAGCATCAGCCAGAGCTGCACAAGTTTTGACATCAATCAGAGAGGGACCACCATCTCTGCCAGAGAGTGTAGCACGCGATCTTCACCATGCATACTTTGAGCATGATCATTTGTGCTTTCCAATTCTCTGCCAGCAATCCGCAATGGCTAACCTGAAGAAAACCTACGTGGAGCCGTCTACTTTTGATCGAAAACCGTATGAGACATTCTCCTTCTATATGATTCTGGCTATTTCAGCTTCAAATGTTCAAAAGCTTCATTGGCAATCATTGCCTGAGGCAGAAACTTACCACACACAAGCCATGTCCAGATTAAACGATATACTAGCTTTGGGAGGCCTTGAAGCGCTACAGGCGATTCTACTGCTCTGTCAATATCAATTGACAAATTCCTCGCAAAGAACATCTACAAGTCTATGGCATATGGTTGGGATGGCGGCACGAATGTGTTTTGAAATGGGCCTCCACCGGGAAGAGGCCTATAATTATCGAGGAAATGCCAATACATCACCTTTCACTTCTCCAATTCATCGGCGGTGGCTTTGGTGCGTAGTAGCAATGGATCGGTGAGTTTACTGTGATCGTGCAATGAAGATGCGACTCTAATCTTTCTTCCCTGCGAGCAGCGTAGTTAGTATTACGCTAGGTCGACCATTTGCAATACACCTAGAAGATGTGGACCTTGCGCTTCCTACTTACGACACCCCAGAAGAGCATGAGACAAATCCAATGGAAGAGCAGTACCGAGAAACGGTCTTTGCTCATATAATTCGGTACCGTATTCTTTGTGGTAGGATAATGTCAACTCTGCACCGAAGCCGATACACCAATAATGAACAATCCGCCTTGACTGCGCAAGCGGAGAGCTTTCTAATGACCTGGAAGAGTGGCATACCAAGACGAGCACATTAAATCTTGAAAGTCGTGCGTCAAACGGGGCTAAGGTCTCCAGCTTTTTGACCGTTGAGTGGTATGAGATAATATATCACAATGCTATGCTCATGTTGTACCGGCCTTCTCCGGCGCTCCCATTGAACTCATCCAGAGCAAGCGTGGCAGTGCCAATAATCTATGATTCTGCAAAAAGGGCAATCGGTTTCTACGCACACCTTCATGGATTACAACGCATCAACTACACCTGGATTACGTTGCACAGCGTTTTTATGGCTGGTCTTTCCTTTGTCTATGCTGCTGGGCAGCATTTCCGCACCAAAAAAACCCAGCGTGATGGCCAAGGATTATCAATGCTAAGCTCTGATCCGTCAATTTTGGAGATTGTCAACATCTGTCGCTCTTGCTCCAATGCCTTGGTGGCAGTGTCAGAACGTGGAAATATCGCTCGTCATTGCCATCGAGTTTTCGACCGGCTGAGTGACGCTGTATTAACGGACACGGTTGAATACCACACATCATCTCGAGTTGGTAGTTTGCCGCAGTCGGCTCCTCCTCCCCTCCCCCCTTCTTTGTGCAATAGTGTCGCTCCAAATATTACTGCCTCAAATTATACAATGAATACGCTACCATCCGGGAGTTGGCCTTTCCAGGATCAAATGCCATCGTCTCTGCTTGCGGTTGACGACGTTTTTCGAGATTGCTTTGACGATTTGCAACATTTCCATGAGTCTGCGTTCGGGGAAGACCACATTGGCCAACTCTCACAAGATTGGCTAGGACAGATTGGTGGTGTGCCAGCTATCTGAAACCGAGACGTGAGACAAATTTAGAAAATGATAAAACACACATTGCCTAAGCCGTCAATCCTACTAGAGCTCGCAATACCCCCGTCCAAGAAGTCAAGTACCCGGAAATGGACGGCGAAAATATTGGGAAACTCACACCTTTCCACCCTTCTTTCAGCATGGCTCTCCCTATTTGTCCAGTCGTCCCCGAAGAGAATCTTGATCTGGGGGACTGTCAAGAACGACTGCAGTCAGGGATATTCATCCGAGTTTCTGACGAAAAATCCCATATTGGAGTTGTCTGCCTTGTCTCCGGATCTGGCGTGCACAATGCAGCCCAAGGGAGCTAGTTGTGTAGGTCCAAAGCTAGCTAGATTGACTGGGTTTGCAGTCTCGTAGGAACTTCGGGTATCGGGGTACTTGGCAGTTATTATAGGAGGAGCAATGAAAATCGGACTTGGAACGGTGCTTCCGCTTCCTGAAACATGAGTTTGCTGGTCGAGGGAGGCCATCGATATGACGACTGGGAATATCTCCATGAAGGGCTTTGGATCCATGGTCCGGAAGTCGATCCGGGTTCAGGTACTGTTCTCCCTGGAGTTCGTACAGGAGTTGAGAGATGGTGTTGTGTTTTGTCACGGCCCCGGCATGTGTCTCAGGCTTTGTGATGGTGCAAGTTCCTTCTTTGGTAATTCTTGCAATAGGAAACGCAAGGTCCACCAGCTCAGGGAGAATGGATTTGAATCCAGAGAAGTTGGCACCCGTCACATAGGGCCCACACTCGATCAAATCTATTACTCAGGTCAGCCAATTTCGCTATCATCGATATCTTCAAGAATAACTCACGATCTGCAACTAGAGCACCTGCAAGTCTATCCCAATCATCTCGGGCCCAATTATACCACCAGGCGGCAGCCCCAATCACTGGCGCGGCATCGGTGACTCGCCCACAAATAATGATATCTGCTCCTGCTTTGATTCCTTCAACGATACCCCAAGCTCCAATATAGGCCACCCCACAGTACGGCTCCAACTGCCAGTCTTTGAGTGCCCACTCTGGATGATCAAGATGCAGGAGGTTCTCGCACTTGGCAGGATCGGTTACGGCCTGGGAGATATCATCTCCCAGAACCATAGCAATCACTACATCCTTGTGTCCTCGTACATGGCACATGTCCTGTACCTGAGAAGCCAGTGCGGGTGTATTTAAAGCTCCCGCATTGGTGATGACCCTGATTCCTTTCTCCACGATTTTGTCAATGGATTCAGATAGCTGCGTCAAAAAGCCTGGTTCATAGCCCAGCGATGGATCTTGATCTTTGGCTATGGCGTTCCAAGCAATGTTCATCTCTGAAAGCCAGTCGCCAACAATTACGTCGACGTTGCCATCTTCTGCTATCCGTCGCATGGCGTGCGGGCTGTCGCCCGTTGCGCCGGAGACATTTCCGATGCGAATATCGCGTTTGGGGAGCATTTTCTCTTTTTTCGATTGGAATGTTGGAAGTGACAAAGGGAAGACACCCATACCAAGCCAGAAGAGGTCTGAAGATATTTTCATTTCTTTAAACATGAAGCGTCATCGGGCTTGGGGCAGAAGATCTTCGGGCCCAGTCCCGATGGTGTGGGTTTCGGAGGTCTTGGCCCGACACTCATCTGAATCTACTCAGCGGAGAAAGAACGAATTGTAACTGGTTAAGATTTATATTTATTCCAGTTTAATCAAAATACTTCGGGCTGCACAGCTAGGCACACCGGTAAGACGTCCAATCATCGACATCCCCCTGCACGTATCGCGCATTTTCCGGCCATGGGCAAAGTTTACGTGTAGTAAGAGTCCCATCTGGAGGAGTCGTGCTCAACATCTGATCCGGACGAATCCCTTGCTCAACCCACGGGACCAGCACATCCAGAACTTGATACATTCCCGGCACATGGGGATAGGCAGGATTCGCGCCGCAATGTCCGCCTCCGGGTACCATGAATACCTCCACGAAATCGGTGACATCAACTCCACTCATGGCAGCCTGAATCCGTTTAAGATGTTGGATGGGCCAAAGAGCCGCGTTAATATTGTCTGACCAGCCCTGCGTGGTAATCAACTTGCCCCCTTGGTTCCGGAAGCTGGAGAGATCTGGGGAGATTGTATCGATTAAAGGTGATGCGGTCCTGTCGACTTTGGAGACATCTGAGCCCCAGTCGAAGCTTGAAATATTGTAGGTCATATCATCAAAGACGAGCTCCTTCAGTATGAGCACGGAATACATCTTAGACAAAGTGGTTTCCAGGTCGTGCCAGCTACTTTCCGAGCCCAAGTTGAGCCCTGGATAGATCTCTTCACCGGTAACAGTGTTCTTAGGTCCAGAATACATCGCTTTGGCTGCTTGGACTTGTTCAGAAGTGAGGCATACCACTGCCCCGCTAGCAGTTGTTGGGTTATGGTCGGATGCACATTCAAGTTGAGTGATGTCGAAATCACAGTGCAAAGGGTTCTCAATTAGCCCATCGATGACCCCATCAAGAGAATCACACACGGAAAGTACACGATGGGTGATAAAGTCCAAGACATCCTGATTCATGTATCCGCTCCCTTGTGATTTTAGTTCGTTCCAGAGGAAACTGAGAATCAGGTGGGTATACCAATTTCCAGGGCTTCCAGCGTAGATCCCATCAAATAATTCCGGGTAAAACTGGGCCAGTGCGTACCCTTGTGCACCGCCAGTCGAGCATCCGAGGTAGTAGCTAAATTCAGGGCTTTTGGTGTAATATGCAGTTGTCAAGGCTCGGGTGATTTCCGTAGTCATTGCGATGGAGTTATGGATCCAGGCTTTTACTTCTCCCTTGTTGGCCAAGAACGGGGCGTACGTGCTATTTCCGCTAGCAGTGAGGGAATGACCACTGTCACACCCGGCTACTGCGTATCCGAGATTGAGTTGGGTCATTATCGATGCCTCGTCGATGTAACCGGCATATCCACCGTTCCCTATCGGTCCATAGATATTAGTTGATCGATTTATTCTTTGGATATGGGGGAACTCCTTACCAACTACAATAAATCGGCCATTGTATTCAGAGGTTATTGGCAGGTATAACTCCCAGGTTAGAGTGTTGGGGCTGTTGAGGACGGGGGTATCTTCTATGTCATATGTGATGGTTCCTTGAACTCGGCAGAGGGTCAACTCGTTGATGATACCCGAAGAGTTCAAGCTTCCAGATGAAAAGACTGTTGCATCGGACAGACTATAACCCGGGTCAAGGTCCATGCTGAAGAGGCCGTCACAGGCATCTTGTCGTGAAACAAATATCGCATGGACCGCAAAAAATGCCATCACAGAAACGAGGCAAATGCGAGCGAAACTCATATTGTAATCAATGCAGAATATTTGGCTGTATCCTTTTCGAAATTGCCTTACATTTCCATATGAAATCAAGGCAAATATATACACGAGTCTGAGCTCACCCCCGCTTCCCCTCATCACCTACAAGAGGTGAACACTATAGATGATCTTTTCGGAACATTCATCTGAGGAAATGTCGTCTACAATTTGAGGAGAATAATCCGGGTATTCGATCCGACGGCCGATCAGGGATAAAAGGGATCTTTGATAATTATTCTCTATCTACATGCTTCTATTTTCCACGCACGGTTCCTTGAACCCCGCGTTCTACTTTAGCCTGAAGAAACAGTAAATATACTTACCTCTACGGAGTATAGATTGAACAGAGAAAATATATGCGGTTTACCCGGTACCTAGCTAATTTTTTTAGCTAGTTAATCTGCCGTATTGAATCTTATGATGTTAATCGCCTATAACCTTCCAAGGTTGGAAAAATCCGTTGAAGTAATCGTGCCAAGCGTACAACACTCCCAGGCATTCGATTACACCATTTATACTCACAAGTATATTGGCATCATTGTGTTTCAGGAGGCTGTTGATGGACTTTAGTTGTTGGAGGCTGGGATGATGGGTGCTTGTATTTTGGTTGGGATGAGAGAGCTTAAATTTTTGGTATGGATTTATAGTTGGACTGTAATTGTCCATGGCATATTGTGCACGCAAGCCTACATACTATGAATAATTACAGGGACTTACCATATATAATACAGGCAGTCGGATTCATAAAATAAAAGAAAGCTCGAGCAATTGAACTGTGTAGATGTGTATCCCAATTAGGAAGGAGGTCCTATATAGACACGTGAGGAAAAAACCCAAATGCATCTCGGTTACTCCGTATTCAGTTGGTATATTAGTTTGCGATGAACTTGCAGGCCAAATATAGTGGGTATTTTATTCATTCTCCGCGAGCACATGAATTTGCTTAGAGGATTGATGCGTTGAAAGTTCCAAGGTTGTCAGTTAGAGTAGTGATAGTTATCTGCAAGGGACTTGCCTCATTTCAATATGAGCCACTGTACTCCGTACGTAGAATGTTAAAAGAAGAACATAACCGGCATAAATCCAATTGATGTATTGACACGGTAATATAATTGTATAGAGGATAGACGATGTATCACATTTTATTAGACAAAGGAAATTCCCCTTAAAATGACACATCACAGAAAAGGCATTGGAATAACTATGTACATGTATCTTCATCCAATATTGCCAACTAGAAGATGGCTAGATACTAAAATTATAATTTTATAACATCAAGGAATTATACGTACTTTGTAGTTATAAACACAAGGCCAGAAACAACATTATTAGTATGTACTATGAGGTCAAGTATGTATCCGACTAAGAATAGCGTACAACATGTACTCCTTACAGGGGTATACAACGCGACAGGTCGTGTGACACGTGCGACGCTAAAAAGAAGACCTAGTCTGCTCTTATAAAAGGAGTCTATGAAAGAACCCTGTAAAAGCAATCGAGTATCCCGACACGCTTCTAGAATCTAATTCTACGAGTCTAATCCCTAGCTATGAGTCACTCCACTCGCTCAATTGCTGGCAGTGATCAGACAGAGCGGTTTGCTACTAATGAAGAAACATTCGTGCGAGGACTTGCCGAAACAGTACTAAAAGATTCCGACAGTTCTCAACTCGCGCTATGTGACCAGTCTTCCAGTTCTAACTATTCTGATTTATCCCAATGCTCCGACTTTGATACCAGCGACGATAGTGTGATTGGTTATCAGTACCAGAACGACGAAGATGATGGGACTGGCGTCGGTGTTATGGAGCATACAAAGCCTTCTATCCAGAAGAAAGACCCTGGCCCGTCAGTTCGGCTCCGGAATGCCAATGAGTTTAGAGCTGTCATGATGTCGCAGATCGAGGATCGTGAGTGCTATACCTATACAATTCTTTTTTTTCCCTGTATAATTCTCTTGTTAATATGACTGTTATAAAGCTGCTATCCCGGGCCTAGATAATACCGGGCTGCCTCTTCTGTCTCATTTCACGTCAAGTAAAGACAAGGAATTCCGCCTTTTGCGTCCCGAGCGGACCGAATTAGATTGGAAAAATGGCGTTCGGAGGTCATTGCTGTGCCTTCGCACCTTGCGTGCTGCACATGGGCAGTTGTGTGGCGTCGAGGCCCCAGCAGATCAGAGATGTACTGCCTGCACTAATAGCAAGGGTCCTTTCGAGCACTGTCGGATTGTTTTCGTACGAGACCGTGCCGAATGGAGTGGGGCGTGTGCAAACTGCAGCTTTGGGGTCGGAATCCAGAATTGTTCTTTTCGTATGTCTTCTTCAAAACTCAGCAACAAGAAACTAACATATGAACAGGTCTTCAGGCCTTACTGAATGTGCCATGGGCCGTTGCCCCCGTGCCTAAAAATCAGCCCTTGATAAATGAAGGGTTCATACCCACGAAGTCCACCGGTCAAAAGCGTCCTGCGGCTGCAGCCGAATTAGACCTGCAATCGTCGATAAATCGACGCATCAGAGACACTTTTCACGGGCATAGACACTCCATCTCAAACGGGACTCCCGTTGCCCCGAATACTGCAAACAAAGAGCAGCACGTTAAGCGCCGCAAGTCAGAAGTTGCTCTCGCAAAGCCTAGTAGGAGCGCCACTAAGGACGCACCTCCCAAACTCAAGAACGGAGGGCTCCCATTTAACAATACCTGGTACAATTCGCCTCTTGAAGATCCTGAAGTGTACCGTATGAAACATAAAGCCTATGTCATCGACGCCTACAACGATCTTGCAGGCATCATCGCGCGCACCACGGAGGATCACGGTCGTATGAAAGCAGCACTGGTTAAGAAAGGGTTCTTGCTTGAGTCGGATGACGAGTCGGAGGAGAATGTATTTGCTATGGGTTGAATGCACCCACTTTACACTGTTAGTTCTTTACACTGTTAGCTTTGGACATAGGACATATATGACCTAGAATACTGACCTCTTAAATGTCAAGTACGACTATAATTTACGCACTGTAGATACCTGTGCTCACAAAATAAATATAGTAACTGCAATGGAAGTTGTCAGGGCAAATTTTTATGTTTATCTCTTAGGGGCTTCCCTCTCAAGGTAGGTTAAATAAAAGACGAGCATAACAAGTAACTATAGATGTACGGAATAGTATATAACATTTTATTAAACAACAGTAGTCCTGACCGAGACTACTCCGTACTAGTAGCGTACTAGTAGCGTACAAGCGGCTATGTATGCGGGTCGCGCTACACGTACGCCAAAAAGAGTTAGTTTGCTCCCATGAAAGGACCCCAATGAACTTGTCACATGAGCCTCTCAACACGCTTCTGAAGTCTCGTATTCTACACCTTAGCTATGCGTTTCTCAGCTCACTCTATTCCAAAACGTGATCCGACTGAGTCATCTGCTTCTTCTGAGGAAACCATGCTTGTGCATGGTCTTGCCGAAGCAATCTTAAAGAGCCCCGACAGTACTCTGAGACAGTATGGACTAGACGACCGGTCTTCTAGTCCTAACTATCCCGCTTTCCTACAGCCCGACTCTGATATAAGTGACGAGGATGCGGGTGATATTCCATACCGAAACGACGGAGAAGATAAGATCAGTGTTGAGGATACGAATCGTATGAAGCCTTCCGTCGAGGAAGATCCTGGCCCGTCGGTTCGATTCCGTACGGCCGCCGAACTCGAGGCTGCCATCGAAGCGCAGGTCGAGGATAGTAAGTGTGATATTTTGTATTCATTCTTCTCTGCAAGCACATGAATTTGCTAATAGAATTGATACAAAGCTTCCATCTCTGGTCTGGACACTACGGGGTTGCCCCTCTTGCGCAACTTTCTAACCTCGTTTGACATGAGACTCCGTGATTTACACCCCGAGCGGACCGAACTGGATTGGAGAAAACAACGCCGGCCAACGAGATCCGCGGTGAGTAGGCGTGCAGCACAGGGCCAGTTATGTGGTGTTGAAGCTCCGGCGGATCAGGCCTGCACCAACTGCACTCAAGAAAGAGGTACATTCAAGCATTGTCGGATCGTTTTCGTTGACAACGAGGCTCAATGGACGTGGGCATGTGCCAATTGCATCTTTGTGAGCGGAGGTCACAAATGTTCTTTTCGTACGTTATCCTCCAGCGGTCGAGACAAGAATTACGATAAGACTGACTTATGGACAGGTCCTGATATATCTCCGAACGTGCCCTCGTGGGTTGTCGCAGCCGTGACTGAACGTCAGCCCTCAAGTCCATTGCTTCAGAAATACTATGGCAAAAAGGATACAGCTACCGCTCATCAGTCCGCGAAGTCGACTACTAGTCGGAAGCGTTCTACGGCTGTGGCCCAGCTGACTCCCGAACAAATTGATCAAGCGTCCGACCTTGAAACACACGAGCATGTAGCCTCCCGGCATGAACCACATTCCCCAACAATTCAACGTGCCAAAAGAACTGCACGCGTGAGCAGAAACACTGTCTCAAAGGGGACTGCTCCAAAATACTCATACGAAGAGAAACCCGCTAAGCGTCGCAAGTCAGAAATTTGTCCCACGAAGGCCAGTGGGTGCGTCACTAAGAATGTACTCAAGCGCTGCAAGTCAGAGGTTGGTCCCTCAACGGCCAGTAAGTGTGCTAATAAGGGCGCCACACCTCCGAAGCTTAAGAACGGAGGACTCTCATTCAACGCGACCTGGTACAGTTCGCCCCTCGAAGACCCCGAGGTGTACCGTATGAAGGACAAGGCATATGCCATTGATACTTTTAATGATATTGCAGATATCATGGCGCGCGTCAAAGAGGATCACAGTCGTATGAAGGAAGCACTGCTTAAGAAAGGGTTCTTGCCAGGGTCGGAAGAGGAGAACGTGTTTGCCGTGGTGTAAACGCACCCAGGTTGTTTAAAATGTGCAAAATAACTTTTCCTTGTATAATCTCGCTGCATTCAGACCGACTACACATTAATGATGAACCCTTTGCTGTAACCATCTGGTAATACCTGCCGTGAGGTCAGCACAGCCTAGGAGCTGACATCCAAGGTTCGGTGGTCTTGTTTATCCAATCTATCAGCCCAACGGGAGTAGTGTATACAATATTCGCGGCTTATGTATCAAGAGTGCATGGAACTTTGACCTGACAAAGAAGATGAACGAGGACTGGGGCTGGATCTTGCAGTTGTTTACTGGGTCGAATTAGAAGGAGAAGCAGCTTTTGCAAACTTCGATTGATAGTACATTTGCACGGTTTGCGTTTTTGGAAGATGGGCTTGTAGAAGACCAAGCTGGTCTATTGACCAAGCGGAAGAACCAGATAACAGATGATGTGCAAATAGAAACGGGCAGCCCAAGAAAAAAAAGAGAAAGCGCGATGTCTACTCAGCCGTACTGTAAACGATATGCGTGCGCCTGCCGCCATTATCCTTTCGTTTAGTATAGCCTTTTTTTTCTCTCCCATTACAAGCCCTCCCAGTAGCCCAGTGAGCAACTACCGATGCCAAGTGAGAATGATATGTCGACCTTTCATGGCGTAGCCCTGAGATGACTCGCAACGGGCACCCTAAAAACCCATGCATCATGTTTGGGTACCGGGGTTGCATGCGCCACGTGGTAAGTCTCGACCAAGAGTTTCGCTTTGCATATCATTCTGCTCTCCGCGAATACGCTCCGCCTCACGAGCAAGAATCCACGCCAACTTAATACCTAGCGTAGACCCGACACGCGACAGCACAGAGCGAATCAGTTCCACCTGCGCCGGATTCGGCATACCGGAAGCGAGGATATACCAGAGGGGCCAGAGCAAGCCGTAACCCTGACCGGCGCGCATTTGCCAGGCGCTATCTGATTTATTCGGACGGCCGAGGGAGTCGACATCAGCTAGCGCGAAGGGGAGGCTGCGGCAGACATCTGTGGTCATTTCGCGGATGACAGCTCTCAAAGCTAGCTCATGAAGAACGGGTCTGGACTCAGGCTCAGAGGTGCTGGTATCCTGGGAATCGGGGAAGTGCTTGGCCGCTTTGATGGAAATAAGTATGCTGTTTAGGCCGAGAAGAAGCTGCTGTACCATCACGCGTACTGCGCGATAGTAGTTCCAAACCACAACGTTGGGGATGCGGTTGTAGGTTAGGAGGGACTCGCCCTGTGCTGAGTATACGACTAGTGGGAGCCAGCGGTCTGGGAGGGTCTGTGTCCACTGGGAGAATTCGATGTCGCACTCGCGGCCGGCTGTGATCCATGATTCAACGGTTGCTTGATCCGGGGGTTTTGGTGAGGATCTTATGGATTGGAATAACTGGCAGAGCTTTGATGCAGTGAGCATGAGCCGCTCGGTTGGCTTGTTGATGTCCAGCATGCTGAAGACCCATTCAATGTCGAAGCGGGGCCTGTCTCCCAGTGCGAGGATTTCGACATACTATACAAGGGTCAGTCTTAGACCGATATTTAGTGGTATATGACAAGTCCCGATGTTGGAACCTTGCGTCAAGCCTACCGTGTGAGCATAGGCGAAATGAAGCATATCCCGACCGCGCTGATGATAAATCTGCGCGTCTCCACGGAGCTTCGTCAAAAACTCGAACCCAGCTGTATGTGAGCTAAACAACCCATTCCGCTCACCCGAGATATCTTCATATAGCGAAAGCAAAACAACCGAAGCAAACGTCTCATCCTTAATCGCATTAGCTGGTGATGCCAGCGCCTCCTGCAATCCCCGCAAAGCCCGCCCATAGCCCTGTCGCGCCTTGTTCAAGAGAGGCGGGGCATTCTTAGCATTAGCAAAAGTCATCAATGCCGTGGCATCGAATGCCCACAGCAAACAGGAAGACGGCGATTCGTCGCTCTGACGACGAAGCTCGCGTGCGTACAGCGGGGGCAGATAGTCGAGATGCCCGCCGTCCTCGGAATCGCCTTTGATGGTGTACTGGTCGAAGAAGTAGCACAGTGCTCTTTGTTCCCAGCTGGAGTCAGCGGGCGAGTATAGCGTCAGTGCAGCCTTGTCATGGCTTTTCCCATGGGAGCTTGCGCGTCGGCGGTTCGAGACGGCTGATATATATGAGTCGGAGGTTGAGGGGCTGTCATAACCGTCGGTATTACTGTGGGCATTTACGCTGGCACTGCTCTTCACCAGTCGCTCGACTTTCCTGGTCTCGTTGCGGAAGACAGCATCCGGCCGGTACCCTGGACATGGTCGGCCATATATAATGCAGTTCCGACACTCCGGGTGGGCTTCATCGCACTGGGAGGGAGGATATTTAGCACTCAGCCTTTCATTTCATGCAAATAAAACTATACAGTATAGACAGAATACAGCTCATTGGTGGGGTAAATTGAAGAAACACAATATTGAAGCTCTGGCCATACCTTTATCTTCCGCTTGCGACAAAGGTAACATCCGGTACTTGGTTTACCCCCATAGACCATTGTTCACCCGCGGGCTATCGTCTGAGGAACCTCTGAAACTTGCGAGTACTTTGACAGAAACCACAAGGGGGGCTGCAAGTTACAGAGAGGCCGGGCTCGATCTGGGTTCCACAAAGGTCAAGGACGGCCGTTTGTCATCGGTTGTATCTAGATCAACTCGGCTGCCTAGTCGGAGTGAAGCACATGCACATCTTAAAGGATGTGCGAATAGCTTTTCTAGAGCAAGTTTCTCGTCTATTTCGGCGACCAATGCTCGCGTTAAGGTCTAAGGGACATTGAGTTTCGTCCAGGACATTTCCAAACCCTCGGCACCCCGGAGTAGTCTGCTTAGTCATTCTCAACCTTGGCCACCTGGGCAGGCCTGGATAGGACATTTGGAAATGTAAATGATATAGAATTCATCGGGCTAGATGGTATATAAATCACATTCCAATTGTTTCCAGAAAGGTATCATGTACTCAACCACAAAGCACTCCGAAATGGCTGGTGTGAAATAAAAACAAGGTAAAAAAAGATCTCACAACTCCAGTATGGTAACTTGACCAGTCTGGACAATGAACCAAGACACAGTAACCAAACAGATTTGCAACACCAAATATGCAACCGCATGGTGCTCTAAAAATACCTATGGAGGAACGCCGGCAGCTCATTCTGAAGGCAAAGCACCCACTGTTGACAAAAACAGACCGCGCTCAAAAAGACGGGGAGATAAATATAACAAAATAAATGGATATGCGTTATCGTTAGATGGCAGGATATCAAGACAGACTGGATCAGACCAGTAAATGCTAAGAGATTAGGAGGAGGGCGCGTCTGGCATAGGTGCATCGCTATCAGTGCCTAACGGGATCGATGGTGAGGGGTCGGAGCAGAGGGTTCGACGTCGTGGAGCGTCCAGGTCGCGGTCATCAACAGAGCTTAAACCTGGAGTGCTTACAGCACTCTCAATGGCTGTATCATCGGAGTCTTCTGGTGGCGGAGAGAAAGACCAGACCTGCGATATATATTAGAAAACATGTCATAGAGCGGAACATCACCACGTACCTCCATAACCGTGCGGCCAGATCGGCTTGCCATAATTACTGCCTTTTCATCCTCAAAAGCAACCCTCCAAACTGCCTCGGCCGGAGTAGAGAGCTCCCGCAATAACTGACCAGTCTGTAAGTTCCAAACCTTGACCCGGCCATCGCTGCCACCACTGACAATGCGGGTCTTATCAAACTGAAGGCTGGTGACACTGTTATCGTGGGCCGCAAGACGGTGAATCGGTGCCATCTTGGTCAATGACCAAACACGGACAGATCCATCTGAGCCACCCGTCACTAGCGTGTCGTCCCGCATCTGTAGCTGACCAACCAAAGACGTGTGCCCTTGCAAAATGGCGTGGCACTGCCCAGAGTGCGGGTCCCAGATCCGCACGCTAGTATCCAGACTTCCCGTCGCGATCCGTCGGCCATCAAAGGCAATAGCGTAGATCTGACTAAAATGTCCTGAAAGAGTGCGAAGACAGCGTCCTTGCGAGATGCTCCATATACGCGCAGTCGTATCATAGCTGCCCGACACGACTAGATCACCATGGATGGCCAGGCATCGCACGCTGGCTTGGTGTCCGACGAGGACGTTGCGGCATGTCCCTGTAGCGAGATCCCATATCCGAAGGGTGGTGTCTCTGGATCCTGAGATAGCTGTGTTCCGATCCGACATTTTCAGACAACGGACGGTTGATGTGTGACCCCGAAGGAGATGAATTCCCACCCTATCATGCGTTAGTTCTTGCTTGTGCAAGTCGTGGGGGTTCTATCCTACCCAGTAGCCATGTTCCATACTCGAACTTCGCGATCGCAGCCTCCGCTGACCAGAATGTCGTCCCACGGGACCATCGCCCATACTCCCATCACATGACCTTGAAGTGTCTTCTGGTTGTCACCGTTGGTATCATATACATGGATCTTCGCATTATCTAACGCAACGACAATATACTTTGGAGTGAGGTGAAGGCTTGTCACCACGCCTTGGTCGGGAGTGATATGGCGCTGGGTACAGCGACCACCTTTATTCCACGCCGACTCAACCATATATTTCTGCTTGAACTGTGAACGGTAGGAGACAGGACGGGTCCGACGTCTTCGGGAGAAGCTTGTCGGAGGCAACCATTCTCCCGAAAGCGTGCGGGGAAGGTCCGGTGCGCTCTCCGTTGCCTGTCCATTTGAGGCGGTCAAGCGCCGCTGCAGGCCGCCGCTGAAGGTGCGTGCGCCTGAAGCCGAGTCTACAGGGTGGGCGGTGAAAGGGTCGACGAGGTCCCCTTCATCTTCCAGCACCCGCCGCACCGAGTATGCATGTTTCTCGCATAAGTTTTTCCAAGTGATATCATCACTTAGTAGTTCTCGCCAGCGCCGTGATACTTGTGAAGCTCGGGCGAGAGTCTTTGGGTCGTCGATGAAGGAGAGAACCTAGGTAGACTCAACATTAGTACTGAATAGTAAAGAGATTCGACTAAACGGGCTCACTCTTAAACATAGCTCATTAGGGAAAACCTGGAATGGGTCCTTTCTCAATCGAGGACCGACATAACTTGACACAAAGCTTAGTTGCTGGCTGTCGCATACGTCCAGAAGACCCTCCAAGAGTTTTTGTTTTCGGGCGTTGGATAGAGTACTGAAGTGCAGGCGGAGGTTTAGCAGAACGCTGGACTCTTCATCATCGGTCGAGTGCCAAGTTGGTGGTCGTTGATGGGGGGTAGGGCTGGGCGCGGGTGTCGGGGGAGATGCGGGCGCTGAAGGAAGTAGGTTGGCGGGTAAAGGAGTGACAGTTTTCTTGGTGCTGAGTGATCTGGATGGTGTACTAGCGAAAGTAGTGACTGGGTCGTGGGACGTTTGATTGTGATCCAACTGGTCCGATGTGTGCGCATTCGACCCATCTCCCATGTCGCTGAATGATGCCCGATGGGAGTCCATGGCGACAGAACAGGGGGAAGCCCGCCACAGTCGAGTATAATCCTCCCACTTTTCCGATTTGTATTTATTGATATAATGCACCAAGCCTCCTAGCGTTCACGGCCGGCATAGAGTTATAAGCGAGTCGGGAATCGGCGAGTATGAGGTTCGGGGGTACGAGGAGACTGGAGAACCGGCCGAGGGAAGGAGGAAGGTGAGACCAATATAATCCTCCGAAGGTGTCGAAGCAGCCCGTTTTTCTTTTTTTTTTTTTTGCTCAAAAGATCCCCTTTTTTCACTTTTCTTTTCATTCAATCAAAGTTTGAGATCAACTTCCAATGAAAAAATAGGCGATGAGGAAAAGGGACATTTCAAGCGGAGGTGTCGTGATTCTGACAAAGCAAAGCGTCTCCGGGGGACTAATCAGATGAGAATTATATGGATCTTATGCATCCGGCACAGATTGTTTCTTTTCTCTGCATCTTTTTTTTTTTGCCTTCTGATTTGCCTGAGGTTTCCTTTTGGGGGTTCATGGCAAAAGAGGCAACGGGGAGGCGTCGAGAATGTGAACCCGAAGGTTTTAGCCAAAACCAAGTCATTGATCTTGAGGGCTAAATATCGTGAACTAGAAAGGCAACCTGATATTCACGATACTCACACGATACCAACGAGAGATATAGACCCAAGGCCTTGGATTAGCATGCGGCTATCGGAAATTGGACCATGGAACTCATGAACAACGGGATGATTCAGACTGACGAGACTGACGAATCTTGTCATCACCCCCAAACATTCTGAAAATATGAACCCCCCGGGGAAGTCAACCTGACATCGAAGAGGGGGACCTGTTGGGCTTTAAATAAGGCAACAGTGACGCTACGTAGATGTGATCGTGAGATACCATGCAATTATGACCAACATAACACCCAAAAAAGCAGTTATACATCTATTCAAAACATATCCTCCCTTAATTTCAATTTATCTCAGCCAGAACAACCCATCTCCAAACTTTATCTTGCAACGGGTATAAGCCCCCCAAAATCTAGTTGAAAAGCGAAAATGCAAAAACATTATGGCATATCCCCAAGGAATACATGCGGTACTTGCTCAGTGAGCATGTCCAATCTGCAAGAATAGTGGCAAGATCATGCCTAAAACAGATGCAATCAAGTCTCTCATGGACTTGTCCGATCCATTCTGATCTCGGTCACCATATCCGTTGGTAGGAAGTTCGCGCGGGGACGAACCTGGGCCATTTTCTTGCATAGTGTGCATCGCAACATACCTACACAGATTAATGAAAAGATCAATATATTCAGCGGGATAAAAAAACTCACAAAAAGGTACCCCCGGAGAAAAGCAGCAGCATTCCAGTGCGCCAGTGAGTGCCCGCCTCATCGGCACCGGAAGATCCCATCATCTGCACAAACAGGAAAGTGGCCAACGCACCGAAGGGAGCTGCAAGACTGAAGACCAGCAAATGCGCTCTCGCGGTGCGACTTGACAGCCCTTGCTTCAGCAGAATGGAGGTCAGTCCAAAAGATGCTGGAGCTTTATGCACCATGATCGCCAAGAAGATAATAAAACTGAGCCCGGCATCCGAGCTAGAAGCGCCTAGAGCAATACCGTCCGCCGCGGCGTGGATCACTAGGCCGGTCGTGGTCGCAAAGCTGTGGCCCCGTCTGGACGCGTGGTTTGCATCCAGTAGTCCACCCTCGCGCGAGGGGGAGGAACCCCGCCGCAACCCCGACCCAAGGTTATCCAACGAGATATGGTAGGGCATCCGTTCGCTCTTAGTCGGCGCAGCGAATTCGGGCAGTTTATCGACGAGGTACATCAAAATGAAACCACTGATGAGGGCGATTCCGACCCACGCATGCGGCGAGCTCTCCTCCTCTCCGTGAATCGTCTCATTGCCCGTTGTTTCACCTGTCGAATCCTCCTTTCGGACATAAAGTGTTTGCGACTCGGAGAATTGGTCTCTTTCCAGAAGGAGACTCGGAATAGGGGTGTCAGACGATAGGCTTGAGTCGATGTTTCCGTTAGGGTCAAAAGTGGCCACGGCCGGCGCCTGGTTTTGCCATTCGATAGCGGTAGCGCGTGTATTGTGTTGCTTGCGAGTGAGAGAGTTTGCGCTGTAGAGAGTTTCAATGCCCTCGGGGATAATCACAATCAACGATGTCCCCACCAAAACACCCATACCAATGGACGATATTAAGCGGAGCTGAGAGGGGGACAATGTAAAAGCGAGAGGTAATGAGCCGACGACAAAAGATCTGCCAATAAATCAAAGCATTAGCTTGTATCCAGTTGAACGTTAGTTTCCCAAGGTTGGATTGGTAGCTCACGTAATTGCCATCACAATGCTCAAGGCGAGCAGAGTGAATAGTCCCTCCATGATGATCTCGCAATTCACTCTATAGATTTTCTATCATGGTGGAATTGAAGAGAGGGTCCAGAGAAAGTCTGCCCAGGTGGAGAGGGTGGTTGCGTAAGAGGCCAAGGTGGAAGGAGGTCGGACCCACGTAGTTCAGGTACCGCTTTCAAAACATACCAGGGGGAAGTATGTATGGAGTACAGGGTATGGACGACAACATATGGGTACTTGGAAGGGATTTTATTTGAAGGCCCTTGAAAGGCATGCATACAAAGATAAGGCTTAAGTTGATTCTAGAACATGTTGTCGAACACTATATCCCCTAGCCACACATCTGGCCTGGCCGGACGCGGACTATACAGGGCCGAGTGCAACCATCCTTGCTTGTATCCTTTTTGTAGTGGTTTCTATTTTTTCTGTCTATATTATTTTGCTTTACTTCACGTCTATAATCAATATTCTTCGAATTATTAATTAATATGTTCTGTTCAATCCACGCAAGCCACCGTCGGCCACGTTTTCACATTGATACTCCGTACTGATAGGAAGAACACAGCAGTCACATATTCTCTGCTAGAATATGCAAAGATCACAGATCAAACAATAATCTTCGGCGATCATTATCGCATCAGAATCCCTGAGTTACTGTTATCGTGTGCACCTTTCGGCAGTCGAAAGCCCAAGTACGGCAAATATCTTCCCGGGTGCCAATAGATGAAAAGTGCAACACACGGATAGATAAACAAGGCGTCAAAGATATACAAAGCCCATTCGTGGGTGCTCAAATACCCTGTTGTGCCTTCGGTGAATTCGACAAGTCGATAAACAGACCGAACCTAGTACAAGTCAGCGAGTGAACAGCATCTTAAGGTGAATAACTTACAAGAATCAATATCGTGGAGAAATTGACAACTCTCAATAGAGCAGGCCAATTCTTGTGTTTGACGGTGCCACCAATCCTGTACTCCTTTTCTCCGACATTCTCATATCGCTCGTCTAGAGACCGAGTGAAACGCTTGGAAGTGAAGTTGAAACGGACAGCTGCGACTGCGAACAAGCCAAAGGCAACTAGTTGAATAATAACACCTATTTGGGCAACATGTTTTCCCGTGTTAAGGTTTTTTCTCGCATCCTTATCTGTCACCTCAACTGTAGAGATCATCACCGCACCACCGAGCTGGAGTAGCAGAGCAATGATGTCAAACCCGACGAAGATAGGTGTAATCCATCGGGGAGGTACCCAGCATAATCGGAATGTGCGTTGTTCTTTCGGAACAACAAGGAACAAAATGCGACTGAAGATGATATAGCAGCAGGCTGCCATAAGAACGGGTGCAAGGATGACGAGGGCGAATTGAAGAACGTAAACGTCTCTCTGCAATGGGTTTTTGACTGAGACGCATCTCCCAATGTAGCCGATTGCTTCCACTGAGTTGTGAGTTAGCTTGAGTGAATGCCAGATCAAATTCGTACGTACTGGCTGCTGATAGCACCATGACGCTCCAGACCCAGGCCCTGTACCGGACCCATTGTATGGCTGTCAACAGAAAAGCAATGGTGTACAAGACAGCAGCAACAATTGCTACTGCCAGCGAGGGGTTATAATGATAATAGGATATTCTTCTCTCCCCGTGCATAGCACGCTCAATGAGAGACATTGTACGAAGTAGATGTTTGCGACACTCACGTCTGAAATGAACGTGAAATGGTTTACTTCTCAGTAGTCTGTTTTTGAAAAGAAAAATGGTTAGAACTCAAGATGGGAGTTGGCAGACTTTTTAATGGGGGAGTTATGGCAAGTAGTGAACCTCACAACTGTATGGTACTCTTCTTCCCAGGCTTACTCTCTTCACTCACTTGGCTCCCTTGGCTCTTTTCGCTCTCAACTCTCGATGAAAACTATCGAGATCTCTCAAGTCCTCCCAAATTTGCAGGTAGTCGGGCCCACTTTATCTAATGGAAAAATCAATTTTAGCAAATTATGTACACATGCACGGAGGAGTTACCTATGTACCTAGGTATGTTATGATTTTAAACTGATGAAACAGATACCCAATTAGGAAAGGTCGATGCCAAGCATCTATCAAAGTTCTATCAGTCGTCTACTTATCTCCCGAGGTCCGATTCTCACGAACATTTTGCCTACATAGGTATTTCCAAATTTATAATTGAGACATACCATCCACTCGCAATATTAATGCCCTTCTACGATCCCAGCAAAGGTCATCTGTGTGTAGCACGTTTAATGGGTGACATTTAGATTCTAGGACACCCGTAGACATCTAGAATGACTGAAAGATGGCCCTGGAGGAGTTAGGCAGCTTTCTAATAGGGGAGCTCCAGGTGATAAGTTCTAGGCTTCTCAACTGTATAGCACTTGCTCATTCCACTTTCAACTCTCGATGGAAACTATAAAGATGTCTTAAGAACTCCTAAAATTTTCAGATAATCAAGCTCAATTTATCCAGGTGCAAAAGTGAATACATAGCTATGTTAGCAATTTGCTACATAGATGTAATTTTCGATGCAATTGAAATGGTACCTTGGCCAGAGATTTTTCTATTATTGTAAAGGCAATTGACTTTTGGTAGAGCTGGTCTCTGCAAAGTAACATAGCAAGACATCAACCTCAGCAGCTTAACTTAACGTCTAGGAGCAGTGCAGCTCTTGGGTCTAGCTCATGAACTCCCACCCACACTTGCTCTCAGAGGACATATATAGCTCCCATATGGATGGTAGTGGTTAAAATGTAATTAGGAGAAACAAACCTGCCCTAAACGATGCCACTGCTGTCGCGCAGACAATTAACGTTCGTAAAAATGATTGGGAGTAAATTATTTGCAAAGGATATGCATTTAAAGGTCGCTTTTCACATTTTGAATGCATTTTGAGTTATTTTTGTCGCCTGTATTCTATGTTTTGCGGCTAATGCTTCGCGCGATACAACCTTAGAAACGATGTTGCCTTCATCCACTACATTAATAGTGTAGTTAGCCACACAGAGATTAGTAGTACCTCTCGTGGGGGGCTATTAGAGACCTAGGAGCTTCTCTACAACCATGATGTCACGGTGAATGGAATAGACGCACCTTAGACTACTCTGTTCCTAAACAACTCTCTTGACTGTTACGGCTCCTCCAAATCCGCTTCATCTACGGAGTACGACGAGTCCCACATCAAGGGTGTCGAAGAGATTGAGCTGGGATCCTCGCGCAACGACTACGGCTTTTGATGTATTCGGCCAAAGTGCGCTTTCAAGCTCAACTATCATAGAAGCTGCTGTCATCTCTGCTGATTTGGGAACCGAGCCATTTGCACCATCAACTATTGCACACAATAATAGAGATCCCATCTTCTACGAACAGTCTAACTTCAGCCAACACGTCGACTGCTTTGCCCATTGCACCACTTGATAGTCGCACGAATCTCATCACCACTATCACACGGAGGCACAGGCACAGAATGTTTGCCACGTAAGATACGTCTACGCTTAGATGCTCCAAAATGGGTTTTCTAACCGCTGACACCTACTCAAGTTCTTTTTATCATGTTGATTGAACCAAATCTTCCGGCAACTTCGAGGGTCGAAGTCCCGCTTAGAGGGTTTCCAAGGCGAGTTTGTCTCGAAGATCTCGCACAATTAGCTGGTTACCCACATATAACTACAAGATCCCGAATGACATAGAGATCAAAAATAATGATGATCAAAAGCGATGTTTATCTATGTACTCCGTACTTTGTATGTAGACTTGAATGATGAAACAGATACCCAATTAGGAAAGGTCGATGCCAAGCATCTAACCAAAGTTCTACCCAAGTGGAGAGTCTGAGCCCCAAGTTACCCCAGTCATCTGCTCACCTCGAATTCTCACGAATTGCTTGCCTATTTAGAATTGAGTATGACACCCCCGCATCTACTTTGAGACGATGCCTTTCTACGGTCGTCCCAGTAAAGGTTGCTGCAGTTGCCGGGAAAGACGGATAAAGGCAAGTGGCGTGGACCAACCCCGACCAATTATAGACTGACATGGTCTAGTGTGATCGGCTTGAGCCAATATGTTCTCAATGCAAGAGAGCGGGCAAACCATGTGGCGGCTATCGGGACGTGCCGTCTTTTATGTTCCGCGATGAAAATGACAAGGCGGCCCGACGGAGTGCAGATGCAAAAGCCAAAACCGAGGCCCGTCGAAGATTGGAGAATAGCGCATCTCTCGAATCTGATATATCCATTCCTGAATCGCGAGCCGATCGTTCACCGTTGGATGCTTTAGTCTGCAGGAGCAGGAGCCAATTGAGCCCGACTCCCAGGATCATTGCCCCGCTGTCCACCTCATTGGAGGACCAGGGGTTGAGGTTCTTTATTAACCGTTTTGTGACACGGATGGCCACCAGAGCAGATGGTTCTCTAGATACAGGTATCGTGCAGCCTTTTCCTCGATTTGAGGCAATTTCTCTTGACCAGTCGAGTCGAGATGCTGTTGTCTCAGTTGGGCTTGCGGCCTTGTCCAATGTCAATAATGACAGAGAACTACGGATATTGTCTCAAGAGAAACATGCTATGGTCCTCAAGGCTGTTCGAGAAGTGGTGGAGAACCCCGCTCAGGCAAATCCCCAAAAAACGTTCCACTTGATCGTAATGCTTAGTCTGTACTCGGTACGTTCTTCAATTTAATGATTTCTGACTGTACTATAATGATTATAACGGTCTGACCCCCACAGGTGGTCAGTTGTACCTCAGACCAGCTCGACTCTTGGATAGTGCATCTGGATGGTGCGGCTGCCTTACTTAAACAGTCCACCTTTGGGCTATCACTCACGACTTTGAACCACCGAGCCCACTTACAATTCTACTTTGTTTCAATTGTCAAATACTTCTCCAAGAGGGTTGTCACTCCGGATCTGCTGGACTGGTCTCCTGATATTATACCCTTCCCGCCACCAGATATCTTACCAGGTGTCGGTCTTGTTGACATACTGATAAGATTCACGAAGTTCGATGCATATCTACATTACCAAAAGATTGACGCGAGAACAGTGGTGGACTCGGCACTATTGTTTGAATATGAACTCTGCAAGTGGGAAACTCACCTCCCACCATATTGGTCCTTTACTGTGAAAGAATCCAATGCATATGAGCACACATATCGTGGCCAATATCATGTCTACAAGGATATTTGGGTTTCGAAAGTTCTCAATCACTACCGCTGGGCACGAGTGCTAGTCAATGAGACCATCGTATCCCTAATTTCAAGAATGGCACAACCAACAGCAAATAATGTGCTTCAACGGCAGCAAGCATTAGACACGATTTCCCGCATGGCAGTTGACATATGCGCCGGAGCTGCAAGTCAGGAAGCTATCACCGGGCAAGGAGTTTCCGAAGACCCATCACATACACCACTGTTGAATGGTACCTTCATGTTGCTTTTCCCATTAGGAGTTGCTGGAGGTGCGGCGGGGACTCCCGATGAAGTTCATGAATGGGTTGTTGGGATGCTTGAGCGAATAGGAGGTACGATGGGGATCCGGCGAGCTTTAGAAATGATACCTCAACTGAAGAAATCAGTGGAGAAATGGAAACTAGATCAGAAGCGATGGAACAGCATACATGAACCAGTGGACACAAATAGAAGTTAGTCATAAAGACAGCCTGCTTGCAGCTCCTTCCAACCACTGGAAGGTTCTTTCCCTATTAGTACCCGAGTACTCGTAGCTTCCTCAAGTTATAAATAGTACATGGAGTATCTACTTCCTTGGTGTATCATGTTTCGCAGTCTCCTGGATTCTTGATTTTTAGGCTGTACGGGGCGCTTTGGTCAGTAGATGCAAATGTTTTTCTTTACTTACTCTGCATGCACTCTCTCATTGACATATTGAATTCTATGTAGTGTGTAGTTTACGGGTAGTGCCCAGCCCTGGGAGTGAGTGAGCGGCCCCGGGCTGTAGATCCAGATTAGGTAATACTGATGCGCGCCTGGGCTGGGGCGCGTATTCGCGTCTCTCTTTAGACTTCAGACCTTCCATTGTCTTATTTGACATTCAAGTTTCACATATTCTATCAAAATGGCGAGCGAAGCTGGTTGTAAGTTTATAGCCTCCCACTATATGACGGCGTCAAGATATAAGCTCATTGATATTCATTTTAGGGTCTTGCGACGCCAACGATGCGGTTCATGTTACCATCATTCAACCCGGCGAGAAAAAGCCAAAAACACTTTCGACGTTCCACCCCCAATTCACTTACCCTATTTTTGGCGACGAGGAGCAAATCTTCGGCTACAGAGGCTTAATTATTCGTTTGCGCTTTGCGGCCCATGATTTGCGCCCTCATGTTCACATTTCCTATGACGAGAAGTTCAAGCCGGTTGGTGACACAGCTGCTGTCGATCTTCTCAATACTTTGAAGCCCTTTGTCCAGCAAGGTGAGTTTAAGCTTTGCGACAATAGGTGTAATATGAACTAACCACGATTTTGCGCAGAGGCGTTCGTCAATCTCCCAGACTATGAGAAAGCTGTTCAAAACGACCCAGACGCGAAAGATTTCAAGCCCCCGGGCAAGTTTGTCATCGGCTACGAGGTTAATGATAGGAAATATGAGGTCTGGGCTGGATCACTTGCAGATCCGGAAGTGCGCAAAATTCTAGATCGCATGCAGGTTCTCGTTTCCCTCTTCATTGAAGCCGGAACTCCTCTAGACACAGATGACCCAGAGTGGACACTTGACCGGTGGAGGGTATATTTCGTGTATGTTTTTCTTGCTGTGCTGGTATCTGTGACCTAAGGCTAATCAAATTTACAGATATGAGAAGGTGACTCCTCCAACAGCAACAGGATCATCATATTCGATCGTCGGATATGCGACAACGTACCGCTATTGGTATTACCAGCGAGATCAATCGCAAACGCCCACAGTCAAGAACGACGAGTTCCCGCCACCAGAAGTCAATATTGCCGAGCTTCCTGCACGTATTCGCATTGCGCAATTCCTTATTCTCCCTTCACACCACCGCGCCGGCCACGGCACACACCTATATACCACAATCCATGCGGCCTGCATCGCAGATCCAACAATTCTAGAATTGACCATCGAAGACCCCAATGAACAATTCGACGCGCTTCGGGACACAGCTGATTATTGTCTGCTGCGGCCGGAGTTCCTGGAGCACAACGTGAATCTCAACCCCGACCCCCTCGGGGCGTATTCTCAAAAGAAACGCCCTCGCAATGTGCCCACTTCCGCCCTCATCCCCACCAAGCTTCTCCACGACATCCGCAAATCGTTCAAGATCGAACCTACACAGTTTGCACACGTTCTGGAGATGTACCTTCTCGGTCAGATTCCTCAAAGCCACCGCCTGGCCGGCGGCACAAACCTTGCTCGATTGTTGATCAAGAAGTTCAAGGCCGAAAATGAGGATGACCGACGCTACTACTGGTGGCGTATGTTGACCAAGCAACGTCTCTATAAAAAACACAAAGAACTTTTGAATGAATTAGAGCTTCTAGACCGGGTGGAAAAACTCGATGCTACGGTCCAAAATGTGGAGGAAGGTTACGAGATCACATTGGATGCGCTCGAGGGCCGTTTGCCAGAAGGTGAATCGGATGAAGAGGCAGAAGCAAACGATCAGGCTAGCAAGGCTCCTACCGGTAGCCGAGACCGGTGTATTAAGCGCAAGCTCACGGTCATGGATGATGATGATGACGAGGAGGAAGAGACAGAGCTAACTAAGCGACCAAGGGTTTAGAAGCCTTGTGGTGGTCAGCTCTCTTGTGTACTATGCAATACAAGAGGCTGTTGTTTTCGAAGTATTTAACAGACCAGTCAGTCTTCGACAACGTTCTTTGATATGTGTTCAAGTTTAGAAAGCTCAATTCTAGTCGATACCCACTAACTTATGTTACCGAAAGCTCATACTAGTAGATATATAAATATTTGAGATGTGGAATAGTATATGCAAATGGAAGAACAAAAAAATCCCCCCATTTGAGAGTTCGAGAGTTCCTTGTAGGTGTACTCCGTACGGAGTAGATAGTCACACATTTGGGCTCGGCGCTTTCCTTTTTCCGGCTCCCTCATCGCATCTCTTGGAGCTTGAATCCATTGCTACTCTCAACATCCCCAAATAAATCAACAGCCCCATTCATTAGCGTTTAATTCCGCTATTCAATCCATAAGTCGCAGACTTTGGACCTACGCAGCAACCCGCGCTCTTTCAACACTGTGCGCCAACTGACTCACCCACCTCCTACCCACCTCGTCAATCGCATTCCAAAATGGTAAGCTCTAGCTGTACCCACACGCATTTTCCAAGACCTAGACTAACTCAATTTTTGCTCAGCTGCCTCTCGGTCTCCTCACAGCCGCACAAGGCCACCCCATGCTGGTGGAACTTAAGAACGGCGAAACTCTGAACGGCCACCTGGTTACCTGTGATAACTTTATGAATCTGATTCTGCGCGAGGTAGTTCAGACGAGTCCTGAAGGCGACCGCTTCTTCAGATTACCCGAAGTCTACATCCGGGGCAACAACGTAAGCCCTCTGACGAGCAACCACCTCAGAGCCCCGCTCTGTGACTGTGTGCTAACAAACAAACCAGATCAAATACCTACGAGTTCCCGAAGAGATTGTCGAAATTGTCAAAGATCAGCAACAGAATCAACCACAAGGCCGTCGCGGCGGTCACGGACGAGATGGTGACCGTGGCCGTGGCCGCGGTCGGGGTGGTGGTGGTGGTGGCGGCGGCCGCGGTGGACGTGGTCGGGGACGAGGTGGTCCCAATTAGATATAAGCTTGTTCTGCATCAATGATTTTAAGAAGACGGCAAACGAGATACCCCCGGAGGAGACGGTGGTAAGGTCGCTCGGAAAATCCGGTGGAACGGTTTGATTGAGCATGGCCGTGGCGTATCTGGCTCTGTATTTTCATGGCATATGGGTCACTTGGTCGATTTACAACTACCTCAAAATGTTAGACTCCAAAAACCCAAACTAGACTTGCACATTTCTCTGTAAGCCTCGCGCATTCTAAGAAGTGAATATTCGTGTCTATCACGTGATATCAAACTCCAGATCAAATCCGCGGAGGCTAAGCTTCCGATCAGTTAGTAACAAACGGATATGTCGCGGCGGGCGTTGGTCCTCGATGGGCTATGGTACTCTCTGTGTCCATCATTTACAGCCCTATACCTCAGTCGATCAACAGCATTCCCCAAATCTAAGGGACGAAACCCGAGACTATATCCGCTACCTTCGATTTCTAGCGCGAGCGCGGGTTCGCGCCGATGTTACAACACCCCAGGTGGCGATAGTTTCAAAGTCCCATATAATGCTTCAAATCATAATGATCGGAGTGAAGCACGCGAGCCACGCGACAATGAATACCGTGACGCTTGCCTGTCTCCAGATCCAACCACCAGGCCACCCATACGACGAAAAGGCCCGCCGCTATATACACGGACGCACAGGGTACAAGATGACCTTCTAGGGAAAACGAATGAAGGACTAGAGTCCCGATTGCAATATGCAATGGACAATAAGCCGAATATCCGACACATAACGCAGGTCCTGCGGCTGCTCATTCGGGACCGCCATGTCCAGCCAAATGCTCGCCATTACAAAGCGCTGATCCTTGCAAATACCGATAACGAGAGGGGTTCTCCGGAGCTTGTGCGCGGCCTACTGGAGGAGATGGAAAATAATGGCATCACCGCGGACTCTGGTACACTCCACGGTGCATTGCAGGTAGGCTATTCGGTTGAATTGAGCTATACATGTCTAAAAAGCGAAGCTAATGATTCAATTTCCAATACAGGTCCTCGCTGTACATCCGGACTACCTCCTGCGACAGGAAATCCTCAACAAGCTCCGAGATCGGTGGCTCACACTGAGTCCAGCTGGGTGGCATTTTGTGGCTGCTGGTCTTCTCCGCGAGAACCAGATTGAGCTTGCGCTCGAGCATGTTGCATTGATGGAGCGTAAGGATATATTTGTGCAAAATTGGCTACATAGTATAATTGTCTATACGCTCTGTGACCATCGGGAGTTGGACGAGGTGTACAGAGTGATGTGCGCGCGCGTCGACCAGGGCCACGACATGACCCATCGGCTTTGGATGCACGTGTTGACCGAGGCAGGGAGACAGGGTCATTACCCAATGGCACACTACGTGTGGCGACGGATGGTCGAACTGGGCTACATGCATCCGCTCATTGAAGTCTGCGATGACGTATTAAAAATGGCTGCACATGCTGGTGATACAGATCTGGCACGCTCTGTGTTCCGTTACCTCCGTGAGAGCGGGATTCCGCTCCAGCGTACACAGTATGAAGGACTTGTTGAGGCGCACGTGGCAGCGGGTGATCTGCCTGCTGCGTTTGAAACCCTTTGCACCATGCATGAAGCTCATATTCCACTGGCAGATAGCTCGACGGAGCGTGTTCTAGCGCACATGATACAGAGTAAAGTTGATCGTCGGGAGGCGTGGCAGATTCTCAAGCGGTTGAAGAATGAGAAACGAACCATTCCCATCGACTCTGTCCGCGTCATTGCAGATCTATGTGAGCACGATGCCCATGACGACCCATCTGTGGTGGATGACGGAGTTGGGTTCTACAAAGAGCTCTATACGTTATGCCCCGAAGGCGCCGATGTGCGAGTGTACAACGCGCTAATTCGGATGTGCCGAACGGCCCGCAACCGCGAATCGGGCATGTTCCTGGTAAAAGAGATGGCGTCACTTGGGGTAGTACCGAACGGTGTTACTTTCGAGTCTATCATTCTGATGTGTCTGGATGCGAGAAATTTCCGGTCCGGTTTCATGTACTTCCAGGACCTGATGAAGCGAGATGCCAGACTCAGCCCTGAAACGCAGAAGCAAATCCGTGAAATCTGTGCCGGGTCCGTGGACGAGTTTGCGATGCGACTGCAGTACCACCCCTTCATTCGAGACGACGTGAAGAAGCTAGACGAGGAGCTGCAGCAAAAGCAGATGGCAAAGGAAGCGAACGAGAAAGCTGGTCGCCACCCTGTACCACCCGCAGTCCGTCGGCTGAACATGTCAGACGAGCAGCGACGTGATTACAACAAAGAGCGTCGAAAGAAGAAACGACGCCGCCTTGCCATTGAACAAAACATGAGAGAGGAGGGTTGGGATGAATGGGAAGCCGGTGGCACCGACAATGGCTCTGCCAAGTCTAAATGAAACTGGTCCAATCTCGATCAGAATATTCATTTCCTTGACGGCATGTTGCCTTGAACCTGCAGCTAAGCTGCAAGCCACATAATCGACTCAGGAACAGAACACTAATTCCTTTTCTAGGCATGTCACACAACTTTGTGGACCTCGGTCAGTGTGTATATATCCTGTACTATAAGCCTTCAGGGCTCTTTGCACTTGTGTTACCCAAATGTTTGCCGCAGCATCATAGCAAATTTTATTTCTCTGTTCTGTGTTCTCTTATGACCCATCATCTTTACGAAAAAGAAAAACCCTTGGGCATAAACCATAGACCCTGTACCCTGTTGGTGGATCCATGTACTATAAATAGTCGGATACTGAAAGACCTCAATGACGATCATGAGGTAACTGTCCACGGGTCAGACAGTAACACCTTTGTGAACGTCAAACAAGGCAAACAACGATTGATTGATTTGATTCGCAAATGTTATCGAGAAATCAAAGCAAGTTCTATCATGGTATTGCATATTGAAAGGTCCGTCCACAACATTCCCCTGAAAGTGATCGGCGTTGATGTCCGAGTGCCAAGGGCGCCGTGAGGGAAGTTAAACGCCTGCCGCCACTCTCAACTATATAATTCCCCTTCATTCCCTTCTTATATTCTATCTATCCCACCACTCAATTCCAAGGTTGTCTATTAAACATATTCTACTTTACTCTACTTTGCTCTACTTTACTCAATCTCAATCTCAAAATAAAAAAATGCAACTCATCACCATCCTCCCAGTCGTGCTAGCAGGCCTAACCACTGCACTCCCAGCCGTCCTACAATCTCAGACAATCACCGACGACATCATCTGGAGTGTATCCAACTTTACCCTTGGATGTTCCCAAGGCGGCTGCGTCTTCAACTACGACATCGACGGCAGCCAAAACACAATGACCCCCAAGTTCCACACCCACTGCGACGGCATTGCAGACAAGAAGGTCCTCTGCGACGACGAGAACATCACAACCATTGTTTCTCCTGCCGGTTACTCTACTGATGGAAACCCAGAGTGGAATGTCGATATCACCCACACTTGGAGGGCTAGTCTCAGCGACAATAGCCTCGCGACTTATTTCCAGCACGGCGCGAAGAATGTTGCCGTCCCTGACCATGCTCCGGTTCAGTTTGTTATGAAGCCTACCCAGGAGTACGGTATCGCATAAATTGCTACCGGTCTCGACAAACCTTTTTTGAATTAGGAAGATCTAGCTGCTTCTTCTCTTTAATGTAATGGAGGGTCTTAATGGGTCTCTTGTTTTAGTTGAGCACGCGACATGTGGTCCAATTGGAAATTTCTGGGATTTTCTGATGGAAATATTTCCAAGGTTGGCTTATGTACTTAGTATGAAATTGTACAAAGGAATTGAACTTCAACAATGGTAGTTTGTAGTAAGTTAGTACTCCGTAGTTGAATCTATAGAATATAGTAACCCTATAGAGAGAGTACCTGAGTAAGGGCTTAGTTGACCCGATGACATCATCCGCTGCGCCTCAAAACTAACTCCCCGTGTTTTGTTGAATTGTATACAAATTGTCTTTTTGGCTTTCACATAATTCTCGTGGACATATCTCAGAAACAACTTATATATTCTGCAAATGGTACGTCAGTTACATCTCAATAACCTTTCAACTGCTCACCTTGGAATATTTCAGTCATCAATTCTCCGCCAAATAGTCGCAGGTCCAAGACAACAACACCCAGAAGCAGGACTAGATCTCTGCTACGTCACAGACAATGGTAGCATACCCAACGATTCCACACCAAAACACCCTCATTGACATGATCCACAGTCATTGCAACCTCCGGTCCATCAGCAACATATCCACAGCGCGCTTATCGCAACCCACTAGATGCACTAGTCAACTTCCTGGACACTAAACATGGCGCGGAATGGTGCATCTGGGAATTTCGCGCCGAAGGCACAGGATATCCAGACTCAGAAGTCTACGGGCGCATCCACCATTTCCCCTGGCCAGACCACCACCCACCGCCATTCGCGCATATTCCCAACATAGTGGGCAGCATGCGAAACTGGCTACATCGACTAGACGAAAAAAAGTCACCAGGCACGGACACCGACAAAAATGGACGGGTCGCCGTTGTACACTGCAAAGCAGGCAAAGGGCGCAGCGGGACGATCGCATGTGCATACTTGATCAGTCAGGAAGGGTGGAAGAAGGAAGACGCGCTGCAGCGGTTTACGGATCGACGCATGCGGGTTGGATTCGGGAACGGCGTTAGCATCCCCAGCCAGCTGCGATATGTTGACTACATCGATAAATGGGCAAACAAGATGGGGAAGCAATATGTCGAGCGGCCGGTGGAGATCCTAGAGGTTCATATCTGGGGGTTGAGGGATGGGGTTAAAGTTGCGGTGGAGGGGTATGTGGATGAGGGGAAGAAGATTAAGTGTTTCCATATGTTTCATCGGAATGAGCGTACCATCGTTGAAGATGGGAGCTCGATGTCTGAGGAACAAGAGGCTGGCAAGGGGAGCAATATCGCCAAGCCAAATCCCGACTCCGACCCCAAGATCGAGAACCCAGTCCCTTCGTCTGCGACCTGGTCCCCGGTATCAGGATCTGATCCCTCTGCGGGTCGGAGTATCTCGGCAATGATCTTCAAACCCAACAAGCCAATCATTGTCCCCACCTCGGATGTGAACATTGATTTCGAGCGCCGCAGCAAAGCATCCTACACCGGTTTTGCGATGGTAACCTCCGTCGCGCACGTATGGTTCAATCCCTACTTCGAAGGCGGAGCTGAGCACGACTCGGGCGTTTTCGAGACCGAATGGGACGCGATGGACGGGATTAAGGGGAGCGTGAGGAAGGGGATTCGGGCGCTAGACAAGCTGAAAATTGTATGGCGATATCCTACAGCGGAGACATTAGAAGCTAGTGCAGCTGGCAAGCACAAGGGGAAAGGGAAGAAGAGCGAGGATATCGCGCCGGTAACGGGAAGACCGATCAGTGAGCCCAAACCCGGTGATCCTATCCATGAAAGCGAGCCGCCTGATTGGCGGGGACTACCGCAGGGAGATAAGAAGGAGAATCGGCGTCCTTCTGGGAGTTCGCAGAAAAGCACTGCTACGAGTATTTCAGACAAGACTAAGGAGTTGGGACATGCGCTGGAGAAGGAACTTGGACTGCGGAAGCAGACGGGTGATAGTCCGGATGTTAGTCATGCTAGGAGTGATGAGACGAGCACTACTACCGATGATGAGTCCCGGAAGGTCGAAGTTAAGAAGGTATATAGTGCAGGGCTTGAGGGGGTGAAGACGGATGCGAAGAATGGGGGGAGAGCAAAGTAAGGGAAATAGAGCTTGTATAAGTGCATAAGTAATACATAGTGCATAAGTTTTTATGATATCATTGAATTGATTATTTCGTATGCTTGGTATTATCACAGGCCGTTTACTCTATATTATACATATAAACAGAGGGATATCGCAGCTCGCTAGGAATGCGATGGGTGTATGATCTAGATATGTCAGGTTTTATCTATCCCAGACCAATAGGAAAAATGAAAATGAAAGGGAAGGACAAGGGTATATGTGAAAATCGCCGTCTATATTCATAATGGCGTGGTATGAAATGCAGCTTTAACCAGAGTCGAGTTTGGCCGGGTGACAGTTGGTAGTTGACTGGGGTAAAAGAGCGCAGAATCATAGAGGCACAAAACCTTCCATCTTCTTCCGAAGCTCTGCCGCCTCCCTCTGCAGTCGATCGGATTTCTTGCGCTCATAGACAGCACGGACAACACGGCGAGTCTGCGCTTCACCCTCAGAGAAGTTTGCCTTTGCTAGACCAACGACGGAATCAATCTGTTCAGGCGTATAAATGAAGTTCCAAGTAGAAAGGAAATCATCAACATCAGGGTCGATCGAGTTGGGCTGTGGAGCCAGGGGCAGTTCTGGGTCTTTAGTTTGAGAGCTATCCCGCATGGACTGAGCAGCTGCAACCGGACGATTTTTAGGTTTGAGAGGGATGTTTGGTGCAGAAGGATTGGGAATCAGAGGGAAGTAGATGACCGCGATGCCGGCATCTGGTCGCATGAGGTGGAACTCGGATTCAGAGTGGTCTTCGCTGTGTGAAGAATCAAAGAGGCGCTTGGATGGTGGAGGCTCATTGTCCGAGGTTAGCTCTGCCGTGGTGCCGACCCAGACGTTGCAATAGCCCAGGTCTGTGCCGGACTTTGGCTTTTGACCAGCAGGCGAGTTTCCAGAGTTATTCTTGGCATCGGCGAGTTTCTCTGATAATTCCTCCCCGGTAATGTTCTCTGGCTCGCGCAGGGCATTTTCGGTATCCTTAAGACTTGGATTTCTAGGCCATCCGGCACCGATGGGCCAACCCTTGATGCCACGTTGTCTAGCATATCCATCGACCACAGAAAGCCAGTTCTCCTGTTTGACGTCTGCAGAAGCATCAAATGCGACGATTACGTCGACATCGCGCCCAGGTCGGATGAGTGGATATATTGGTAGGTTGTTACTCATTCCCGCATCCATGAGGCGCAGGTGTGGGTTTTGGAAGATTGACTCTGGACAGGAGTCGGGAAGCTGGTCTTTCATGCCCATGACATAGTTAGGTATGCCCGCAGGGTCGATGGGATGCACCTTGATCAAATCTTGGTTTTTGCCCTGGATAAGAGAATCGATTCCACTAAATCCAGCCAGGCCTCTGACCAGAGGTCGGATCTCCTTGTAATAGTGAGACAAAGTGGCACAGAAAGCGCTACCCCAAACACCCATGAGCCCGGGAATTCTCAACTCCGGGATGGGGAGGTTTTCAGCGGAAACCTCAGACCGGCCCGCATTGAAATGACGTCCCAAAGCCCAGGTCGGAATACCGGCATTGAGCTCTTCGCAAAAGAATTCGTAGGGAGTGAACTCGAACCACTGAAACCATGCTTCATTTCGTGACTCTTTCACCAGCTGTTCAGGTGTTGGACGCTTCTTGTTCTGGTCGTTTGTGTTTTCGACAGCCTCGACAGGAATTTCATGCCGCACCGCCGTGTAGATGGGAAGTGGATGAGCCCCATTTATCAAATTGGCTCGCTGATTCGACAACTTGTAATCCGCATCGGAAGTTCCCAGTTCTCCTCGCGGGACCAAGAGTCTCGCTGCGAGCAGCAATCCGTAAATATCCACCAACCCAAAGTCCGCTCCAGGATCGCCTTTCAGCTTTTCCACAAACCCACTAAGAAGGTACTTGTTGGTCGGGGCAGTAGTGAGGAGATTGAGAGCTGCTGGCGGGAACGCAATGTGGACACCAAGACGATTCTTCAAATGGTCGACAAGCTTGTTGAAGTCTCGCTGCGCAATGGACGAATGATAGAGTGTCTGGAGCCAGCAGCTACCACTGACACCAGCTGTGTATGTAATACAGTCCCACAGCCCTGCTTCCTGTGCTGCCAGGTACGACCCAGTGCCTGCAACTAGAGCGCGCAGACCACCTCCCGAGCCACACATCGCAATGACCGGTACATCTTCGGGGTGGATCTCCTCCTCGGGTATGCTGAGGTAAGACGACAATGCCTTGATAACCTTCCGTTGTCGGTGCTGCCTGAATGTCCGCTCTTCGTCGCAGAGATCCCCACTAACTCGTACCTCGGCGTCGCGGAGAATCTCGGGGTTGATATCGGGATCATGTGCCTCCTTCCAAATATCGTCTGCTAATGAGCCGGGCGACAGGGTAAGCTCTCGTTGGAGCTTTTGGGCAGTAGCTGGTAGAAATCGTGTCCAGTCTGGGATGATATAGTCTTTGAGGTTACCCACATCTGCCCACTCGCCGGAGCTAACAGTTTGCTTAACCCCGTCGAGTTTGTGCCAGATGGATTCATGATCCTTGTCATCCGCACCAGCACCATCTGAGCCTGAATTGGACTTGTTAGACTCCGAGTCATTGTTGTATCGTGTTCGAGAAGTATTGAGTTGAGCTCTTGATTGTCTGGGCTGGGACAATTCCCCCGCAGTGTATGCAGCTAGGGCAGCGGGAGGTACCGTCCATTTCAGACGAGCGACCCTTGCAGCGCCCATTGTAGACAGGGAGTTTTGGAAAAAGTAAGAGGCCTTCTGCATCTAGCGGGGTCCATTGAAGGACTCCCAAACCCCTGCCTGCCTTTTTTCTTGCAAGCCACCCCCGTTTTGGAACAGTTCCTAGTACATGACGTAAATCCACGTGATTTATCACGTGCTATTGCCGGACTAGGTCTCTGGCTACTTTGGGACTAGCGTGGCGGAGCTCCTTATCACTGGATGGAGCTTGGAGGGGACAATCAATCCATTCCATTTGGCCTCAAGGACATGAGGGGTCTTGATGACATGTGATATGGTCTATCTGGATTGATTTTGCTTGAACTGCATTTCAAAATTCACCATGGTGGCGCCAAGGAATACCGCCTACGCTGAGGAGAGCGCGGAGGTTGAGGTCCTATATGCCAACCTGGAGAAGCTCAACCGACTCACGAAGAAGATACAAGGCTCCATGGTACGCCTGGAGACAGGAGGAAAAGTTGTCAAAGAAGCCATTGGTCCCATCTATAGCAACACCCAATCCCTTCAAATTACCAACAGCAATATCGACAAGGTCAACGACGCCATCGATCGCCTGCGCCAGCCTCTCGATGCAAAGAACCGAGAAGATGGTATCATTCGCGCAGGGTATGTGTCTTACTACTTTCTTTGAGTATACAACCCCGATTATCTTGTTGACCGTTTTCCAGGCCACAGAGCTCCGGCCTCACGCAGTATCTATCGGCGGTGAAACGTGTTGAAAAGGCGCTGGTCGACCTCAACACAACAAACATGCGATCAAACCAGAATGCGATTACCGACTTCAACTCTCTTCTAAACACTGGAAGCGCGAAACTACAAGAACTGCTACGAGGAGAACTGAACCAGCATGCCACTCCGATTGAGCCCCTACACTATCTAACCAAAGGTACACGTATCACAACCAAGCGACGTAGATCAAAACTAATTCGTCGCGCTTTTAGATCTCCCCTTTCCATCCATACCCGAAGAAACTATCTCTCATATGGCACCCTTGTGCGCAGTGGTCGGCTCCGCATCTATTCACGGATCTCAGCGCGGCAAGGGCGATAACCCCGCGCTGAAGGTGTATGCGGAGGTGCGAGGACCATACATTACATCCAGCTTGCAGAACCTCGCCATTGCATCCCTCAATACCGTCAAACGGCGCCCCACCGATGGTCCCTACAAGCAGGGTACCAATGGTATCGGTATCTACTCCAATGCGCTGGAGGCCTTCATAACTACCGAGCACGGTATTATCGTGCAGATGTTCACAGGAGACCAGCAGGGCTTGGCATTGCAGGCCACCTTCTTCTCGGCTATGGGCGAATACTCCAAAACACTCCGTGAGCTAAACCAGTATATAAAGGCCAATCTGATGACGGACTGCTTCTTGGCTTTTGAGATCATCGAAATTGTGACTGCGATGTCCTATCGGATTGACTCTAAGGCCGCAGAGCTGAAGAGCCTCTTGATCGAGGCTCTTCGGCCCGTACGCGAGACTGCAAAGTCGTCTCTTTCCGAATTGCTTGAGGAAACGAAGCGCAAAGCTGCTGTCGCATCACTCCCACCCGACGGTGGATCGGTGCCCCTTGTGGAGGAAGTGATGAGCTCATTGGCCACACTCACAGGATACTCGGGTCCTTTGGCTTCTATCCTAACATCTTTGGGAGATGGAAACTGGCGTGCCAAGTCCAACACCGCCGGCTCGGCTCCTCTAGATGTAGGCCCAGACAGCGGCACACTTCTGTCGCATTTTATTTTAGATATGATCGAGGCCTTGATGACCTCCCTGGAAGCTCGAGGTCGCGCTTTCCATCGATCCAAGGCAGCGCTTGGAGTATTTTTGTCCAACGTGTTCTGCGTGGTCGACCGATCGATCCGACAGAGCCCAGAGCTGGCACGTTATTTGGGTACTCCCGATAGTATTGCCCGGATCGACACTTTCCGCAAGCGCGCGACGTCTACCTATCTCGATGCATGGAAGGAAACATCCCAGTACCTTCTTGATGTGCAGTATACCTCTCGTGGGGCGCAGCGCAATTCTAGCGGCAACGTGGATTCAAGTGCTATCGTCAAGTCCCTGTCATCCAAGGATAAGGATTCGATTAAGGACAAGTTCAAAGCATTCAACGCGAGCTTCGACGACATGGTGTCTCGGCATAAAACCCTTCACATGGAGCGTGAGGTGCGCCTCTCGCTTACTCGTGAGCTGCAGACCGTTCTTGAGCCCTTGTATGCGCGCTTTTATGATCGATATGTGGAGATCGACAAAGGCCGCGGCAAATACATTAAGTATGACAAGGCAAGCCTATCGGTGCAGCTGGCGCAGTTGTCTTAATTTTCCCGAGCGGATAATAAAACCACGCAGGACTGTCATTTATACGAGCTAATATCATAATATGCCATCATCAAATATGTTTTCCCTACGGATCACCCATTAAAATACATAATGTATAGTGTCACATGACATCAGTAGATTATCTCCGATAACGTGACTGATAAGCCCCGCTAAAATCGTACTGCAGCAAAATTCCTTGCTCGCACATTGTCTTGTCCCTGCCTTATCCTCTGTCCCGTTGCTCAATTCTTCATTTGAGTGTCTCAGACAACCACCGACACGATGTCCGGAAGCAACGATGTCTACCAGACCCCCCTCAACTCGCGCTATGCGAGTAAGTTGGTCCCAACTGCCCCTCCAGACGAGGGGCAAACCCGGAGATTGTATAGATCGGGATTAACCATACTCAATTAATTAGGCAATGAGATGAAGTACCTCTTCTCCCCCCGGAAGCGCTTCTCCACATGGAGACAGCTTTGGACCTGGCTCGCGGAGGCTCAACAAGGTACGGGAGGGTCGGGCCTCGACCGACACCGGAGATATTTGAAGCAAGGCATCCAAATTGACTGAATCATGGCTACAGAGCTTGGACTTCCTATCACCACCGAGGCCATTGAGCAGATGAAGGCCCATGAGCTTATTCAGGATGATGAGTTCGCCGTTGCCGCCGAGGAGGAGAAGCGCCGCAGACACGATGTCATGGCCCACGTCCACGCCTTCGGCTTGGTTGCCCCCGCCGCCGCCGGTATCATTCACTGGGGTGCCACCTCGTGCTACTGCACCGACAACGCTGATTTGATCCTGCTCCGTGACGGTCTCGACATCCTCATCCCCAAGCTGGCTGTTGTCGTCGACAAGCTGTCCCAGTTCGCCCAGCAGTACAAGGACCTCCCTTGCCTGGGCTTCACTCACGGTCAGCCCGCCCAGCTGGTGACCGTTGGCAAGCGTGCTTGTCTCTGGATCCAGGATCTGCTGATGGATCTGCGCAACCTCGAGCGTGCCCGTGATGACCTGCGTTTCCGTGGTGTCAAGGGTACAACCGGTACTCAGGCATCTTTCCTGCAGATCTTCAACGGTGACCACGCCAAGGTCGAGAGACTGGATGAGCTTGTTACTGAGAAGGCTGGCTTCAGCTCCGCTTTCATCATCTCCAGCCAGACATACTCGCGTAAGATCGATGTTGATGTCGCCAATGCTCTTGGTTCTTTCGGTGCTACTTGCGAGCGCATTGGCATTGACATCCGTCACCTTGCTATGCTCAAGGAGGTTGAGGAGCCTTTCGAGAAGGACCAGATTGGCAGCAGTGCCATGGTGAGTTTGCTTGTCCGTTGTCTTGATTGGGTCTTTTTGACTGATAATTTGTAGGCCTACAAGCGCAACCCCATGCGCTCGGAGCGTCTGTGCTCTCTCGGACGTCACCTGCAGAACCTCCCCAAGGACTGCTTGGACACCTACTCCGCTCAGTGGTTCGAGCGATCCCTCGTGAGTATACCCCAGGTTTCATTTAGAATCTTTGATTAATTTGTACTAGGATGACAGTGCCATTCGCCGTATCAGCATCCCGGAGCTGTACCTGACTGCTGACGCCTGTCTCATCCTCCTGAGTGAGTTTTCGGAATTATTAATGATCGAACTTCAATATAGCTAACCACTACTAGACAACGTCTCCTCCGGCTTCGTCGTTTACCCCGAGGTCATCAAGCGCCACGTCAACGACGAACTCCCCTTCATGGCTACGTGAGAACCCCTCAACAAGTCTAATGAATATCACTAATACCATCTCTCAGTGAGAATATCATCATGGCCTGTGTCGCCAAGGGTCTCTCCCGCCAGGACGCCCACGAGGAGATACGTAAGTTTCCATCCTCTCACGTTCTCCCATCCGAACCAAAATTCTAATATACCCAGGTGTTCTCTCCCACCAAGCTGCCGACAATGTCAAGAAGCAGGGCAAGGACAATGACCTGATTGAGCGCATCCGCCGTACCGCCTTCTTCGCCCCCGTCATCCCGGAGCTGGATACCCTCCTAGACGCCAGCACCTTTGTCGGCCGCGCCCCCCAGCAGGTCGAGAAGTTCACCTCCACCGAGGTGGCTGCTGCCATCAAGCCCTACGCAAGCACCATTGCCAAGGGTGAGACCTCTTCCTTGTTCGTTTAAGGTATCTTTAGTACATATTTGGTCTGTGTATCTGTTAGAATATGAAAAGTTATATAAAAAGATGGAGATGGGGAAGAGGGAGTTTCATAGAAGAAAGCCTCTGTGTATACAAAGTATTGAATGCAAAGCATTATGTTCCACTTGTGGATATATCGTAACGTTGATTCTTGACGTGAGAAATTTCCCACAGCCCCCACTTTCCTGCTTCCCCGATGCCCCGCGCTGCAAATCTTGGAGGGGTGAGTTTATAATACGAGGGGTCAAATTGTGTCATTAGGTTGCCATAGTCACTACAGGGATAGAAAGTATACCCAGATTAGGAAATAGGTAAGAGTGAAGACAAGCATTCTAGAAGAGAAAATTGTATAAGGATATTCAGGCTTTCCGCTGTATAATGTAGAAAAGGGGTTATTCATAACCCGGCACAAAACAATTGAACCACCCAGACATGATAAGAGAAAAGAGAGGAGATATGTAGAAATGCTCGACCAGGCTATCAGCCTGCACATGTGGTAATCATAATTATATGCAATGGAAACGCTGTGGACATGCAATCGTAATGGAAAGTAATGCAAATAAAAAGAATAAGAAAAAAAGAAAAGCTGTTTGGGGTCAATTGAGAGCCGAAAAGCCGATATAGTCCGCAGAGAAGCCAGTTAAGCCATTGAGAAAGAACCCGAACTGGCACAGTCGAATCCACCAGCACAATGATAGCAGAATACACCTATCCCGAACTGCCCAACAGTCATGCTAGCAGACCGGAGAACCCCCCGGAGACCCCAAACAACGTCAGAAAACAGTAGTTGCAACGAATTAAGCCTGCGGTGTGGATGTGCTTCTCGTGAAGCGCAATCTCTCACAGGCTCACGGGGCCAAAAAAAAGTATCCCCCAAGCCTCCTTCAAGCGCAATGCATTTCTGCCCAAGACCTCTCAGACCCGAATATCCACAGAACAAAAAGCCCGGCTCAGGAGCGCAAACCCGCAAATCCGCAATAGGAAACCCCCACTCCCGGAAAAGAGTCATCCAGTCCAAGACGAGCCGAAATCCTTCCCCCCCCCCCACACACACCGAAAAGGAAAAGCGCTTTAATTTTGATCTTGAGAAGCGGGTGGGGTGTCGGTTTCGGAGGGTGTGAAGGGCATGAAGAGATCGCGGACTAGCCAGACGATATAGAGGACAGCAAGCACCCACAGGGTAGCCATCAGTTTGTATGTGGAGGAGCGCCATGTGACGCGGCGGATGAGACGACGGCCATTGGGACCTTCAATAGGCCCTCTCCGATGTTGACCATTTGATTGACCGTTGTATTGACCGTTGGTCTGCATGAAGGGGTAGGCGAGGCTCTCGTTCATCTCGCTGTGGGATATTCGACGGCGAGACATTTTTTGGTGGATCCGGAGGGTATATATGTTCGGAGGGGTGCAGGTTTTTCCCTGTGAATATCCCGGGCAACGGTTAAGAATAGAGTGCACAGGGTGAGGAATTGAAGTGATGGAGAATTGAGGAGGTTTTGAGGATTTGTTTGATTTAGGGCAGAATTGATTGTTTTTTTTTTTTTCTTGGATTTTTTTTTCTTCAGAGAAATTGGTGTTTTTTTTTATGGCCAACGCACACAAAAAAAAAATAAGGATGAGGGGCCAAACAATAGCCAGTCAGAGGCAAATAATAGCTAGACAACAGCAAGAGCTCGAAAAGGGAATCTTGAGTCTCCAGAAAGCGGATCTGTTGGCCGAATGGGCAGCGGTGGGAACGTGGCCCGTTGCATCATCTTCTGCCTCTTGTTTTCTTTCTCTATATAAAGGATATGAAGGATAACTGGGATATAAAACAAATATATGAAAGATTTTGCATGAAAGAAGATGAACAAAGAATGAATGCAGGAAATGCGAGATAGCCGCGATATTAGACAAATGTTATTCTCATAGTGATATCCTATTGAAAGACTAAATAAAAAGGGGGTGGTCAATGGGGGTTCAATTAGGAGGGGGGATTTAAAAACAAAAGTACGAAGTACTAAACATATACTAAATGTTAAAGATTATGCAAGAATGCACGGTCCTATTGAGTCATAGGTTGTGCATACCTCCAACATACTTATATATTGATATGTTGATATCTGATCTACGAAACATATATGTGTACATAAATACCCAGAAAGCGGGATCTACTCCGTACGGTCCATCAATTTGCTATATGGACATCATCTAGACATTATATAGTGATATCTAGTATCTATTTACTGATATATATTTGATTATAGAGTATAGTACACACTACATATTTTATACATATGATTAGCCCAATGTATTCCATTGTCCTCATTCTACTCTTTATCCCAAGGTTGCGTGACGATGAGTCATCAATTGGTCTCCTAAGGGACCCCTAGTCGATACTTCGATTCAATATACAATCTCGTCACCGCTACTCCGTATTTTGATCCAATTTCCTCAGCTTTGACCGTGTTTCGCTTAGCAAGCCCAATTTCTCAAGCGTTCTTTTCCCAGTCAATCTATTCCAGAGCAATTCACCGAATCAAATATTCTCAGTCCAAACAAGTCCAAGAGAGGCTGCCATTGTGGACACACAATTGCTTTTATCCTATCACAATCGGCCAAGTATTCCGGTTTAGGTACCAAACAATTGGAAAGTTGGGCTTTGGGGCATACTTGACGGTGTGGATTATCAGGGATCTCAAGTATGTTCTTTCGATACTACTGTGGAGAATAATTGCAACTAATAACCAACGGTTATCAACGGCTATACAATAATGTACATAGAAAAGTCATCTGCACATTTTAGACTTTTTAATACCTGATAGTGTAGAGTGATAAGCCCAACATGTCTTCCTTCTATCTATAGCAAAGACATCCGAAAAGATCATACAAAATGACATCGGAGTATGACCTTACATATAGTTATAGACTCTTATATTATCCTGAGCCAGATAAATCAAATCAAATTTCTACATTGTTAGGGACAGAGGCCGCATACACGGAACTGTTCCGATGTCCTCAATCACTTTGGAGCAGCTTAAGGGGAATTTGGAAGGTGGAAGTTGCACAGCAGCAACTATTTCTTACATTCATGCATAAAATACTTCAGCGGCAAACAGCGGAGAGAGATTTGGCAGTGTGGGTCTATTGTTACACTCAATATTAAGATTGTAGTAGCTTAGTATAGGTTGAAGTAGGTGCTTTTTTATACGTTGGGAGTTATAGGAGTCTTAATAGGGTTTGGAGTGATCTGCTTCCAATCTAGCCTAATTTTGATATTCCTATCAGAAAGCACCATTCGGGTTGAGATACCGAACAATGCACTTGGTCATGAGTTCCCGAGGTTCTGATCAGACAGGGCTACCTAGGTATACCCCAACCTTGGGAACATCCACTTGATGTCTCGCATGTGGGTGATGCCTCAGGCACGTAATATTCCTGAGTCACATCATTACATCATAGGTCATCCATTTGCAGGAAGTTACGGGCGAACGGACATTTTTTGAATTTCGTACCTTAGGGCTTCTACACTCCTTTACTTTGTTCTGAGAATAAAATGTAATTCGGAAAGAAAATAGACTATTATATACTTTTTAACTATTAACAATAAATCATAAGTTGCTTATTCCCTAAATGTCGTGTGATCTTCCTCCGGTCCCCGGAGAGCGCAAGCGGAGAAATCCCGGGGACCGCTCAACCTCGGCAGTTGAAAACGTTCCGATGACTCGCATTGCTCACAACTTCTTCCTTAACACTTCTCTCCCTGAGATAAACACTCACTAGAAAGAACATCACTTACAGGCCATTAGGCCAATATACCCACCATGTGGAAGCCTTCAGAAAGGCTGATGGAAACCATCAGACACTATGCCAGCTTCCCCGCAACTGGTGTCTCGCTGAGGCAGATGGTTCAATTTGGTGACCGTCCCTCAACAGGTATGAACTGGACTGACACTGTTTCTAGTCACATATCTAACTCTCACCCAGGCACCCTATTCCGCGCCTCTCAATTTCTTTCCGAGGAGCTCCCGATCCGTCTCGCACATCGCGTGCAAGATCTCGGTGAGCTGCCAGACGGACTCAGTGAGATGCCATCGATCAAAAAAGTCCAGGACTGGTATGCGCAGTCATTCGAGGTATGTAGATCATCCATTGATAATTATTCCTAGATTCGTCTACTGATCCCAAAAACCAGGAAATCATTGCTCTTCCTCGCCCCACCCTGACTCAAGAAGTGAAAGCACGCCTGTTACGACCAGGCCGGATGAACGGCGGCCCTTCAAAAATCCTATCTGAAACAACTCCGAACCCAAGCGTACGTGAAGGACAGTACCGGTCATCGGTGACCGTATGCAACGGAAATGGCGTCGGAAAAGCGCATGCCACGGCCGGCCGACGGTACTTTTTCCCCGCGGACGACCGGGGAGACTGGCCTCCGGAACTCAACGATTACAACCAACGATTCGCCAAGACACTCCAACAGATAAAGCGACGCCACGATGGGGTCGTGACCACCGTCGCGCAAGGCATCCTAGAATGGAAACGTGCGCGGCAGCGTATGCAAATCGACTCTACAATCCAGTCCTTTCTCGACCGGTTTTACATGTCAAGGATTGGTATACGAATGCTTATCGGACAACACATCGCACTCACGGAACAAACGCATGTCAAACATCCCAATTATGTTGGAATAATTTGTACCAAGACCAACGTTCGCGATATCGCGCTCGAGGCCATTGAAAACGCCCGGTTCGTCTGCGAGGATTACTACGGTCTTTTCGAGTCACCCAAGGTGCAGCTGGTCTGCAAGGAAGACTTGAACTTCATGTATGTTCCCGGACACCTATCGCATATGCTCTTCGAGACCCTCAAAAACTCGCTACGGGCGGTGGTTGAACAACATGGTGCCGATAAGGATGATTTCCCTGTGACTAAGGTAATAGTTGCCGAAGGCAAAGAGGACATTACAATCAAGATCTCCGACGAGGGCGGTGGTATCCCCCGGTCATCGATCCCTCTCGTATGGACCTACATGTACACAACAGTGGAGCAAACGCCCAACCTGGACCCTGATTTCGACAAGAATGACTTCAAAGCGCCAATGGCCGGATTTGGATATGGCCTCCCGATAAGCCGACTGTACGCCCGATACTTTGGCGGTGATTTGAAGTTGATAAGTATGGAGGGGTATGTTTTTTTCTTTTTTTCCCTCCATTTTTACTATCTTTTATGAAACCCTTGCTAATTGATCTTCACAGCTACGGGACTGACGTCTACCTCCATCTCAACCGGCTCTCTTCGAGCTCGGAGCCTCTGCAATGACAATCACCCGTCATGAGAGATGGTCGGGTCCGGATCACCACTTCGCACCGCCTGCACCCAATTTACAATGACCCGGAATACAACCCCCCGCCGTCTCGAGGACTGACACTGATGAATGCCCAGGCCCACTACGCTCGCATGCTCAGCCGAGAGGTCTCGGAGCGTAAGCAAGTCGGAGACATGGAGAGTCTGTTCCATTCGGAGCAGCGGAGGAAGGGAGGAGATAAAGTCATGTAAGACGGATCTTCACTTGGCTAAGCCTTGGCTTTGGTCTTGGCTTCTAATACCCGTCTTCTGATTGGTTCCTCTCTTTCTCTCTATCTCTCATCATGTCTCTTGCTTATTCTGAGCTTTTTCTCCGATTTGGATGACTGCGTCTGTGATCGGCTGTTCAATCAAGAATGTGAAGATCAGTTTACAAGTCTGACTGTAGTGACACCGCATTGCCTGAATATCTCAGGTAATATCCCAGAGATGGAAAAGAGGAAGAGAAAAAACAACCACCAGAGAAGCTATTTCTCTTTTCTGGATGCCGATGATACCCCTTTTCTCTTTCTTTCTCTTTCTCTTCCTCTCTGGGCTGGTAGTTTCGTTGATTTGGCTTCTATGTATAGTACTTTCTTTTTGGTCTGTTTTAGCGAATATAAACATTCTAGTGTCATGCGTGTCTTTAGTAGTGGATCACCCGTAATCGAATAGTGTCCAGTAAGATAAATTCCCATGTTTCAGATAATATCCTGCACAAATCATGCAAGAAACACGCTAAAAAAATAACCCACCAAGGAGCATCCATTCATAATTCATAGCTCATCATCCTCGTCTTCCATACCCTGATCCTGATCTCTCCCCGAACCCGTCCCCACTCCCTCCCCAGCAACCCTCCTTGGCGAATTGGCACCCGAAAAAGCCCCCGAAGCCGAAACAGACCGCGACCCACCCCTGGCCTTCTTCGCATCCATCATCCTCAAATGCGCCGGCTTATGCCAGCCGTGATCATTAATATCCCCAATAACCTCCCGGTACCGGCCCCGAATAAGCGATCCTTCCCCTCCCTTCCCGTCAGGTGCGATGTAGAATCGCGGGTCGTAGAGTTCTTCTGCTTTTTCTGGATCGTTGGGCGCGAGATATCTTGCCAGGAAGCGGCGGCGGGTTTGGGGGATTGTCTGGATGTGTTAATTGGTTTTAATTATGCAATGTGATTGTGGCTGGCATTAGACGCTGGAGCTAGTACTGCCACTGCGTTCAAGGGAAGACCGAAGAATGACAACGTAGGGTAAGGTAGTAACGTACTTCTCGCGAGGCAAGCGCATATGTTACTAACAACTCACTGTCCATGAGGACGGCCAGAGCGGCGTGCTTTTCATCGCGGAGATGCGAGCGCGTGCGGGCATCTTTTTCAAAGGCGGTTTGGGGTTCTGTCATACCGTCTGGACCGGCGCGGTTGTATGAGGTTGTGAGGGGGTTTTGAGCACGGCCAGAGAATCTCCCTTTGAGTTGTCAGTTTGTAGACTATGGTTTGTGTTTAGTGAACTTTGGGCGGTGTAATTTTGCATAGAATATGGCTTCATATGGTTTGGGAAAGATAAAGATAGTGGAAGGTGGGAGGGGAGTTGGATTTGACAAAGGTGATAGGATGTAATCTTCGACCTACCCTGGTCTGGTGCATTTGAGGTGTTGCCGTTCACGCCCCAAATATCATCACCATCTGAATCAGAACGGTAAATTGGTGTACCATCCACGTTTGGAATATCACCTAGAAGTCCGCCGTCGCTGTCGTACATTGGTATGCCGTCGACGCGATCCAGGTCATCTAGGTCTAGGTCGTCGAGTTGCATGCCGCCATCGGATTCAGAGTCAGAGTCCGTATCTGAGGCAAGATGATGGGCTTGGCCAGACATTTTGAAGATATTGAGAAGGGGAATGAGTCAGTGGCAAGTGAAAAGTAGACAGAGACAGGCGTGTCTTTGGGTCGATATGCGGTGGTGGGGAAGTCAGAGATTGGACGGTGAGTGCAACCAATAACTAGTGGAATGAAAGTAATAAAAGGTTTCTGTGATGGACTTTGCTTCACTTGGGTGATTGACAGAGAATTTCATGTATTGTATGACCCCAGGATAGATCTATAGCCAGTGTCAATGGATGAGAAACAGATATTGGTGGCAAGTGCACAAGAGACTGGTCTTTTCCAGGAGAGGGGTTGAGAGGAGGGGAAAATTGACCTCATTAGAGAGGCTCAAACATACCTGTTCACCGCGCTTGAAATAGAAATCGTGATATAGATGATTCAGCGTGTTGACGACACCCGTAGCCTGGTGCCCTCTTGGCGCTGGTCCCCGTACTGTGGCCAGATTCAGCAGGCGGTGGGGGTCACACAACGGCAATAGTTTCCAAGGTTGGTCGAGGTGCTCGTGTTGAACTCCCTAATTAGGCTTAGTGTATATCAAGTATACTATTGTTACAAACATTCGAATTCATTTGGTCATGAATACTGTTGGAGAGGTACAGTTTTCTCACGGAGCTATCACTTCGGTAAATTTTTAATTGGGCTCTACAGGGAAAGAATGAAAAGTAACGAGCGATTTTATTGAATCGATGATGAATGGCGAAAATATAATGTGATGCCTAAGACCCAACAACGCCAGAAAACAATGCCGCTAAAACGACCAACATTTTAGGAGATAGAAAGGGAATAAAAGAGTCTAAATAGCCGGACAGTCGTGCATGTAGGAGTTTTGAGGCCATTGATATCCAGCCTCGTTCCTAAAAGTTCCATCATTAGTAAAGCGTAAACAAGAATATGAGGAGCGAAAGAAACATACCAAGTCGTAAAGTTCGCATTATCATACGCTTTGCGATGTTTCTCAATATACTTAGTCGTCTCATAGCCCGGCGGGTCACAAGTAACGCTCTCATCATCGGGGTCCTGATAGATCCGTACGTAGTCGAAGCGCAGGATAGCAGGCATATAATCGATGATGCTTGCATTCTGCGGCGCAAAGTTATCTGCCATGCCCATATTCATGACCAGCGCCATAGGCTCGAGTGGGATCATGCGTTGCCCAACATTACCATTGGGTCCGATGGCGCGGGCATCCAGTGTCCAAGTCTTTTCAGCACCTACGAACCAGGTCACGTCGCCTTTTGCGCCAGGTTTATACTCGAAGGAGTAGGTTTGGAATTCGGTGCCGTTATACCACCGGGTATTGAGGTTGGTTAGGCCGGACATTGCCTGTTGGTAGACGCCGCCTCGGTATGCGTTAATTTGCGTGACGCGTGGGTCGTAAACAGCGGCGAAGTCTGGGGTTTCATTGGTTAATGGATGTCTTATAAAATAAAATATCGAAAAATACTCACCATAGTCGGGCAGGTACCACAGGTCGAATGGTGCAGTCTGCAAACTCTGCGACGCACTGCCGACGAAGGGACCGCTGTTACCATACAGTGGAGCAGTGCTGCCTTCAATCACATCGATTTCAGGAGCACTACGTGCAATACCGGGAGTCGGGTGATCGGAGCCAGCACAGGCACATCCGGGTAACCGCATACCAGGCAGCCAGTTGATACCATCGGGGGAACTTTGGTTCGGAGTGATTCCCGCATCACAGCCATCATGATAGCTGTATGGCCACATGCCATCGGTGGTGGCCGCATAGCCAGGACGAGCCAAGTTACCCATTGCCCAGAAACCAGGCCAGAAACCTTGGATGTGTCCATCACCTGGAAGGGACATGCTAGCTTCGAGACGGCCGCCCTTGAAGCAGAGCTTATTCCAGCTCTGTACCATACCAGATCGGTATTGGAGATCGTGGTTTTCAAAATGATCGAAGCGAAGCTGGAGGGTGCCTTCCGACGTGGTAACTGCGTCGGGGTCATACCACTAGGGAATGTCAGCATTTGAGCTGTGATTTCAGACACGTTCTATACTAACCTCTTTGTCCGCTGTTACTCCATACCATAGATCGACTGCTTGGAAGAATGGGTCATCATCCTCAAAGAAGGTTCGACCGGGCATGTTAAACTCGTCGGAAAACTGCAATAGAATATAAGTCACTTATCCTTGTTGGTGACCAGCCGAGCAACTCACCACTAGCTTCATCTCCTTCCCATTGACATTTTTCTTTGTATATGCCTCTTTCGGTGTGTCTGGGTCAATCAAGCCCGTACGCAGGTTTTCCAACAATGGTCGCTCCCCGACATCCAAACACAACGTGTCTGATGGATGACATGGACCAACACGATGTTTTGCGAAGCCCGACAACCAAGTTCTGCGATTACCCGTTAGCCAGGGGAGACACAGTCAAATGAGCCAACAAATTCTTACATGAGCGGGTAACCAATAAAAAGCACCAGGAGACCTATTGTGAAAACCGCCAGACCACCGACATTCAAAATACCTCGACGATTCCAGATATCACAATCTCGATCCTTGTCCGCCGGGTCTGGATTATGCAAGTAATCATCCTTCTCCACGTCCTCAGGGAACAACAACAGTCCATCAGTGGGCATGATATTGAACTTCCCAGACACAGTCTGCGTGTTGACATCATAATCCTCACTACCAGCACGTGAAGGAGCCTTCGAATCCTGGAACGGATCCAAGGGGAAACTGCTCTCACGACTAATCGAGCTAACACTCGAACGAGCCACAGACCACCGGTCTGGAGATAGGGACCGATCACTCTTACTCACACCACGTCCCTGCGTAGGTCTCAATTTTGGAGGCAACAGAAATTCCGAGGACTCGGGGACATTGATTGCACAGTACGGTGACGACAGCCCTCGAGCGCGTGCCGGCGTGGGTGTTTCGGGGCGCTGTGGCGTTGGCGTTGGCGTCAAGGGCCGTGGGAATGTTCGCGACGTAAGAGGCGCGTAGCCCTCGCCTGTCTCAAGGAAAGGATCCTGTCTCCCCGAGTTGAGTCGGATGTGAGGCGTTGCCCTCCCCTCTGAGGCATTAGAGCTGTGATCCGACATATGTTTGTCGATTCTCCAGTTCCTAGTTCAATGATTCCGACACGCTCCTTTGCTCTGCACTGGTGAGGCCTCACTCTCTGTCTTCTATTGGCACCGTGAAAACAGCCTTTTTGCATTAGTCGTTGGTGGAATCCTCGTGGCAGGTTGATATGGCGATGTACTGTTCTGTCTCTTATTTATTTCGGGTTGTCGCGCAATGATTTCGCGATATATCTCAACGGTAAGGACTGGAGACCTAAGTCGGTATACCGCACACTTGATGAGTGCGATGTTTTAACGAAAGAACGGACACGGCTGGTTGGATAGCATCGAATGGCCTTCGGCGACGCGATAAAAGAGGCAAACAGAGTCGAAATGGAGAAAGAAAACCAAAACCCCAGAAGAAAAGAGCCTAGATGGTCCGAAGGGTCTTGTTTGTGTGTGAGAGGAGACAGGAATGACAGAGACCCAAGGGGGGCAACCAGTGGTATGTCTATATCTCTCTCTCCCTAAGCCTCTGCGATGGACTGAGGATGATAGTAGAGTATTGTTCCAGTATGGGTTCACTGGCCTAAAGCCATCCTTTGTATATCATTAATTGTCTTGTTTGATTAATTGATGTAGACTCGAGGGTTTGAGGCCTTGCCCTGGTTCTCACGCCCTGGGTAGGGCTATTCTAGGGTGCGGCATTCCCGTTGCTCCCCAGGGCCCCAAGGAATGGGCCAGCATGAATGCTGGAATTTGGGACCTGCCATGGCCAAGAACCCAGAGAGAATCAGATAAAGTAATAATAGCAGTTAGAAGTTGCTCCATATAGATCCAGTACGGGGTGTTGTTGAAGAGAAGGGCGAATTGGCGGGGAGGATGAGAGACATTGTCCGAGACCCCGATACCAGTGCAATATAGATAGATGTGCATTTCATTTCTTTATTCCTCAAATATCGTAACTTCGAGAATATTTACTGGAGAGAACCCTTTTGCCACAGCTCTGTTCCATCCAAGGGTAATTGTTCCATGCAAAGCCAATTGGCCAATGTTTCGTACATTTCACACGCGTCCTGCCAAAACCCGACGCTCAGGGCTCAAGAATGTGACAGAACCCAAAATAAGAAACTGTCAGGACCACCTTACACCAAGTGTAAGGTAGGATGAACTCCCTGGTTATCCATTCCTCGCCAATATTATCAATATCAAAGAACAAGGTAGCGAGAACGTACAACCAATATACCCCGATACTTCCTCATAGAACATCAAAATCATATTTCAGTAGAATAAATAGCTACACATCAAATAACAGAACACAAATTATGTCCTGTACTAACTCCCCAAAACTCTCCATTATGGATACAAACAGCCAGAACACCTACGACTCAACAGCCTTAGCGCGCAAACCAACAAGACGACTCTCGGGCGCATCTAGTGCCAGAACCCAGTACTCGATCTTGGTGCTAGTTTGTTCAACGCGGTATACCTTCAGCTCGACAGCAGACTTATCGGCACCAGAATCCTTCTCGACAGCCGCGGCGCGGATAGCATCCAGGGCGGCGGAATACTGATTGTTCGGGTCGAAGGAGGAGGGGGACAGAGTGGAGATGGACTGGGACAGGTCGGTATCTGGGGAGATCAGGGAGGAGAGCTGGTCTATAGCGAGGGAGGGGCGGTTAGCAGGGCGGTACTAGGATATTTTTTCCTTGTGGATTTCAAGGGAGCAAGTCCAAGGAGGGAAGGAAGTAGGAAATTCAAATGGAAACGGAACATGATCAGGACATACCAACACTAGGCCACGATCCCTTGGCAGCACCATCCCATTTCAGTGCTACAGGTTCAAAGGGCTCGTCTGTATCGGAGGTGTAGTATGCGTCGACCGACTGCAGCGGCTTTGGGACTGACAGGGAGCTGTGCACGGTCTCGGTTTTAACGGTGCCGGCCCCTTGCTGCACGGCTTGGTTGCCGCTCGAGTCTTCGTTGGCTTTATTCAGGAATGCCATGTAGGCGTCGTCGGACGACATGGTTTGTGCTGAGGTTGAGAAGGGGGACTTGGTGAGGAGAAAACAGCTGATTTGTGGTTGCGATCTTGAGGTTGCGGGGAAGAGAGTTTGGTGCTCTGCGTTTCGGGTGTTGGTTCTTGGGCTCGTTTGGTGAGATAGACGTTGTAGAAGACGGTATTGAGGTTGAGGATGTTTGGTTTGGAAGGTTGATCGTAGCGTGTACGGTGAGATTGGTAAAGCCCGTTTTCCCGCTGAAGCTGGCAGGGAAAAGTGTGGAATGACGCAATGGACCTTGGACTGGCGCATTTTGTTCCACCACCGGCTTGTCAGGTTATAGTATGATATATTTGAACGACTAATGATATAGAAGGAGTTGTAGAGAATGTAATCGGATATACGGAGAAATTAGGGAGGAAAAGAAAGAAAAATACTAGCTTAACACTTCGGGTGTGTTCAGACACCCGAACCAGATATATATATATCACAAGTGAAAGTGATGGAAAATAAGTTTGTTCAGTGATTAGGAAATGGACATGAATTGGTGTAGAAAATGCTCCCATGTAGATATTAAAATATATAAATTTACATAGACAATGTACTGCTACATGCAAATCGTGAAGGATATTCGCTTTTTTATTGAATATGAAACGTGCACTATCACCAATAGGCTTAAACATCTTAAACAGTCTCCACAAGGTCCTTCTTGAGAGTACCCATGAAGGCCTTCTTCTCCTCGAAGGTCTGGAAAGCACCGTGACCGAACTTGGAGGAGGTATCGATCCACTTGAGCTCGACCTTCTCGGTGGCCCTGCGGGAAGTCTGGGGGTACAGAGTCTTGCGCAGAGTCATGACACGCTTCTTGACACCGGGAACGGAGCCCTTGACCATGACGAAGTCGTTCTTGACCTCACCGTAGTGGACGAAACCACCCATGCTAGAGAAATGTTAGAATTAAACACGGAGATAGTATCGGAGGGGGAAACATACGGGGTGATCTGCTTCTTGGAGATGTCGAAGTCGGTGGAGGCGTTACCCTCATCGGAACCCTTTCCAATGCGGAAAATCTTGTGGTTGCAAGAGGTACGGTGGTGGTATCCGTCCTGACCAGCACGGGCAACAGTCCACTGGACGTGGTTAGGGTGCCAAGCACCAATACAGGCGACCTTGCGCAGACCCTTGTGGGTCTTGCGGGGCAGCTTGGTGGTACCCCAACGGGAGGTAACACCGGAGAAACCGTGACCCTTGGTGACGGCGATGACATCAATCATCTCGTCCTTCTCGAAGATGGTATCGATATCGATGGTCTTCTCGAAGAGGTTGCGGGCGAAGTCGACCTTGTCGGCGACGGAGCCACCGTTGACCTGGATCTCCATAAGGTGGGCCTTCTTCTGCTTGATAGGAGTCTGGCGGATCTGGGTGTGGGCGAGCACACGGACGACAGTGCAGTACTTCTGGATGCGCTCAAGCTCGCGGGTGATGGAGGCACCGGAGCTCTCGGCGTGGGACTTGGCGTACTTGGTGAAGGCCTTCTTCTTGGACTTGTACCAGTTCTTGTAGAAGCGACGCTTGACCTCATCGCTCAGGTGCTCAGCCCAGACGGTGGTGAGGGAGCGGAGACCACGGGGAGTCTCGATGTAACCGACGACACCAACGGCAACGAGCTGGAAAGAAAGAAAAAAAATCATGTTAGGAACTAGTCGCTTTTTCTTCCCCTTCTCAATCACTTTCGCACACAACGGGGGAGGGGAAACGTACAGGAGGGGTCTCGATGACGGTGACGGCCTCGACAATCTCCTTCTTGTGCATCTTGGCACCGGGACGGTCAAGGTCACGGACGACAGTGGTCATACCAGCCTTGTAGCCCATGGAGGCAGTAAGGTGGACGGGCTTCTTGGCATCATCCTTGGGGAAGCTGTCGCAAAAAGTCTCAGCACACAAATCCACAATTCACGAACTCATTCGGAAAGTACTGACCTCTTAACCTTACCACGGTGGCGGGCAGCGCGCTTGCGCGGGAGGTAGGCAAGGGAGCCTGGAGATATAATCAGTATACTGCACACACACAGAGGTCGTATTTCGGTATTTTCGAAATTTCGATATCGAGGGAAAAAAAGGTGATCACGAACCGTGACGGGGCGCTTCGAACTTCCGGTGACTCCTGAAAAGCGAAAGCAGGTCAGCAATTGTATTCAATAGCGATTGTGTATGAATCTTCAATCGGGATAGACTCACATCTTGACCCTGTTATCGTTAGTCGTCGAGGTGCGTGGGAGGACGATCTGGAAATGTCGAAGTTGATTTTGCACGCTTGGTGTGTGGGCTAACCTAAGCGAGACTCTTGGCGTGTCTGAGCCTGAGGCACCCCACAATAACCCAAATTATCTAATCCAGCCCTGGTATCACGTGTTGTCTATGTTTTCCGGGCCCTGGATGATTTTTATGGGTCTTCCTGCCTGCCAAGGCAAACCGGGCCAGCAATATGGTTTTAGGAACATCCACATTGTGGGCTGGAATAAAATGTAGACCAAAAGACAATACTACAGTAACTTAGGATAGTAACCTTGGAATACAACTCGGATGGAAGGGGGGTTTTTTTTGAAGAAAAAGGCGTTATAAATTTACTCTACCAAATTCCAGAGTATTCAAACAAATGATTTGCTTCAAAGATGCCTAATGCACCATAAAAAAAAAATTCACAGTGAAAAGAGACTAAGAAATCATAAAAAAGAAGAGAACGAACAGACATGACGAGTATTCAGCGCACGCGCTTGAAACCAGCTAGTCATCGTAACTCGCACATTCATACCGTACATCACACACACTGAAAGATAGGAAGGACAGGGAGGAGCAAGGAAGTGAGAGATTTGGGATTGGCCAGGTTCAACCAGACCACATTAGTTTGATCTGGGAGAGTGAAGACTTTTTATGCCGTGGATTCGACCTTCGATGGAGTACTAGCACGGGCATTGCCGGCGCCATTAGCGGGGTTGCCAGCAGAGCTGCCATTGGGGCTGCTCTTGGTAGCAGCAGCCGCCTTCTTCTCTTCCTCAACGTCGTCATCGTAGTCTTCATCGACTTCCATCTTGCGCGCGGGGGGCTCGTGAGCAGGAGGAGCCTCAGGACGAGGAGCCTCTTCCTTGACCGGGGTGTTGGCGGAAGGAGGTCCAGAAGGGGGAGCGTTGGATGGAGGGGCAGCGCTCTCGGCCATCGGAGGAAGACTGGGGCCAGCAGAAGGGCGGGCAGGCATGTCTTGGATTGAAGGCAGAGTAGGAGGGTGATGAGCAGCCTCTGAGGGGTGGTAGTTCTCATTGGCACGACGGGCGTCCTCGCGGCGGGCCTCTGAGGAGCTTCGTCGTTGCATCTCACCAGGAGAAGGCAAACGAGCGGGGGGACTCGGGCGGCGGCTGTTCTGGTCATCCAGACGAGCGCGGCTCTCTTCATTTGCATGCTTCTTGATTGGAGTATCAGCCTCCCATTCGCGGCCGCGCTTCATTGCAGATGGAGGGCGATCTTCGCGATCACGGGCGGCAGCCTCAGCAGCAGTAGCAGCCGAAGGAGGGGCTGGGGCACCAGAGGCAATGGAGTTACCGCCTGGAACTTGTGGGGGGAGGGTAGGTCCAGGGTGGAACTGTTGGAGAGGGTATCCTGAGCCTGGCGAAGAGGGACGCTCATCGCGAATAGGGCGGATTTCAGGAGCAGGACTAAAAGGACGATTCTGGTAAGGTGGGGGAGGAGCACCGCCATTGGGACCAGGAGGACCAGGGGGCCCAGGAGGAGCGACGGGAAGACCGGTAGGCATAGCACCTCGTGGGCCACCGAAGGCATTGCCGCCACTAGGAGCACGTTCGTGGCCTGGGCCAGGAGCGTTTCCAAGCTGGGGTAGGGTGTGAGGCGGTGGGTAGGCATTGGGATCACCCATCTTTGGTGAGCGAGGCGGGCCACGGGGATCCGGGAACGCCCGACCAGGCTCCTGTCGAGGGCTTTGAGCGGGAGCACCGGGGATCCGAGCATCACGCTGGTCAAGACCGTTAGATGGAGGGCCTTGGCTCTGAGACTGAAGCTCATTGATACCACGGTTCCAGTCAGGAATCTGTCGTGGGGGAGCAGGGGCTTGTGGAGGGGGACCGATGGGGGCTGGGGCACCCCACTGAGGAGCTGGAGGTGCACCGACGCCAGGTGCCTGATAAGCCTGAGGATGAACATCCTGCGGCTGGGGCGCGGGAGCAGTGGGTGGCTGTTGTCCAGCCGTGCCAGCAGTCAGCTGACTTTGAAGCAGCTGCAGACGAGCCTTGATATGAACGTTGCTTGGATCAAGATCTGCGGCACGTCCGTAGGCATCCAGGGCATCGGCGATCTGATTGTTGCATGATTCGTACAAAGTGCCCAGATCATACCAAACCTCAGAAATGTAAGGATTGAGGCGGATTGCACGAGAGTACGCATCGAGAGCATCGCGGTATTGGTTGATCTGGTAGTAAAGCACACCAATCGAGCACCAGAAGGTAGGGTTGCGACCATCGCGATAGACCGCTTGCTGGTAGGCTTCATACGCCTTGGGGTATTTGGCCATCGACATGTAGCAACGACCGAGGAGATACCAACTTTGAGCGTCATTGTTATCTAGGGGGGGGGGGGGGGGGGGTCATTGATTAGTTTCCGTGTGTACAATTGAAATGGGGGATTGCAAGTGTACTTACCAGCATTGACAGACTTCTCCAAAAACTGGATGGCCTTCTCCTGGCTTTGGAAAGCATTACTCTGCTGGTGATAGAGCCATCCAAGTTGCTGGAGAACTTTGGCGTGGTTTGGATCCCGCTCGAGGACGCGCTGGTAGGCGGACTGAGCAGACTCAAACTAATGGTTTCATGAGTACAAAGTAATAATCAGGAGTGGAGGGAAGCATGACTTACGTCTTTCTGTTGCTCGTGAACATGGCCAATCTGGAACCAGATGTCTTCTTCCGTCAGAGGGCGTGGGGGATCGCTAACAATGTATTTGAAGCACTATGAAGGATTAGTCACAACTCAAGGCTCATACCAAGAGATTTCACACATACCTCCAAACTTTGGTTAAACTTCTGCTGTTGCTTGTATATGATTCCCAGGCGGAAGTAGATTTCATTGGCCTTCTCGAAATCAGGTGCCATGCGCATCACTTGCGAGAAAGCCTCTTCCGCATGATCAAGAGAACCATAGCGATCATACAAGATACCAATTCCATACCATAGCTTGGGCTCCTAATGGGGGGAATTGGAGTCAGCGACTAATATTTCAGTGGATATATGAGGGGGGAGACGGCTTACCTTAGGGTCACGCAAGTGGTAAAGGGCTTGCTGGTAAGATGTGTATGCCTCTTGCAAATTATCCATCATAAGATGGCAGTGGCCCAAGCTGCCCCAAGTCTCTCCATTACTCGGATCCAACTTCAAAATATTTTGCAAGTACTCAATCGCTTTTGGGAACTGCTCTTTTGTCCGGAGAATGCAGGAAATGGCATTCATGGCTGAGATAGACCACTGGTTGTGACGCAGGGCCTGCTCATAAGCATTCATCGCACCTTCTAGGTCGCCCATCAATTCGGTCAAGCTTCCTACAAACGCGACTGTCAGCATTCGCCAATGCAAATCTATGATCGGCCATCCTTACCTATTTGAAGCCAGACTTGTTCGTTAAGTGTGGCGATCTTCTGTGCGGTGGTAAGAGAAGGAACTCCCTTTTGACCTTGCACAGGAATTGCTGACATATGACCATTGGCCTGTGCCTGTGCCTGCGCATGCGCTGCGATATGCGCTGTCGCATGGTGAGGAGCCACGCCGGCAGTAGGTGATGGTTGAGTATGAGACATGGTTTCCGAGAATTGTGAATATGGTTTGAGTTGAACCGTGTCGCGACCGAACTCTCGGAGTAGGTTTGCGACACGACGATACAATCCAAGTTTACACCACTATTAGACACCGATCAAGTGTGCTCTTGTGATGTCGCACTCCAATCCTGAGGCGCAATTTCCGATCGACTGAGGAAAGAGAAAGGGAAAAAAAAGAGGGACGGGTCGCGAAAGAAGTAAAGGTTCTCTCACGCGACACTATCCAGCAGTGAAGGGTGGCAGTTTTTTTTTCCAAAATTGAACTGGACCTTGGCGCTCGCCCGAAGATAAATGAGTGGCGCGAGATGGCAGTGACACAATCTCGGGGGGCTGCGGGTGAAGTGACAGCTAGAAGCTTGACGCGCGAAGGTAGTAGGGAAAAATAGAATATTGAAGAAAGAAGCGAAGATACCAAGGAGATACAGTGGGGAAAGGGGAAGCCAGAATTGAAGATGATCCGAAAGCCTAAGGGGGGAAGAGAGAGGGAAGAGTCGAGGGGCTGGCAGGAAAGGTGAAATTCGCCAAGAGACGCTAGTGGTTGCGTAGCTCCCGGCCGTCACGACTGATTACCTAATTTAAGCTGACGCTCAGGAACGGCTTAGCGTTGTGGAGAAAGATCTGGAGGCGGTTATGCTCGTTTTTCTATTTTCTATTTTTTTTATTTTTACATTTCATTTCCGTTTTATGTTTTTTCTCATTTGAATTTTTCTTTTTTCGGGTTTTCTTTTCTTTTTCTTTTTCTTTTTCTTTTCTCTTTTTTTTTTTGACTCCACCTATGATCTTGAAAGAAGTAAGCATAAGAAACTTGAAAGTGAAATTCTTTGCTTAACTTATACAATAACAATTATAATAACATCCATGTTTTCTTTTAATAAATGCCCCAAATCTCCCCTAACACGAACACACGAACCCCCGGCAAAAGGCGCCGAGTGGAGACTTCCCCCGTGGTTGCTTCTAAGGTGCGTTAGTGCGACTGTGCTCCGTGCTAGCCCACAGGGCCGTGCAGCCGCATTGGCTTTTCTCAGATCCTTGTTCTCTTTTTCCCCCCTTTTGCCCAGCACTTTAGAACCGTACTTAATCCTCCGTATAATAGCGGAGACCACCTCCGGGAATACCCAGATCCCACATAATCCTAGATTATTCTTGATTTTCTTTGTTCGTTTCATTCAACCTATCATTCGTATTCGGCCTTAACCACCTGGCAATATATAGCGATATATATATTTGTATACGTCAATAGGCTGCAAGACCAGCACAGACAGACCAAACCCGGAATTGTGCAGGTTGCAGCTGTCGAGTGACCCTGTGTCCCCTCTCCTATTTTTTTTTATCTCATTTTTCTCCGGACTATAATTTGTGTACAATTCTTAACCCCCTTGACTCTTAAAAGTCCCATTTGTTTAGCAAAGTACCATGCAGGGTACCTTGACTTGCATATTCGCCCCTTCCGTCATTATTGTTCCCGTTTTAAGCGGCTTAGTGTATCCACAGTTTTATTTTCAAATTTAAAAAAGAGTCTTCAGCCACAGCTCAAATGGTCCTATGCTTGTGGCTGGTGTCTACTATGATCTTTTTCAGTGGAGACTCCCGGATGTGACAACTATGACTTTGGAATTTCGTTATCTTTAGAGTATGCTATTTATGCTATTTATGTGCTCTGAGATCTCCCTAGTATATAATTATTCTATAATATTACATTGACATGTCAGAGAACTTGTGTCTACCTTATATTTTCTCCCAATGGGCTCCACTTGTGCGTGGGCCTCATTTTCCAACAGGGTTTGCTAGCCGAGCCGCTGTCTCTGCCGTTAAGAGGTTGTCGTGAGAGGTATGCCAACCTCGATCAACTGTCTTATATCTATAATCCATGGATCTGGGTTACACAGCCGTATTTTAACTTGCCGACCGAGTCAAAAGCCCGCGCTAATATATTGTACCCTTTATTGTTTACTCTACTATTTGTCTCTTCCCCTAAACACCTTCTGTTGATTAGGGAGGGGGGGGGGTTCTGGGCGAGCCTTAATTAGTCACTACAGGAGACTTTTTTTTTTTGAAAAAAAGGGAATAACTTCGTTATAACTCCTGCAACTGCAAATCTCGGAAGCATGTCAAAAAAGCCAAAGCACCCCGGCAATCACGGCAATGGCCCGACAAGAGATAGATCAGCCGCGCGCATGCCACTGCATTGCGGTATATCGTTTGTGTCCACTGTGGAGATACCCATTTATCCTTAGATAAATAAATGCCTAACACCCCCTGCGACGGGATTTTGCAGACGCCATGCTCCGATGGTGGGTATGACCGTGCAACATGATTCTAGAGTTAGAATCGAGGCAGGAGGTGTGAGAAAGCAAGGCTAGAATTAATTGGCGCTTCCAAAATGACCAGTGGAAGGGTTATCAGCCCTGGAGAGCTATATATTGTATTACATGTCAAATTAAGTTCTTCAAGTGGCTTGTTTGCACGGTCAACGGCACACTCTCCACCATTTTGCTTATGAATATTATACGCCTCATCCCCGGTGATCAGATCATAAGATGAACAGGAATTTTTATTCAAAAATTTCTTCCAAGGCAAAGTCAACAAAAGTAAACATAAAAGTTTCAAGTGTCTTGCCAAGACTTGATAGTGCAAAGCGCAGGGATTGAGGACCGGTCCAGTTGGGACACAGATGTTCGATTTGTGTGACCTCAAAACAAAAAAAAAACACCTGCCAAAATAGATGCGTCCATTTTCTTCCCCGATCACTGATAAGATAGGGATCGTGGAGAGATTGGCCTGGAAGTGCGCCAATTTCCAACCAGGCTCGATGCAGATGCGTGGTTCAAGGACGTGGGGGGGGGGGGGGCGCACAAATGCTTCCTGTGTCAGGTACTTTGATGTTGGGTAACATGTCTGTGTTGCTATGTGTTGGCAATATGGGATAGGAATATATATAACTCTGGCCATATAACGGCGTCTAGATGCCGATGCTTATCATTTGACGTTAGGTGGTTTTTGGCTATCAGAAGGGTCTCATATGGTGTCGTTGCATGGTTACCCCGGGCTTAAGCCTTCAACGCGGGTCCCTTTCAGGTACCAGTAAGCCAATAATACTAAGCAGTTATTGATGTGGGCTGAGTTGGCTAGTTGGCTTCCAAATCTAGCCCATCACATCTTGATTACTTGTGGCTGCAAGCCCCCGTTCAGCCACAAGGCCCGGGGAAACCTGGATTTATGGGACCTGTTGATAGGAGTACATAAGTACTGAGGGAATTTTTTTTTTTGAGCTGAACTATTTGAGTGAGAGAACGACCTTCAAATTTGTAATTTCCTTTTTTTTTTTTGGGATCGCTCGTTGCATTCAGCATAGGCTTGTCATCATATATGTTTTGCCATTGACCCGAATTTTGAATGGTATATTTGTTTGAATTTTTCTTTTTTTTTTTACACGGCTATGTACACACCAGCACGACTACATTATACAACAAAGACAGACTATTCAAATACTCACATATTGTTCTCACAACTTTGCTGCCCAAACGCCGGACCAATGGAGAGACACGTGACCGCATGTGACTTGGATGCCTGGAGTGGGAAACTATATTTGTGGTTTGGGTATCTATTAAAGAAAGGGCATAACATATTAGATTTGATTAGGCGTATACATAAAATCTACACTACTATGTACATGGGAGAAAAGGTACCCGTGGACGCCAAGAGCGCTTAGAGGTCTTAGCCACAAAGGTTCATTGAGAGACCAATTTCCAAGTGCATATATTGCCAAATTGACAATGAAGATCGAGTATGCTATAATGTAGGAAGATACCCTATTAAGTCACACCACCAGTTTAGCTGAGATGTAGAAGTTAAGTGCAGACACCAGAAACCCATGCGGGATGGGAGGGGCCTAGAGAAACACATGTGCAGCAAATAGTCCTAGATAGACCAATATGAGAATTGTGATAGTAGAATTGATAAAAACAAGGACCGAGGGTCAAGCGCATAAGCATTGCAACCCCTCCCAACCTGTACAGAATTTCAAGATTGGCGAAGATCAGCGAACTGATAATTCGTAATTCCAGTGGTAACTTCAGTAATTTGTTTCCCAGCTTCTGTATGTCACATCTTCAATCCAGTATACGATGCGATAGGGCTGGCGGAGATTCATTGTAGGGTTTGATGAGCTTGCGGTCAACGGATAATGTGCTGGAAGCATTAATGAAAGCCACCTAGTATGGATGAAGGATCAGTTCTGGAAGGGAAGTTGAATATGTATGTGTCATAGGACATGGTTGGTGCCTTGTGGGTGAAGAATCGGGAAGAGAAGAAGTGCTGCCTAGATGAGATTTTGGTTGGAGACATCTAGCTCTGCGGGCAGTAAAGGGGGATAAGGTGCCTTCATATATAACGTTTTACCTATCATTTTCGTAAGGGAATGTGCGACGAACAGCATGGTTAAGCGGCCCAAGATGACAGGTCGGAAGAATGTAATTTTGTCGATCGGATAGTTGCGGGATTTGAGAGATATGGAAGCGTCGATCATTTTTTTCGACGGTGATCCATACCAGCGCATGAGCAGACCACGATACGACCCCCTCATGTTAGGTGGTTGGTTTAGAATAGCGCTCAAGTTCGGGGGGATATGACTGATCTACACTCGCCACCTGTCATTGTCATGCCATGCTATTGCGTGCTTGGCTAATGGCAGTTGTAGCCGGTGACTGGTTGATAGTGGGCTGTATGCGAGGTAAGGCACATGATCATCAGTGTTGATTTAGCAAACACTGGGAGCCAAGGGAGTTAGTTGGACAGCGTGCAGCCGTAAATAAAGGAAAAACAGTAAACCGCGGCAATGGTTATGGTTGCCGAGGAGAGAACACGCAATCAGTCGCTCCTGACCGCTCAGCCAAGCAGAAGAATACGGTTTTGTATACAATGCCCAGGAATCCAGACAGAAAGAAAAACCTTAGAAGCCAAGTGTTGAGCTCCGTTGAGGAAAAAGAAAATTTAGGATTCAAGCGGATGTCGGAGACGGTTGATTCGCCAAGATAATCGGATTGATCTCAACGGGACAGCGGAATGAAAGGATCCAGAAAGCCAAGACTTGAAAGACCCTTATATAACATAGTTTTGGAGTATCTGACGAGAGGATAGAAGAGAGATATTTATTTTGACTAATAGCATGCAGGACAATTATTGAGGAAAGTTAGGTAAGAGATATTGAAAACATGCCTTTGGGGAAACAAACACCCCATAAAGCAGAATGAAAAGGTATTTCTCCGAATGTCGAATGCCAACACCCGCCAACCCTTCTCGGCGTCTGGGCGCCTGACCCTTCGGGGTACTGTGCCGAACCCCTGATTTGGCTGATTGTACTCATATATTTATAGTAATCGGTGAGACCCTGTGAGTATTACATATATGTAACAAAACATATATAAAAATTCAAATACATCCATGGATATGTACTCTGTACAGCTTATCTATTGAAAGATTCCAAAGGATTATCTAGATTGGGCAATGGGAGCAATACATGTCATCACGTGCGTAAAGCTGTTACCGCCAAGACTCCAGTCTGCGTTTCAGCGCGGATCATCTCATTGCTGTCAACCAATCAGACACTGGAAAATGTAGACTTATCATCCTCGATGGCTCCTTGGCGGCTTGGCGGGTGGTAAAACCTCGTAATTCACCTGCACCCTTGACGCCCGAGACCACTCAGCATCTTTTGTCTCACGGTGGGACAACTGCACATATTGTCTAACACAACCCTACCCTGGTATGGAGTATGCTCTACAACACAAATGGGTCATGATGGGGATCTGAGATAAAAGGATCGGCAGCATTGCCCACAAAAGATTTTTGTACCCCATACAAGGCTCGACTTTATGCCAAGGGCTCGGCATCTGGGCGTCTTGGCGAGAGGGACTGCAAACAGCAGGAAATGCTCCTCCGCTGTCTGGCACGGCCTTTCCTGGGCTTTCCTGGCACTTCCGCTCTTTCAAGCTGCGGCTTTCCGTTGTCTCTTATAAGTCTCCCTTCCGCCCCTTCCTGTCCGCTCTATTCCTCCTCCGACTTGTCAAGAGCCCCTATGACAGAAAGATTACGATTGCGGAAATCATGCGGTGAATTCTACATGCAATAGTCGCCCTCTGTGCGTCTACCTTGTACGACTTTTGCTTTCGTCTACACCTGCTTTTTATTACCCTCGCCGGCCATGCCGTCACCGGAGATGTCATATAGTCCCGCCTACTATCAGGATCAGGGACCTCTTGGAACGACAAACCCTCGCAACCCAATCGTCACCCCTCCACCGGCTACCCGGCAATCCCAGGAACATTCCTCCGTACTGGGTCACCCAGTAGGCATATCTCGACCCTCCTCTCCTATACCAAGCCGCGAAGCCAGTCTCCGCACTTCCGGCTCACGAGCACACCGTGTATACCATCATCAGACACTGGGAGGATCTTCCTGGCCCGGTTCAGACACCCGAGAGATCGATTCCGGTCCGACAAGCGGCTCGACATCAAGTGGTGCACACAAGGAAGAGCGAGCTCAGAGCGGCTGGGCAGACCGGCCGTCATTAATGTCGGGGGAAAATTCCAACCCGAGCATAATCCGAGCCCGAAAACGAGGCATTCCGGATGACGAAATAGTCACGAATGAGGGCCGAGATGCTCTCTTGATGCTGGTAAGTGCGCAATGTAGTGATTTAATATCTTTCATATACTAATAAAAAATAACTGGCAGTTCCGTCTCACAATTGTCCCATTCTACTCATTCGCCGCTTCTCTATATACTATCTTCGCCTTCCTCTTCGCCCTCGTCGTCTCACCTTTCCGTCTCTGCTCATTTTCCCCATACCTCCGCGCAACGACATTTGTATCACAACTTTGCGATCTCCTTTCTCCTGTCCTCCACATCCATGAACGACTCGTTTGCTTGTACCCTCCATCAGTGGAAGATCGATCATCCTCGACCCAATCGACCCAATGGATCCACTCAGAGCGCGATTCAGACCAACCATCAGTCTTATCTGAGGCGAGTGAGGTCTATTCTGTGCTGGCTTCATTTTTCGTCCTGGTCCTATCCCCGTTACTTAGCATTGTGATTCTCCTTTTCGCATGGACAGCCGCATTTTTCTGGATCTTCTCCATGGTACTGGGCAACCCGGACGGCACCGAGCGCAAGGATGACGGCCGCACCGCTGTTCTTGGAGTGTGCAAATGGTGGCGATCATGGCTCTGCAAAGCCCGGAAATCATAAGAACTTCCAACCAGAGTCCGCCAGAAGCAAGCAGGCCAAGCAGTAATATATCTCACCGCCAGCTTGACGAAAGTTGCATTTACCCCCCTTACCTTGAAATATTATCCCACACTACATGATACCCTCCCCTCTTGGTACATGGTCGTACACTGGGAATACGTGGAACGACCTCGCTTTACTTTACTTTTACCCCTTCACATTGCTGATATTATCTCCGTCCCTGGTGGCTATGACTATACACATTCTGCATCGTTGATGCGCACGGCGTCTGGGATTGGCTTTTATTTTTACACGGCGTCTGGGCGGGCGCACAGTGACCTCGAAATTATTTCGACGTGTATCCATTTTATCATTGTGTCTTGCAGATTATCGGGGTCTGGTTGAGGATCCTCTCTGCTCGACTCGAGACTTTTGATCTTGTTATCCGATGAGCTGGCGGGGATTCTCAACCTGCCTTGGAACTGTACTTGTATGTATGAAACTTATCTATGAGCGGAGGTTGTATGTATGCACTGCTCTCGAGTGCGAATGATACCCAGGCTTCTTGCTTTTGATTCTTGATATCTGCTTGGGGTGAATACCTTAAGATTTTGCCTTTGATCACCTAATCGTTGCAGGATAAATGGCTAGAAGTATGTGTACTTTGTAGTCTTAAGGGCAAACTTGGGGTCATGGTTTCGGTTGATTAATTTTTTAAGGTACATTTATTTGTATCACAAGAATAGTCGGCCACTGGTTGACGATGTAGGATTTCAATCATCTAATCTAGTTGACCCAAAATGATGACTGGGGCGTTATATCCAAGATCCTACTTTGACATCTTTCTCTCTTCCAAGGTTCCAAGGTTAGATTCCATGCTGACAAAGTTTTTAAGGTTGTCATCTTTTGCCCAGATCGGGACTAGCATAAAATAGGAATATCATGCCCAGCAAGTGAACAAAGCCGGGGTCAACCGAGGCAAAAATAGTAAGATATGTACATAGTTATGTAGTTATGTACCATTCATCTTATATAAGATTTTACGTACGTACATAAAATCACTGTGTAGTAACCATCTCATATTGGTGAAATATACGGAGTAGGAATTTCTCACAATCCTTGCTTGGTTTTACTTGGTTTTACCCAACCCACATGACTATCCTTGTACATATATATTCACATTTGCAATTCCTGATTGTGACTGCTCACAGCTTTATTAGGCGAACAGCTTGGTCTCAGCTTTACCAGGGCCCTGCCCCCGAGTTATGTAAGAAACCCATGGCTTAACTAGCTAACTAAATAAAAAAAGTCATTGAAAGAACCTCCTCCGTCTTGTACTGCTTTGAAGCCATGCATCCCACCCCGACAACTGGAGGTCCTGACCTCAATATATTCATCGCAGCACCTCCAATATGGACATATGTGGCAGGGGACACCATAATCGGCAGTGTGAACCGCCAGATGCACATCGTGGCTCCAGATGCCAAGATCTCCCTTACATTGATCGGACGCACAAAAGCCCGCCTGATAACAGAGGGCTACCCATCGAAAGCTAGACACTATAGCGAGTGGAAGATTTTCGACATGCAACCACAGACCCTGTTACGTGGACCTATACATATCCCCTCACCCAGCACCCTAACCGACTGCATCATCATCCCCTTTTCAATTAACATCCCCGAAGCAGCTTCAAAATCGGCAGTACGCAATCATACACAGGAAGAGAGTTTGATCCCTCTAGGGACACATTGCATCGCACAACACCCGTTACCGGGAACGTTTGCCACCGAATGGACCGGGGCCAAGATCTACACCGAGTACTACCTCCAGGCGCAGCTGCAGTATATGCGCAATGGCTCGTGGCAGGTCCAGCGCGCGACAGCGCCAATCACGTTAGGCTACCCGACAGTAGACGCGGGCGGGATCCGGTTTGCGCTGCAGCAGTGTGGCGTCATGAGCCGGGTGCGCAGTCAGCGATTACTTCCCTCGATGCAGGATGTGGATTTATCCTTGACGCAGAAGACGCAGAAGATTCTTGGGCTATCTTCTGTCCCTGGATTCAGTTTTAAGGTTGTGATGAGTGTGCCGATGGCTATTCAACTTGATAATCCATCGTCGGTTCCGCTTGTTATCAGGGTTATACCTCAGCGGGATCGGAGTAGTAGTGACGTTTTGCATGTTGTGCAACGCGTCGATGTTATCGCGGTTAAGATGACTATTCTTTCGAAAGTTGAGATTGTTCTCAAACCGAGCGAGGAAAGTCTTCATAGGGTACCTAATGATGAGCATGTATTTGTCCAGCATTTGAGCAGCGCGAGGATCCGATTGTAACTTTTGCCGGGCCAAGCGATACATCGGTTGATATTGGGATGATGCTTCGGCTTGTTCTTGGACACGATGGTCTGGTGAGTGATGGGAAGTGTCTTAGTCTTTCGGCTATTATTCGGCCTAGTTTTGTCACTTTTAATACTAGGCTGAGTCACTCAATAATATGGCAGATCTCTCTTCGTATTGTTGGGGAGACACGAACTATTTCGATGAAGACAGTGGTCACTGTGTATAACGGTGACTCCAGGTTGTGAGGCTGTGCTTCGTTAAAGCCTTGGGCTTTTTGAATTTGAGTGGCATCGATTTTGTGGACAGAATTTACGCCTGTCAGAATGCATTGCGGGGACATATCCCGTGTCGAATATATAAGGTAAGGAGAGCAACAGCAAATAATTCAATGATTGCACGTTTGAACACATGTAATTGAATTGTCATGTAATCATAATTAACAAATAACCAAGATATGTGAGTATCAAAAGAATGAAGCTGCGGCAGCTTGAATAGTCACCGGTTCATATTCAGCGTCATCACCATCATGGTCGACAAAATCAGGCTCATTAATATCATCATCAGACAAGTCAATGGCACCAATATCCAGACCAGAAACACCACGAGATAACATTTGGATCTTTATCTCCATATCGTGTTTTTTCTTTAGCTCCTTCACCTGCTCCTCCGTCGTCTTCTTCAACTCCCTCTCGTACTCGCGCACCTCCTCTTGGTCCCGAGCATTGTCTGCCCATACTTTCAGGTGCTCTGGGTATCTCAGACACCAGATCACAATATCCCGTGTTGCATGTGCATCTTCTAGCGCACTGTGGCCCTGTCTCCCAACTTGGATATCATAATTGACCAATTCGTTGGCAAGTGTCTTCAGACTCCATGTGCGGTTGAGTGGTTCGCGGGCGTGTACAGTGTAAAACACCGCTTCGCTGGTAATGATAGAGGAGTCGACAATATTCCAGTGAATGATACCTAAGACGTCAAGATCATTGTTGAGAGAATGACCAACGAGAATAGTCTCGTTATCCATGAACTCCCATAATTTTGAGCGCGCTCCTTCCCATCCATTCAATGCTGTCCCTTTTTTGACAGCCTTATTCATGGCACTAGGAGTCACCCCGCTATACCGAGAGTCCCAATTCACGACTCTCGCTTTCGGCTGCACATAATTGTCGATGAGAACCTCGCCAGTCAAAAAGTCAATTGCACTCAAAAAGGCGAGCTCCCGGCGCCCTGCTTCAACTTGCACCATCTCACAGTCGAGGACTATGGCTTTCCTTTTCGGCAAGCCGTCTGATGAGCGAGGAACTTGGCGGAAATGTCCTGTCTTTGGAGGGGGTTTCTTTGACGGGCGCCTACTGAAATCTGCTAGGCCAGCCCGGAAGGTGAAACCTCGTGTGGCCAAACGGGTCTCTGAGTGACATCGTGCCGACAAATAGCGAAAGATCAAGTCTTGTTCGAGTGGCTCCAGGATAACATGGTAATTTGCATTCCGAGTGGCGGGTGATGAGGAATTCGGCGGTTCAAGTCCAGAGGGCTTGTTCCATAGGTCTTCAACAGGCTCTGCCCTCAATGGGGCACGTACCGGTGTCTGGGCTGATGTGCGCTTTTGAGCTTGTTTCACAGGCTTGGCAGGCAAGATATCAGAGCGATCCAGAGACTTCTCAAGTTTCGTTTTCTTTGCAGTGGGTTTCGCAGGCTTGTCAGACAAAGAGTCAAAGTTAAACTCAAACTGATCTTGGGGTTTCTCCAGCTTTGTTTTCTTTGCAGTGGGTTTCGCAGACTTGGCAGACAAAACCTCAAATAGATCCTGGGACTGCTCAAACTTTGTTTTCTTTGCGGTGGGTTTCGCAGACTTGACAGATAAAGGCTCCAACAGATCCTGGGACTGCTCAAGCTTTGTTTTCTTTGTAGTGGATTTCACAGGATTGACAGATAAGGGCTCGGGATGATCCTTGGATTTTTCATGCTTGGTGGTATTTGGGGATGGCTGTGTAGCCTTGACAAAAGACTGAGATATATCGGGCAACCCGCCATATTTCGCAGGCTTTGAAGCTGATTTCGCAGGTTTGGCAGACAAGGGCTCAAGTTGCTTTGTGCTCTTTGGTGCTGGCTTTGCTGACTTGAGAGACTTGAGATCAGAACCATCTAGAGGCCTTTCGTGCTTTTGGGAGTGCTTGAGCAACGCTGTTACATTTCCAAATGACCTGTCGCATGGCTCGCAAGCAAGTTTGTGGCCTTTGGACTCAAAATGAGCCTTGACCGCACCAATGCTTTTGAAGCCACCTCTCTGACATCCAGGGCAGACAAATAACTTGTCCACTGTGGGTGAATCCATGATATAAACAAAAGAGGAAATGATGTGTTTTCCAATTTTTGTAGCGACTTAGGTGTCACAGGGCTAATATGAAAGGAGCAATGGATGTGTGTATATCTTGCCTAATCGAGCCCAAACGTGGCAGGTAGGGATTGAGGTTGCACTTCACCAGTGACCGCTGCTGAAGCCTACGGGCCAACGGCTTAACAATATACAGTCGATGAGACAATGGTAAGTGTTAAAATTGTCTTGCTCAACCGAGTCAGTCAGACAAAAACGCAGAGTGAATTGATAATTGATCTCAAGAGGGATGGAAATTGGCTAAGCCGAGATTCTGCCTAACTTTACCGCTTGAATATTAAGGCCTGAAATATTAGGCTAATGAAGGCATTTGGGTGTCACCACCAATCACAACACAAGAAAAGAGTTTCCCCATCAACAAGACTAAAGGTTGGTGTTTTCGATTTGATAACTATGCCATTCATTCGAAATTTTGTCACATTCAAGATAACTTACTCAAACAATCTAGTTAATAGGGAATATAAACATGATGACAATGATATGAACACAGAGATGTAGCAAGTCACAAGGGAACCAATGCTTGGTTTTTATAAATCTACATGGTGTACGTTCCTTTGTCACAACAAGCTTTAAATATATATAAATCTGGACAGGCAATCTTCCAAGTTTGGGAGAACAAGTGACACAAAGCCTATTTATGAAAGAACAATGTAAAAAGGAAGTTTCAAAAGAGAAAAAAAAATACTATCAGAGTATCTTTATAGGGAAACAGAGTACTATCTGTGTTAAGACAGGTTCCAAAAATTGGCTCAATAAGACAAGCTCAAAGAGCACGTTAGGGGGAAGCTCCCAGATGCGCGATAGAGAGAGTGGAAGTGACATAATGTATCCGCAGAGATCACTGGGGTACTAAGCCCCATGCAGGACTGTTCTGAGCCACAACATACTTCGTGTCATTAAAGTAGGGTTGCCCCTAGTCTGGCAGTCGGTACCCAAGCCGCGGCAAAGACTCCACCTAGTGCCCTCAAAGATGTGAAGTTCTTCACAGGACAACATGAACCACCTTGCGGACAGGCAATGGAACCTGGAGCTAGATGGTGAAAAAAGGAAGAAAATGGAAAATAGGGAGGGGTCAGGTCTTTATAATTTAGTCGTAGCTTAGGGCGATGGGGGTTTATAACGAGTTGAGCAGAAAAAATCTTGGTAAATTCCCAGCAAGAATATCCACCTGGATCGCCGCATATATTCGAGTTGCCAGTGACTGGGCCGTAGAAGAAATGTTCCCCCGACATTCCTCTGCTGATACTCGTACTATGCGAGAAACTTCATCGAAGTATATCTAAGTACATCTTTAGAAATCTATCTTTGTAGTATCACGATTGTTCCAAGGCCCTGTGAATTGTCTCCTTTATATCGTTATTGAGTAAGTTCAATCTCCCTAGCACCCTAATCCGCATTCGTTTTGTTCTAACAGTCCACCTGGCTGGACACACTCGAATTTCAGTACGTGCCTCTATGACTTGTTCGATCTGCTGCCTTGATCGCTTGAAGTTTTCAATGATGAATATATGCACCGTGATGCCTCGTATACCCAACAAAAGGCAAAGCACCCTTCCAACATTTTCATGTCAGTGCATGTATTTACAGTTAATTATGATAATATCGGTATAAGCCATACCTTTCTTTTGGCTTGAGACTACCGAAAAATTCCTTTTCGAATTATCATCCCATGAATCTTTGAATATCGCTAGTTACCACCCATGATGAATGCAACATAGTTGGGCATGATGCCTGCCTGCAGGGTGTTTATGAGAACATTTTGAACTCGATTTGAGTCCATGATATTGTTTCTATAGTTGAGGGGGTAATTAAATAGACTTTTTTCATTCCCGAGTATAAGGGTTAGTTGATGTATGTAGCCGCCAAGGGGAAAATAGCACCAAAGAAAGTTCGGATACGAGGTGTCTCGTAGACAAGTCTCTGTAGTAATTATTAGCATCGTTAATGATACACGGGGGTGGCTTGTTAGAATGAGACACCAGTAGCTACTAGTAACTACAAATGATATTAATTTTTCTATCTCTAACGGTTGCTTGGTAGTGAAATTGACTGCTACATGTACTCATGGATGTGGGTATATCACCGAAAATGTCATCTAAGAAAGCTCTAGTGTTCAATAGCGAACTATGGGTTTGGACGGTGCAATAATCTTCAGACAAACTTTACGGTTGGATTTAAAGAAAAAGCAAAGGTTCTAAAATAGCAATTCCTAAAATGCTATCAACATGTAGTAACCAGCACATTCGCTATATAGAATCAAAAAAAGGTCCATACCGTGGAGCTTTTAGAGGATATATTTAGTCTTCCTTACCTTTGTCCGCCCCTAATTATGCATCGTCCTATATGTTTAAAGATCATCATGCTCGTCCTCATCATTCTCATCATCCTCTTCATCATCTCAAAAACCTCTACCCCCTTGCGGTGCTTTTAGACGTAGGATAGCTTCTTGCCCCTGGACATACAAGCTCGCCGGATCTGGCAGGTCTGGATACTCCGGCTGTTCCCCAAGTTCCTGCCTCTTTGGAGGTGGAAGATCATCATCACCGTTATCTCGCTCTCGTTTGCGTGCTTGTTTGCGTGCTTGTTTCCGTGCTGGTGCTGGTGTTGGTGCTGGTGCTGGTGCTGGTGCTGGTGCTGGTGCTGGTGCTGGTGCTGGTGCTGGTGCTGGTGCTGGTGCTGGTGCTGGTGCTGGTGCTGGTGCTGGTACTGGTACTGGTGCTGGTAATGGTGCTAGTGCGACTGGTGGTGGTCCGCCTGGTGGTGGTGCAGCTACAAGGCCTGGCATTGGTACCGGTGGCTGCCAGTTAGGGTTGCTCGGTGCAGGAAGTCCCCAAGGGAGGGGGTCATGGGCTCGGTAGTAACGGCAAATATCCATCATAGCCTCAACAACATCAGCTTGAGGAAGGGTTGGAATTGGTGCTGGTAAATTGGGCGCTTCATAGGCGAAACCAACTTCTAAGTTTCTTTTACGAATGCTGGAGCGAAAAAGGTTCATAATTGACCCACCCCAGTAGACATGCCAAGCTTGCTCGAAATCGTGACGTCTTTTAATAACATTTAGAACAGTAGCTCGGGCTTGAGGGTTCGCGTAGATACCAAGCCGATCCCACACACGCCTTTCGGGCGCTAGGCCAACACCGGGTTTGAAATTAGGCATTTTGAAGGATATTAACTGAAACTAAATTACATAGAGTTGAATTGTATTCGTTGTTGAATGCTTGGACTGATTGAATAGTAGCTGTGAAGATGGAATAAGGATTGAAGTGGAATTGATTGACTATTAGATAATTGAACCCTCTTTGTGACCGATGAAGAGCTAATTAGAGAGTGGCTTTGAGAATTGATATTCAAAAACGTATCGTTTATTGTCTTCGAGATCGATATATAAAGAAACAAAGAATATGGCCATGAAACTTCTTAGCGCGCTCTTTGTGACCGAGGCTGAGTTAACTTGGAACACAGCTTCGAGAATTGACCTTTGAGAATGTATTGGTTATCATCTTTGATATCAACAAAGAAAGAAGCAAAGGATATGGGTTATGAGATCTTCTTTTAGCTCAGAACGAAGTTGTAGTAAACAAAGCGATTCTATAATAGGTTCTAAATATAATGACCCAGCGACAATGGCACTCTAATTACATTGGAATGAAATATGGTATTATCTATCCCTCTGCATTTCCCAACTTGATTCCCACATAATGTCAATTTAACATATTATAAGAGAAGATCAAACAGTAGAAATAGTCCCGTCTAAAATGTACTCTTATATGTGGCGGATGAACATAACGCTAATAGAAGAAATCTATGACTGTTGAAGAGATTAAGGGATTATCCATTTAGATAAATATAACCTTGATTATGTTATAAATATTCCATTGCGCTACGTATTATAATTGTAGCCATCCGAAGGAGCCGCTTCATTAGCAGCTAGTATTGCCTCCATCGCCTCATCAAATTGACAAATTAAATCTGGCAGCTCCACCGACAGATTAAAAAGTTCACTACCTGAATCATCTCTGATTCGATCGCGCCTAGTTTCTGGTTCCCTCTGCTGGCCCTGTGGCTGCATAGATGTCTCGTTTAGATCCATAGCTTGTCTATATTTGAGATTTTCCCTCGGTATATCGAACGATGTCTAGTAGAATATTGGGATATGATACGTGTGTCAGCTACGTGGGGAGGAAGCAAGAAGTGGTCGATGAGAATATCAATGATGGAGAGCACTATGACTGCGATGAAGCCATCTATATATCTTTATGGAAGCAAAGACGCAAAGACCTTGAAAGGATAAAGAGAGGTCCGATAAAATGCCTAAGTGAGCAATGCCTTTGTGCAACAAGATGGAGTGCCTGAAATATTTGATATAGATCTGGAGTTGAGCCTCGAGTAGGATGAGCAAACAACGCATGACGAGAATAGAGAAATATCCGAAGAACCGCTTTACATGCATTGTTACTATATTAGCGCAGGTCGTTTCTCGCCTATAGCGATTAAGACATAATTTCATAATTACCTGATTTTACACCTCTATCGTCTGATTTCCGGACGATCAGAGCGGGATACATTGGCTACTACGGAGTTAAAAAGATTCTTGGGAATCGAGTCCAGGTGAAAGTCTCTTTTACGAGCTCTTTTGTATATAAAGTTAATCATATGTCCCGAAAGGCTAACTAGCTCTAAAGAGTAGTAAGTGTATGGTATGGCCAATAAATAGTCTTGCCAATTACTAAAACTGAGCGTATAGGGATTCATATCGTGTCCTATAGCGGCGGATGAAAACAGTTAGAGCTAGTCATCTGCATATAAGAACTTTTGCGATATCACATCTCGAGTTGAAACATTTCAAAATTGGAAGGGTCACATCTCCTCTTTGACAGAGAGTAAAGTGAAGAGCATATAAACGGCCACCTCTCTAAAATCCAGGGCGATAATGCCTGATCTCTACTTCACAGAAAAGAAATTGCACAATGACCTTGTCTCATCTATTTCTAGTCTCCTCGACTCCATAGGTGCCTCGAGCCTTCTTTGAGGTGACCATCCAGTTACTGTTTATGGGATTTCTACGATTTTAGATCTAAGTATGGTCTTGATTAACGGGAGAATTTACTAATATTTCAATAGAAGGCAGCTTTTGTTGTTCCGGATGATCTCTGAGGTCGCATTCTTCACTTATCAGTGCTGGTATTTTACCCTGCAGCCAAAGCTCAGGGTGTTCGTACTCGGACACTTTACGAGTCTCAATAGAATCTGAGCACCTGCATATTAATGATGAGTTTGTGATCTCGATTTATTAGGCTATGGGAGTTTGAAGGTCTTGACTACTTCTCTAATACAAATTCACATATTATGCTCGCATCGGACGATCGACTTCTGTTAACATCTCTAGGCCGTGGGTAAGAGCGCTTCTTGTCACATCTTTATGTGGTGAAAGTTCTTTCTGCTATAAGTTACACCGATTCTATTGCTTTGCTGAGAGCTCAAACCTACTTATGAGACTTATTGAATGGCCATTCTAAGCTATACATTGGGGGACGTCGATGATACAGATATCTTCGAGGAAAATAAGCTGCGAGAAGGCTACAGAAAGCTTTGCCATGGTATTAAACTGGGATATCCTGCGATGTAGTCGATACTAAATGAGCTCCGACTCAGTTTGATTACAGGGAAGTGCCTCCTAGTGAAAAATTCTCAACAAAATGGGACGAACAATATCTCGATCTAACAGTTGTCCTTGAGGGTTTTGCAACCACATCACCAGATGGAACAATCAGTAGTCCTTCGATTATATACCGATCATAGTCTATAACTCGGGAGGAATTCGGAATCACTCTTTTCCCAAGGATGATGCACTCTGAGGTTTTGGACGAGTTGTTCATGTATCGCGCTTCGTGGCCGGACTGACACCTTGAACGGAGCCGGATGGCTAATGACCCCCGGGAGGAACTTGAGTGGGATATCCTGGGCAACTCCATTTTTTATCGGTTTCGAGATACTGAACACAGTGAGAACCTGTGCAACAGTGAGGAAGACGTTCGCGTCTGCCAGAGTACGCCCAGGGCAGGCTCGACGACCAAAGCCAAACACAAGCATGTGCGGATCGCGCTCTGGGAGTTTGCCATCGGGCGAGGTCAAGAAGCGTTCCGGATTGAAGGTCATTGGGTCATGATAGACGTTTGCATCGTGTGTAAATGCCCTAGGAGATTGGAAACCGACTTAGGAACTACTGTCTCCTAGAATGGACAAGAGCAACTCACCAGATATTTGTGAGAACAGACGAGCCCTTGGGAATGAAGTAACCCTCGCATGTATCATCCTGGTTTGATGTGTGTGCTACACTCATGGGTACAACTGGATGCCATCTGAGAACTTCCTTGACCAGCGCATTTATATATGGTAGGTTTTCTCGATCTCGGAATTCGGGTAGTCGATTACTCTCAAGCACTGTGTCAAGTTCCTCCTGAGCCTTGCGTTGCGCTTCCGGAAAATGGGCCATGGCGAGGAAGAAACTCGCAATTGAGGAGACGGTCTAACTTTTGTCAGTCAAATATAATGTATACAAGTACGGATTTGCTCTCACTGTATCTGCGCCTCCGGCGTATAGGGACCCAGCTGCCCACTTGATGATTTCTTCTTCTTCGGTCCCAGGCTCTACAGGATTGTCTCGAAGAAGATTGGATAAGAAGGACGGCACGAAGCTGCCATTACTCATCTGCTGCTTGGTAAATGCGTACGGAACATCACTAAAGGCCTTTGATTTTGACTTGTAGCCTTGCGCAATCTTCACGAATCGCGCCCCAGGGAACCAGGCTGGGAGATATTTCACTAGCCAGCGAGTCAGTAAGTATTCTATAATTCAGTGTGTCGACACTCTTCATCAATAACTGGTTACTAACTTATTGGAATAAACTCGACCGCCCATGTTGCTGGAAGCAAGGCATATGAAAATTCCTCCATCGCCTTGTCGGCCAGGTCCACAAGAGGGTCCTGAGCATGGGGTTCAATAGTGTAACCATAACCAATTTTCAAGACTATCGCTCCGGCCTCTCTTCTCACAATTAGCCTTCATATACAAACACTATCATCTCGAGTAGACGAATTGACTCACTTCCGTATGTGCTGATGAAGGTTTTCTGGTTCGTCCAACACCCTTATCAGGAAACGACTGACCTCTGCTGTCTGAACATCGTTGAAGCGGAAAACAGAATTTTTTGAACCTATCTCTTGAAACAACTGCTTCCGTGTCTTCTTTACGTGATCTGGGTTTCTGAGTGCCCCAAGAACATATTGCCACCCCGACCTGGCGATATCAGTCACCCAAGTGTCATCTAGTTAAATAATCCATTCACTTACATATCAGTAAACGCATTCTCTGGACGCCCTGAGTGTATAGAGGAACGTTTCTCTAGTAGTTGAACTGCAAATTTAGCATCATTAAGGATGATGACATGTCTCCCTAGCACAGTGAGTGAGCTAATGGGTCCTAATTTGAGAATAGTCAACATCCCAAGTTGGTATCTTCCATAGACATTCATTTTTACCATATAGTTCTTTATGTTTCAGCCAGTGCATCCAATCTTGTTGGTTTGGGGTTGGAAGATCATTCAGATTTCCAATTATGGGATTCTGTTTAGGGCCGGGAGGAAGAGGCAACGGATATCTTTTGCGGCCGCGAAGGGTAGTAATAATCCCAAACCCAAAGGTAATGAGAACACCTAGCCACAGCATCGACAACATGGTGATGTTGATTTTAAAGGTAAATATTCGAAATGCGGTGTTAAAAATGGGGTGGATGGGGTGGATGTGAATATGTTGGACAAGACTTCTTTTTCAAGCCTTGAAGGGGGGAATTGCAGAATATATGCACTCACTGCAGCACCTACCCCCCACCATAGGTCGATCATCTGCACACATGAGAAGGCGGGGGGTACGTGCACGCTCGTGCATATATCCGTGCATATTCTTGTATCCATTGTGTATCTAGTTCATATAAGCTCCCTTTGTGTGACTTCATATATACAAGCCCTTTGATTGGCTTCGAAGATTGGCTTCGAAGATTGGCTTCGAACATTCAAGTTCATGAGGTGGCAAAATTCTTGCCTCTTGTACCCTAGCTGTTACATTTTCTTTCTGCTATTGAGATTGTGCTTGATAATCAAAGCACCTACTTTGTATACTCAATACAATATATTAATGGCTATAGCAGTCTATGTATGAAATATTAGACTCTGTACCACATTCTCAGTTGACAGTAAATCGGCTGCGAAAATGGGTTCCTAAGAAATTAAACCGAGTTCATTGTTTGTTGCGATATTGACTTTACATATGAAACAGCGAGTTTCAAGCTCGACAAACAGAGAGAAAACTAAAATATTTTGGTAAACAGAAGCGAGCTGTCTACGTATTTTTCTCAATCAATTCTGTACCTTGATCTTTCCTTATGAGTGATTCGTCCGTTTTGTGTGTTTGAGTTGTGTTCAGGTCTGCACATGACGCCAAATAGCATTCGTCGCCGTAAGATACAGTGGGTACGTGGTTATACAACCTCAAATTCCACCCTCCACTTTTGGAGTGATAGCCCCCCCGCTTGCCTCTTCCAGCTCAGCCCGCTCACCTGAGAGCGCCATCACCTCCGCCTTCGTTCCAATCCGCCACCAAGGCACTGCCTCGCCCTCCTTCATTCCAAACCAATACAAGTGTCCGATTTCGAGCATATTTTGATCCCCCTGCTCTATTTGTCAAACGGAACACCCCCTAGAACTCGGTCAGTGTGTCAGGGCCTAATGTGACGAAAAAATGATCATTGGAACAACCCGACTCGCGAGTGAAGGCTGGGCACTTTCCGCATTTGCCGATATCTAGGCGTATTGGCTTAGTATCTGTTGTTGTGATAGTTATCGCGACAAATAAAATTGTCGTGACGCTGGCTGAGACCGAGATTGAATACTTTGGGTTGGGTAAAGATTGCGATGGGTTCATGGTAGTGCGAAACTGCTGTTAGGATGATTGTTGATGGTGGGCTGGGGTTGAAAGAGAAGTTGGGTGGTGTAATGGCGAGTGTGATGGAAATTGTAGGGAAGGATTGGAAGTTTGGTTTGATTGGATTTGATGTGGAGAAGGAAATTGTGAGTGGATATGAAGATTGAAGAATGTATTTTCTTGGCAATATCAAAGTTGACTTGGGGGTTGATGGGCCTGGGTACGGAGTACTTCGTACTAGACAGTATCCTTGGACGTACTAATTGTATCAATTCCAGGTGATCCATAATCTTTAGATTACCAACAGTTCAGCCGAGGTTGTAGTAATGCGGATCATTGCTTTCATATACAGGCCCCAGAAAAGTAAGACCATAGAAAACAAAAAAGTGTCTGAAAATTGAGAAAATAGAACTCGAACTCTCTCATTGGAGGCTAATGTAGCACCGGAAATGTAGTTCCTCAATGGGAAATTGCGCACTACCAGGAAGAACTAGCCCTGAAGGGATGAAGGTCCGGGATAGTGTTCTTGACGGCAAAGATGAACTGTGCATCATATCCTTTGATCATCTATCTCGATGAGCTAGATCGAGTCCCCCTTGAGCAATTTCCCCATGTAAAAGGCTAGGATGTATGAAGACACTGCCATGAGTGAGTTACCCCCCGAAACTTCACTAGAGGTTTGCTGACAGTATGTACCTAGGTGTTCTCCAACATCAACGTCGGTGATCCGAACAACCCAACCGGCATAACATGCTAGGCAAGATCTCCACTCTGGCAGACTACAAGGAGGCCGACGGTGATTATGCCTGGGATGACTAGAATATGGCGGGGCTGTAAGGCTATGACTCCGACAATCCCAAGATCATTATCTACAAGAAAGTCGGGTTTGGCCATGGCAGAATTGCCAAGGGCTATGACAGAGTTGATAAGATTACATGTGACAGGTTTGATCCGCTTATGTCGTGGAAAATAGAAACGTTAGAGTCGATTTGGTTGTGTGGATACACCCACTATACCAAATTGGTTGCGCCACTATTGAAAAAAAGAAACAGACGGCGGTGCTTATGGAGTTTCTGGGGCTCGAGACTATTTACCTACCAATGACGTTAATAGCTACTCCTGGTTCGTGATCGAGGTGCTTTGGTCTACGATCTGCTTGAAAGGGTACGAGGACCCTACTGCTTCTGACGATGATGATCCCAACTAAAATGGTAGCGCTTGCCCGTCATGGAAGTCGTAGTAGGAAGTTCCAGCTGAAAGATGGAAGTATCATGCATATGACACAGATTTTGAGATAAGGACACTATCTAGTATTTGGGAATCCAACCCCTTAGAAGGGGGTGAGATGTGTATTAGAATAGGTATCTACGGAGTAGTTGATTCATTTTTTTTTGAAATAAGAAGCTAAACCGATTTTTCAAGTATGTAAATCGCAGAATCCCAGTGGTGTAAAGCACATAAAAACGCCCGTGGACAAGAGTGGAAACGGTGAGGCTATTTCACGAAAACTGTACATGTATGGCCAACCATAATGAGCAATACCCATTAATAGGATCAATACCTCATTATGGGTGTAATTGCAGCGAGCTAAAGCAGCAAAGATGCTGGGGTTGCCGACCGAGCTGGATATGCCAGTCTGACAAATAACGTGACCGACGCGCACAAAATGCGCTACACGTACAACATATAATGGACAGAGAAGATGTGACAGAGAGCAGTGTACTATTGCTGGAAAGATAAATAGATGACTCAGAGATACACGCTGAAACCATCCATTGCCCTGGAACGGGTAAGTCCTCGGATGACCGACGGTCCCCGGATAGCTGACAGAGCGTCCGTATGACGCGATACCACATCTGATTGACGTGCATCTGCTAGCGATGGTCTTGACAGGGGGTACGGAGTACATAATCCCGAGATTGCTCAATTCGATTTAGCGGCATAGACAAGGTAGCCTCAGATCACCTGATACTTACTTGGTCAGCTTTCACTGTTACCTACCTTAGGCAACAACGGGTCTTTTCTTGAATACCATACTCGCAGGGTAGCAGGGTAAAGGTCGCAGGGTAAATGAAACTAGTATTTACTAGTACGGTTAGGTATGTTATGTATTTTTTACCAGTATGGTACTACGTTACTATTTACCGGTTTCGGAGCTCGCAGGGTTGCAGGGTAAAAAATAACCAGGATAGGGAGGAAGGATAGGAAGCATGGGGATATATTAATATAGCATATATTATACCAGATAAGGCTTTTTTACGAGATAGGTATTTACCTATTAGATTTACCCTGCGACCTTTAGAAGGGTTGTTACTAACTTCTGTAGATGGTTACTGGCTCCTACTAGTTATTACCTATATAGTTCTAGGTTAAATCTAATAGGGAATAGTAGTGTGTGGTACTAGTATATACTATTAGGGGTTTAATTACATAAATAATATAACTGGTATAACTAGTTACGTAGTAGGTTCAACTATGTAGAGCAGTTTCAACTATAGTATTTCATAAAGTAGGAGTTTCAACTATAATCTTTTATACAAGAGTAAGTACCTTTTCTACCAAAAATAGCTTCAATGCGGCTATACTGTATATACAACTACTAGTTTTAACCTGTAGCTAATTGGTTTCGGCCATGATCTTTGATCAAAGAGCAGTTTCAACTATGATCTTTTATCAAAGAGCAGTTTCAACCATGATCTTTTATCAAAGGGCAGTTTCAACCATAATTCTTTATACAAGAGTAAGCACCTTTTCTACCAAAAATAGCTTCAATACGGCTATACTGTATATACAACTACTAGTTTTAACCTGTAGCTAATTGGTTTCGACCATGATCTTTGATCAAAGAGCAGTTTCAACTATGATCTTTTATCAAAGAGCAGTTTCAACCATGATTCTTTATACAAGAGTAAGCACCTTTTCTACCAAAAATAGCTTCAATACGGCTATACTGTATATACAACTACTAGTTTTAACCTGTAGCTAATTGGTTTCGACTATGATCTTTGATCAAAGAGCAGTTTCAACCATGATCTTTTATTCAAGGGTAGTTTCAACCATAATCTTTTATTCAAGAGTAAATATATTTTCTACCAAAAATAGCTTCAATGCCGCTATACTGTATATATAAATACTAGTTATGATTTATAAATAATTAGTTATTTATAGTATTTACTGGTCGCTTACAGTAGGAGGTGTATATATAGTACGCTCCCAGTGACCACTATAGTTAGTTTTTCAGATTAATAATCTACCTTTTCTTACACTCTTATTTCTTCCTCACTATAGCTGACGGCGATAGCGACGGTGACAGTAAGGGTACTACTCTACCACCACCACCACTATACCCAGTTGGCTTTTGGTAGCAGTTAACTAGAAGGGGTAGACGTCCTTCTCGATGGGTGTAAGTTTATCTAAAACCTCTTGGTTCTTACTGCTTTTACTGGTCTTATCTTATTATACTCAGAACTAACTATAATATAGTTCTAAGATTAAAATATGTGACTGCCGGGTCTATACAGACAAGAGGTGGCCAGTTCGCTATACTGTTATTGTATGTATATGATTCTTCTAGAAGAACCTAGGTTTTACTAATACTACTTGGATTAGACTATACCTCAATGCGCTGTCCTATACCTATACTGTGGGTATAAACCGAAAGGTAATAGTAAAGCTGCCTCAATTCGGAAATATATCAAGACCGGTTATATAGTAAGATTAATATCTACTAATCTTTATTAATTTTTGCTGACTTACTGCCTAGAACAAGGATCGTATCAAATAGCGTGGTTTGAAGGTCGCAAGGGGTATCCCTGGCCGTAACCAGATATAAGGAGATACTTTTATATTATCTTATAGTTTATACTAATTATATCTAGGAGAGACCGGCGGATTAAGATAACCCTAAATACATCAGATAATGAGGGCGATACCGATAATACAGCTGAAATATCTAATAAAGATAGCGATAGGGATAGAAACTAGAAGAGTACAGAATATCTGTTGTATTCTAGTGCTAGTTGGTGTTTTTGGGTTATTTTCTGATTTATTATATATTTACTAGGTATATAGGGTAGCAGATAGTGGTCTTGGTTTCTACTAGTTCCAATTAGCTGCGTTTAGTTCAGTTTAGTTTAGCTTAATTCTATTGATTTTATTGTCTTATAAATATACAAGTTAAGGTAGGTGTAGGAGAATATATATATCTAGAACGAGTGTTATATATATTCCTATATACAACAATTTACCTTAAAACTGATATATTTTAGTTAATAGCCTAGTTCTTACTATAGGTACTAGATTATAACTAAGTATATATAAGCTACCGGTATCTTATAGCTACTTCTAAAAGTGCCTAGATATTATTAGATTGATAGAAACTAAGAGTATATAGAAGAATAGGGTAGGACCTCTTTATCTTAGTGTCCTTTCTTTATCTTCACGATCTTCTGTATTTACCCGCGCGACCTAGAGGTAGGTATCCTTACTATCCTTACTATCCTTACTATCCTTACTATCCTTACTATCCTTACTATCCTTACTATCCTTACTATCCTTACTATCCTTACTATCCTTACTATCCTTACTATCCTTACTATCCTTACTATCCTTACTATCTCTATCTAGAGTCTGATACTAATTAGTTATTTCTAGTTATTTATAATACCAAACCAGCTATTATCTGAATTACTCTAGGCTCGGATCGAAACACAACGTGGGAAATGCAAGTAAGTATTACTATCCTACTTGTAATAACTAGTAATAAACAGTTTATAACCCCTATTTTTAGGTTAAAACGAATCTGTGACTGCCCTGAGGCTGAGTATATTGATAATAATATCGGTCGTTAGTGGGTTTTAGTTGGCACTATTGTGAGTATACTTATACCTATTTATACTATTTAGCTACTAATATCTATTAGTTTGTTCCTAAATATACCCGGAAGTGTCTATACTGTGACTATAAATAGTAAGTTATATACTTTTCTAAGTTATACTATTACCTATATTAATAACTACTGATATCTTCTAATTATTAGTGGGTAACCAGGAAAGCAAGGAGCTCGGGTACGAGCTTATATTAAACGCTATATCGCCGTAAGTTCTATTTATATCTATAGATAACTTTTTCTTACTGATTATAACTATTTATATTAGAATGGCCAGTATCCTGGACTAAATGTCGCAAATAGATTAACTAGGCTAGCTGAACAGTAAGTGTTTATCCTAGATACTTATCGGATTTACTAGTTACTAACTATATTAGACTAGAATCTGGGCCTACCTACCAGTTGTATATAATACTGATTGGTTCTTACCCTCTAATAATATTTCTAACTAATAAACTCTAGCTAAGCGATAAGCGGCCCTGACCCTGAGATCGAGGTTTCCCTGACCCCTCTTAGGTATTTCCTAATTCTTCTATATCTTATTATACTTACTAATAAATACTAGCTCCTCCTAGTCTTCCCTAGTACTAGACTGTCCGGGTTTAAAGAGAAAACCAGAACTACCTGAGGAAATTTAGGGTCTACCTACAGAATCAGCGAGTGAGAACGAGGCCGAATTAAGTGACACTCAGGAGGAATCTAGTGAGGATAAGGAGGTTGTGGTTACTACTAAGCCTTTCCAGTTATCTACGGAGAACCCTCAGAAGCGGCTTAAGAGATAGATATCATCAATATCTAAGTAATTAACAAAAGTCAATCAATTAAATTAAATATAACTAGGTTCTTACTAGTAACTATCTATAACCCTCCAAACTCCTACTGTTTTTCCCTATTGTAAGCTGTATTTCTCCCGTAAGAGTCTCCTTTCTATCGTATACGCTGCTTCAAGCTCTTCTAGAGCTGACCGATAGCGCTCTTAATATCCCTGGTTATTACTGGTTATACCCGGTTCTATTCGGATACTCTCAGTAAGGGAAGTAGGTCCTAGACCTTCTTTATCGCGGGGTCGCTTCCGAGAGGACCGGGTAACTCCTGTACTTAAAAAGGTAGGAAGCTTCTCGTTCGGTATAGAAGCGGCTGGTTGTCTAGGTGGTGTTACTAGATTGATAGGGTTAGTTTGGGTCTCTCCCTGCCCTATTAATATATTAGTATAAAATGCTAAAGTTTTATAGTATAAGTTAGAAGTAATTGGTACTTACTAGATAGCCGCTTTTGCCGACGTCGACTGCGAAATTCCGGTTGGACTCCAGATTGTATATAGGTTTCTCTCTGGTTAACGGCTTGAGAATCGACAATTTTCGCCCTATTAAATAAAGTTAGAACTGAAAGATATATAGGATAATCTATAATTACCGGTCAATAGCAGTAAGAAGCGAGAGCCCAGTTCCACCGAGGTTTGTCTGGTGATAGGCAGACTTAACCAGGTTGGTACTAATATCAATAGACGCAAATACCCCGCGCGGTATCTTACTATATACCGCGTATAGGCCAGACCGGATCTATACGATATTTTTGTGTTTCGCCCACTCCTGTACCGCTAAGTTACTAGAAGAAAGTAGGTAGGTAATAGTACTATCAAAATCCACCCGGCTTAATCTAGATATTAGGGAGCGTATTATAACAGCTTCTGGTAGATCCCGGAAGTCTGTAAGAATACCGCGAAGGAAGTGGACCTAACAAAAGAGTAAAATCCACTGGATATACTCCCGCTAAGTACGGGATAGATCAAGTGTCGCCAAGAATTTCCTAAATCCTACTAGGTTAGTCTAGTAAAAACGAATAGGGGAGTAGATCTTACCAGCTGCCTGTTTAGCGTATATATCAACAATAACTACCTAGATTTTGATAGACCTCATAACCGCCCGCGAGCGGCCCTCTGAGGGCCGCCCGCAGACCCGCACTTTTGCGGGCGGAGGGCAAGCGACGCCTACCCGCGGGTCGGGCAGGTTATTTTCTTGCCCTCAGAGGGCGGCCCTCCAAACATTTTGAGGGCCGACAAACAGGACAAACAGGGAAATCCCTAGAGTTGCATAAAATATACATTTCTCAGCTGTATTATTTAGTATTTGGTTTACAGCTTAGTATTATAGAAAATAAATATAACCAGGAGTAATCATTTAAACAGGCTAAATAATATCAAATCTTAATAGAAATATCTCATTCTTTGAGGAACTAATATACGTTATATAGCTTCAAGTTCTACGGCGTTTATCACTCTCAATTTCATAACCATCAAGCTTACTTGAGCGCTTCCGAACCCTCCCTGAATACCGTTGTGTATGAGGCAACTCAGGCTCACTATCCGTATCCTCCTCCTGCTCTTCAACCTCGAGCTCCGATTGAGTCCGCTGCCTCCGTTGTGATTGACCTTAATCAACTACCACTTCGATAGTACTATCCTTATCCTCCACGTCCTCGTAAGTATCACTGCCCTCGTTATCATTACTTATAGGGTCAAAATAATGAGTGTTGGTTGTATCACTCTCCTCTTGGTTGGCTTGTATCTCTTTATATAAAAGATACTTATTGATCAAAGCTCGGTGGGTATCTTCGATCTCAAATTTTGATGTATATATGAATATCATTAGATCTTGAACTGTTGATACCTTTAGAGAGCCTCGTCGGTAGTGACAGATATCCCTAGCGGAGTTAAAAAGGCGTTCTACACCCGCCCCTGTAGCTGGTATTGATAGTATATCGTGTGCAAGGTTTACAAGAGTAGGGTACTGATACTGATGCTCTTTCCAAAATATATAGGTAGGCGTTCGTATAATACCTTAAATATAAGTTAATATAGGGTAGATAATAAAAAGATATAACTTACCACTGTTAAGGTATTCCTTAAGCTTATTATATTCACTCAATGCTAAGGGCTGGGACCCTTCTACTCCGTATTCTATTTCAAGCTCTGAAATCGCGATTGCGGATAATCGAGCTCTGGATAATGATTGTGTATCTGAATGAAGTTTCTTATAGGACTGAAAGTATTCCTTAAGACTTGCTCGATAGATTGCACACCAGTTATTAACCGGATCATCCTAGTCCTTTCCTTTAAAAAAGTTAAGCTTTTGTTGGGGTGAGAGAATAGTGCTAATTGCGTAAAGATTGTTATCAATTTGATCGGTCTGGCTGTAATATTGCGAAAGCTTCTTCTCTGCTACCTCAAGAGAAGCAAGTATAAGCTACTTCTATATAACCTTCTTCCGTTTTAAAACAGTCTTTGACTTTTCAAGGTGGTTGAAGAGCTTATTGTAGATATTAAAGATCAGGTGAATACTAATATCCTTAGTTTTAGAAAGAAGAGTGGTGAATTTGAAGAAAGGCTGGGTAATCCAAAGAAGATAGTCAATCTGTCGCCACTCTTCTGGACTTAGTGTAAAGTGTTCCTGGTTATACTGAGCGCAGAATTGATCAAAGGTTGATTGGAGCCGTTTGGCACGTCGGAGCATCAAAAATGTCGAATTCCAGCGAGTTCGGATATCCTAGATCGGAACAAGCTTTGGCTCCTCAGTTTGAAGGTTATAGAATGACTCTCTCCGTTGTAGACTTGCGTTAATGTAGATAGTAAGGTTTCGGACCTATATAAGAATAGAAGGATTAGTATAATAAAAAAAGTAGAGTTATAGGGATATACCTTATTAAGCGTATCAACAATTTCTCTTTTTTGTTACCTTACACGAAGAGAGCGAACACAGTTGTTAGACCAGTCTATCTCCGCACTCTTATTCTTTAGAATTGCCTTTATCTTCCTAAGAAGATCATTCAGACTAAGCTAGATAATATAGGCAATACAAGGAACCCGAACGATTGTAGCACTATTATTTAGCTTAAGCGACTGGAGTGATTCTTAGATACTTACTATTATAGTATTATTATTTGATATATTGTCAGTAGTGACTGTAAGTACTCGATCTGCAATCTTATACTGATAGAGGAGCTTTAAAACCACGTCACTTAGGTTGACACCTGAGTGTAAGCCAGATAATGGTTCAAATCTAAGAAGAACCTCTCGATACTCCCAATGCTAGTCGAGGAAGTAGCCAGTGACAGCTATAAAGGCCTGTCGAAACGGAGATATCCAGCAATCTAATACAATCGAAAGCTTTGTATTGGGAGGAAGCTTGTTAAGAATAGACTGTTGCTGTTCCTAGATATACCGCCGTAGTCGAGACCGTATTGTAACCGCAGAAGGGATCTATGGTTATATCTAGTCTTCCGCACGACCCAGTAAAACCCAGACCCAACCCAGACCCAACCTAGTCTGGGTTGGGTTTTGGGTCGAACCCTTCGACCCAGTACTGGGTCTGGGTCGGACTGGGTAACCCAGTACTGGGTCTGGGGCCCCAAACTAGGTTACAAACTAAACAAATATACTAAGGATTCTAAATGTATAACTTATGTATTTATTCGCGGTAATTTTGAGTATTTGCTTTACTTGATTATATCTAATTTTATTTGTAAAAAGGGTAAAAGAGATACGTATAATTGAGGATTCTTTGTTAAGCAAGCTAATAGTATTCAAATAAATCATCTTCCCTGCTTTTACGTTTTCTCCCTGATACTCGTGTCTGTGTACAGGTTGGTAGTAATAATGGCGAGCAAGGACGACTATATTCACTTGTAGGTAAGGGCCTCTCCTCCGGTACATCCTCTGGTCTATCCTCAATTACAACCTCAATTGCATCCCCTGGTTTATCTTCCGGTTTATCCTCCTGCTCCTCTGTATCACTAATTGGATCAACCTCAATCTCACTAAGCTTCTCTTCCCTCTCCTCTTTTGCCGCCTCAAGCTTATCCTAGGAGAAGAATTTCTTAAGAAGTGTTGCTTCCTACTCCTCTATATCAAATTTCGTTGTACAAAGAAATATCATTAATGCCTCGACAGTCTCACTCTTCATTCTACCACGACGATAGTGACAAATATCTCGAGCGGTATTAAAGAGGCGTTTAACTCCTGCGCCAGTTGCTGGAAATAAGAGTGTATCTCGCGCAAGGGCAGCAATGGCCGGAAAGCGAGCCTAGTACTCTTTCCAGAAAGTAAGCGGCCTAACAGAAACAGTATCTATATATATATTAGTATTATTATTGTATATACTCTTTGTATTTACTTACCGCTATCAAGATATTGACTGATTTCATCAGTAATAGCTCGTGGTTGTATATCCCTTCTATTAAGCATCTCCTCTAGCCTTGAGCTTGGATAGGCTATCGTTAGATAGCTTTATAGATCACGACTGCTTGTTCTAACTTGTGCTTGATATAGAATAAGGGCTTGTTCAAAAGCAAGTCGATAGGTATCTCGCTATTTCTGATCCCAATCACTAGAGAGGAAGAATTTGAATTTATTCACCGGTGTAAGTATTGTACTGATTGTATAGATATTCCCTCGAAGATCATCAGCTTAGGAGTAATACTTATCAAGCTTAGACCGACCAGCTTCAAGGGCCTCTAGCATCTGTTTCTTCTATAGGACACGCTTTCGGCGTAGCTATATCTGTGATCGCTTAAGATAATCGAATAGTTTGTTGTAGATCTTGAATATATAGTGGGCAGTGATATCTCGAGTCTTTGATAGCTGTATTGTATAATTAAAGAAGGGCTCGGTGATACAAAGAAGATAGTCGATCTAACGCCACTCTTACTCGCTGAGTAGTATCTCCTCACAATCATACTCTGTACAGAATAAAGAGAAGATAGCACGTAGCCTCTTTGCCCGGCGAAG